TACGGGAAGAAGTCATTATTATGCATGAGAAGGTACAATTCAATGTATCACGGTGGTCAACTCATCTTTTTCGAGAAAAACAAAAAATTCTTTTACTCATTCGCGTGAAGATCAATCCGAATATTCGTTCTATTCAAGAGTTGTCCCTTTTCTTTCTTTTCCTCCACGTAATCCCACATTATTTCTCCCTATCTCATTATATAAAAATTAGATCTTTATTATACATAGAGAGAATTTTCTCCTAGAATTTGCCTTGAAAATCATGGTAATTGTGGGACAACATGGTATTGGAAGAATTTTATAAGAGTTTCTCTGATTATTTATTATTTACCATCATAAAAAATATTAATATCTACCACAACAAGATATAAAATATGTTTGATTAATTTTACTATGTATATATTGATATTTTTTATTGTGCTAAAAATATTTATCAGAGAAACTCGTATAAAATTTTTCTAATACCATGATTTTCAGTCAATTCTAAGAGAAAATTCTCTTCATAAAAATATATACACATGTATATAAATTGTATATATTGTATATGTATAATGTATACATGTATGTAATTATAATAGTTATACTAATTAAATATATATTTATAGCAATAATAATTATATATAATATATAATATATAATATATAATAATTATATATAATATATGATAATTATATATAAATAATTTTTGCTTGACATTGGAAGAAGAAAGATTCAGCTGAACTAGTGTAGCCAGTTCAGCTGAAAAGAACAGACCTTTTATATATATTATATATATATATATATATATTATGAAGAGAAATTCTCTTGGAATTTATTCTGAAAATCATGATAATCGTGGGACAAAGTGGTACTGGAAGAATTTTATAAGTTTCTCTGTAATTAATATTTCGTACAATAAAAAATATTAATGCATTCATAGTAAAATTCATCGAACATATTTTATATCTTGTGGTAGACATTAATATTTTTTATTGTAGTAAATATATCAATCAGAGAATAAAATTCTTCCAATACGATATTGTCCTATATAATTACCATATATAAATATATAACTATTATAATTATCATATGTGTAAAATAAAATTACTATTGAATTCAAGTGATTTAAGAATATTCGTCGAAAAATCTCTGTTCGTTAATCTAGAAGATACCTCGGCAAAGAGACCTCGGAAGAGACGGCGTTTGGAAGGGCATTTTGCAAACGGAACGTTTCGAGAGCCCCCGGCTCTGCCTTTGCTGCGTCGCTATAAATGTGAAGTCGCGGACGAAAATGTTCTCAGTGTCGAGCGTGAAAAAAGCCGCGACGCTGCGTTGAGGCAATTGTGTCTTCCCGATTTATCGCGACACAATAGGACAAACACGTGCTCGTGATACACTTACGTATTCTCCGATACCGCGAAGAGAACCACGACGAGGGACATCGCGAAAATTCGCGATCCGGAAACGAATGCGAGACTATATAAAAGTATATTCCATCACGAGACTTTCGGTGTTCTTTTATTCTCTTTTTCTCTCTTATTTCTTGTCTTTTACGAGTGATTGATGATTTTGATCCGTGATTGTTGAACAGAATCGTTTTCACCTTTTTTAGCTTCTTAATTAATGGTCCATGACTGTTGAAACGTTCGCGATTATCGCAAATAAGTGAATATACGTTGGTGATCGATTTATTAACTGGAAGAGGGATGTGAATCTCTATCGCGCATCAATAAGAGAGGCGCGAGAATTGTTTAAGATATTAGAAGAGGAATATTCTTGCCACACGTTGTTGATCCAGCCAGAGGACGCAGCTATTAATTGCAAGGCATTTACATTCTACATATTTATCTTGATTATTGATCGTATTTGAATTACTTACTTTTTAAGTATTACACACATATGTATTTTCATTAAATTAGATTGAATTAATTAGACGGATACTTAAAAAATTGTTTTATTAAATTAAATTAATATATAAATTTAAAATAATTTAATAGAGTTTAATGGTAATACGTTTAATTAAAAAAGAATAGAGATATTTGAAAGAATAAAGTTTAATTTTCCATGATATCTGATGTTGATAAATGCTATATTTTTTCTCGTCTTCCCATTATGTAAATTATATGTTGATGTATTCTTCGATGCGTTTTGAAATTATTATAAATCGCGCGCTCGAAAAATAACTTTGACAGAAAACCCACCTACGCGTTTCGAAATAAGGTCTCAAGTTTTGCCAAAGTGCTGAATTCACTAAAATATTAATTGGATTATAAACAAATATCGTATTAATATATTGTAGCATGCAAATGTGCATTGTGTTATCAACACAATTTGCAGTTGGCAAATTACAATTTAAGACAAATGCATTTGGCTCCGGTTTAATTCATGTATGAACTTCTCAAATTTTATTATTTTTTTTAATGATGATCAAAATTAACACGAACTTTTAATCATTTTTTGATGTGCAAATTTGATACGTAGCGTTAAATACTACTACATTTCGTTTTCTCTTTCTTTCTTTCTCTCTTTCTTTATCGAGCAATGAACAGAACAATAAATACTTGTATTTTTCTCCAGAGCGATAAACAGAGTAATAAATGTTTGTAGATTAATTTTCAATGTCAAAGCATAAACGTACACAGTATACTTTATTATGTAAAGCTTTCAATGGCTCGAAGTGGACACTAGGAGAAAATTGCTTTGCTGCATTTATTTTCTATACATTTTACAGATCTAGCAATTTTACTTTCTATATGCCAATTTCATTAGTAGCTTGAGTAGTCAAGCGTGTTAAGTAGTCACAAGAGCTGTTGAAAATATGTTTATCCTACCGCGATATTGAACTGAGTTCTTTAAACACTTCTTTAAATTCAGCACTAACTAAGCTGTAGAATAATTTTCTACTGACTGTACACAATCAACTGACTGCACAAACATTAGCTGAATTTAAACTATAGCTGGACTTAGTCTCTATTTGATTAACTATTGTCAAGACTAGCTAATATGGTTGTAAAATACTAAACTTATTTATGTGATCTATCTTTCTCATTTCTTTTATTTTTGAAAGTTTTATATTTATGATCATTATTATTATTATTGCTTATTCTTATTTTTTGCGCTTAAGAAAGTGCGTTTCAAAGTATTTAATAAACACACAAACATACTTTATATACATATATGCAGTGTATCTAAATAAATGCAAAAAATTTTAGGAGATTATTCTTTGTCAAAAATTAAGGGGGGTTTCTTATACAAATATAAACTCTCTTATATTTCTTTGCGAGGAATTTCACTTTTCTAAAGAAGGAGGTAAAAATAAAGTTTTTATTTTTTTTAATATTAATAATATCCTTTTGATTAATGGAAAATATTCACATCAAATTTTATTTTTTTAATTTATCTGAAATTTGAGGAAAAAAATAAAAACTTAATTTTTATCTCCCTCTTTAAAAAAGTGTAACTTTCCTTAATTTTCGACAAAGAATCATCTAAAATTTTTTACACTTATTTAGATACACCTGTTCTTTGTTCATTAAGAAAAAAGAGAAATTGTAAAATGCATTTGTCCATAAATATACTTAATTCTGTGTTTGTGTTTGTTAACCGAATTATCGCAAATTTGCAGTGAATATTGTCTCATATTCTTCATCTAATGATCTAAGGTCTGTGTAATTGTGTTATTGCACGTCAATGATAACGTATATACTTTGTTATAGCGAAGGAACGTACGTTCATCAAAGTGCAACAATTTAACGTGTAATGTAACATCAATCCGTGATTTTCCAATAGCTTCGTTTATTTCTTGTTTTTACACAATAATCTTCGGACACAGAAATTTCTCTAGAATTTTTTTTTAAATCTTTAAAAATCTGTTGTAATCTACTATAAATTTTTCCACACGAATAAAAAAAATTGAATATGTGACACGAAAATAATGATCGCTCCAATTCAAATATATTATTCCCGTAATTGACCTTATTAAGCATTTGACAGGCAAAAAAAGGGATGTGTGATCTCGTCCCCTTAAATCCACTTATCAAATCAAATTAATAAAACGATCTCACATCGAGACACATATTTCGTCTCATATAAAATGAGAATGCATGCATTGACATTTGCAAGCAAATTTATGACTGTCGTCATTGATTAACATCGATTTTATCAAATGCATTTGATCTCTAATCCTTTTCATACCGTATTAAATCGCGTTAAGCGTGTGAAAACTGATTAAAAAGTAACGACAGTAATGAATCGATCTCATGAATTACAAATCCAATATTATCGCCTCTAAACATTTTGAGTGCCAAATAACTAGTGGCGAATAACTGTTTAATCGAGCGAATGTATTAAGCAATTAAATAGAGCTAAATTAATCAGAGCTCAGTAAAGTCTTTCATCATTGTTTCGAAATGTTCTATTACAAACATTTTTATACAAACTATTTTGGAGTAGATCAAAAATATTTTATTTTAATTATTACGGATTTAAATACGATGAATATATTATTTAATTAAAACAGAAGTTTTTATCTCAAAATTAATAGAATTAAAAATTAAAATAATATGTATAAGTATCAATAATATATTGATTGATAAAATTACGTAAATAAATTATATGTGATAGAATGTGACAGTGAGCGAATTGTAAGAACTAATGAATCATAAACGGAATCAAGTAATTCAAAAGATGAATTTGATTCCACGAGATTGCGTGGAATCTTTTAGAGAATCTGTTGGACAATCATTTATTTGCATTTGCATCGTTTACTTGCACGCGTAATTACTATTATTAACATTAAGAGGCGAGTTTACCGAAGTCACGAAAGCTCTTTGATTCTTTTTTCCTTTTGTTTTATTGTATAAAAAGATATAAATAGAGTAAATTTTTAACAATCAATATATTGTTTAAACTTATATATTGCATAATTATGAATCTCTTTGCAATTATTTTCAAAGTATATTTTGTAATTTGATGTGATAATACATGGCGAAATTATTCAATTATTTAATAACATTTTGCAGTTATCGCATTCTGAGGAGCACGATGATCGCGCAAACAAGGATATGGTGGAAGATCCTTCATTCCGGCAACAAAAAAGCTGTAAGTCATTTAATTCTGTATTACGATTACGCGATTAGCGACATCGTAATTAAGCACGCCCGCGATGATACTGCATTCTTTTGCGGTTGGAATTACGACGCGGAATGCGCACTGTAGAATTTTTAATTTCGGTATTTTGTTGCAAGAGTAGCAAATGTCAAATAGCACATAAATAAGGAGAGAATCTGACAGAGAGATATATTTAGATTGAATTGTTAGATATTTATTTAATCGAGCAGACGGAACAGAGCAATACACACGTGCTCGCATACGTGCAACTTTTTCGCTCAAATTTTTGCTCTTAGAAAATGTCAATCAAATGTGAGATTGATTGTGATTACCGACATGATTGATGACATGAAAATTGCATGCCGAGTGTGCTTCTTGCACTGATTACACAATTGTAAACGCGATAACAATAAATTTGAAAACGAAGTATAATAAAATTAAGTATATAATAAAAAATATATTAAATAAAAAATATATTAAGTATATTAAATATACTTATTATATATAATATAAATATACTTATTAAATACGCGTATAATATACTTATTAAAATATATTAAGTATATTAAATATACTTTTATTAAATATATTAAGTATATTAAATATACTTATGTATTATAATGGAAAATATATTAGGGCGAAAGGTAGTATATAATAAATAATATAGATAATATTGGAAAATATATAAAGTGAATATGATGTAATAAATAAAAAATAGGTAATATAATAATTTAAAGAAGTGAAATAAGAAATACTTATATAAGAAAGCTAATAGATAAAAGGACAGATATTTATTTTATATTTTCTACATGTCTGTCATCTCTCGATCTCATAAACCCTACATTATATCGAACAAAATCCACGAAGGGGAGACGAGTTACAAATAAATAAATGAATAAACACTCACGGAGAAGGCGATTGTTAAATCGGCCTTCTCTCGATCTTCGTCCTTCGCTCGCGTACGATGTCACAGAATTTTTTAAGCTAATGTATGACTGTAACAATACATTCCGTTTTTTTTCTCTCGTTTAACGCTCTGTTTCTTAACAACTTCAATGATCTTCCGTCTGATAACGTGCAAAATTACCAACGAACAATATGAACATAATTTTTAAGATCATCAAGGTTGATACATATATTTAATAATTTAATTATTTTATTTATTATTTATCTATTTGTTTATTTTTTTAATGAGAAGAAACCCAAGTTCTTATAATTATATTAAAATCGCAAACGTTCTTAATATTTGTGTGTAAAGATCTATAAAAAATCAAATTTCTTTTGGAGTGAAAGGAAATTCTTATTTAAATTTTATTATTCTGAAATGAATTTCCATACGAAATTGTACGACAATATATTGTAAGTATTGTAGCCCCGAATAAACCTTGATCCGACCTTCAGGAAACGTATGGACCTTCTTCTCGCGATCCGAATGATAATGATTAATAGCGGAGATACATCATTATATGAATGACTTATTCGTCTGTCGACAATTTGTCGCACAAATTTTGCATAGTATAGTCTAGACGTATTTTATATTTATATGTGATATACATATATATTTATCTTTTAATTGAACGCACTAGATGAGAAATACCATATATGATAACGCACGTCATCCGCGTCATTTTTCATATCACTATTCATTATTGTTTTTGTATAAAACTATGTTTTTGTATAAAAATGCATGCTTGCGGAACATTCAACACGTGCCAAATTATATCGAAATAATGAAAAAGTTTATTTGCTGTCTTTCTTGTAATACAAATGAAAATTTCTTAATGTCAAAAATAAGGAATAATTTTTTAGATTATTTCTCCCATAGAAAAAGCATATATAATCTAATATTTATATAATATGAGGTGTAAATAATATAATATTTTATTATAAAAATGTAAGTGTATACATATATATATATTTTAATTATTAAAAATTTTTTATTATATTCATATATACGATGATGTGTTATTTTTATTTAAAGTTTGATTATATAAGATTATTTTATAAATATAATTACATTCTTATATGAAAGTATAAGCGTAATATCGACTATTATTCTCCAGATTAGTATAAAATAATAAATAGCTTTTGATGTTTTTAAATTAAGAGAGGCATAAAAGCTTCATCGAATTCGAAATAATTAAAACTGATGCCATGATAAAATAACATACATGATAAAAATCAGGCAACACTAATTGTTATTACGACTTCGCAAGATACTGCATTAATTAATGATTTTATATACTATTATTCTTTTATAATTTCAAGTTAATTATTTGAATTATATAACAAATGATGTTTATGCAGTGTAACGATATTAATGTATGTATTTATATATTACGTAAATCGCGAAATGTGTGTTGATGAGAGAACAATTTACATAGAATCTGAAATTTGTTTGTCAGCCTCGGGATTTAATGTTTTATTGTGCAATCGATCAGTATTGATTAGTATTTCAATACGCGTCCGCGGAAATTGATTGACATTTCAAACACGATATTTCGCGAAAATTGTAATTCCAATCGCTTCATTATCGAAAACAAATTGTAAAAGGAATATCTCCAAACTTACGTATTTATCGTGTGCGTATATGTTGAGAGTGTCTGCACACATTAATCATTATTATTTTCAATCTGTTTTTCTAGCAAATTAAAAATTTAAGTTTAGATATTTCAAAATTGTAGCAAGTAACAAAAAATTTTGATTTATTATATATAATTTATTGATTATTACTGAATTAATTAATCTATTCTTTTTCCACACACATCTCAATACTCATTAAATTATAATAATAATATTTATAATTAATAATTAAAAATAATTTAATATAATTTTTATATATATATTAAAATATTACAATTTAATATATAATTTTTTTCATTAATATTACCGTATAGTAATTAATCGCAATGTTGTCATTAACAAAAATATTTTCGCGTACTACAGTATTTCATTAGATGATGTGACATTGTTTTCCAGATCCTCGCGGGCCTGGCTGCGCATTCTGGACAAATTTCCGTGGGATTGGCTCAGGGATACAGCGCGATCCTAATCCCGAAGCTCTTCGAGTCAAATTTCGCGGACCAGTCGGAGGCCTCCTGGATCGCCTCCCTCGGCGTCATCTCGAATCCTCTCGGCGCCCTCGTCGCCGGATTCTGCGCCGAATTCTTCGGCCGCAGATCCGCAATCGCCCTGGCGACGCTACCGCACATCGCCGGCTGGTTACTGATTGCCTTATCGAAGGACGTGCCGATGCTGTACGCCGGTAGATTCGTTAGCGGCATCGGCAGCGGTATGGCAAACGGACTTTACCTCTACGTCAGCGAGGTACGACTATGCAGATGCTATGAAATGTATCTGCGATGCTACGATTAAGCGATTACATCATTCCGATATTTCCTACATGCAAAGAATTTTTCCTTAGAATTTACCATGAAAATCATAGTAATCGTGAGACAATGCGGCATTGGAAGAATTTTATAAAAGTTTCTCTGATTAATATTTGGCACAGCAAAAAATATTAATATGTACATAAAAATTAAAATTAATAATAATAGTAATTAGTAATATAGTAATAGTAAAATGAATCTAACATATTTTATATTTCATTAGAGAAATGTGCGCTAATATACACAGAGAAAATTTTCTCTTAGAATCTAAATACCCTATTTTCTTTCAGACAGCAGCTCCAGATCAAAGAGCTTGGCTCGCGAGTTGTGGACCAGTTCTCGTCTCCCTGGGCGTTTTGATAGTTTACACCTTGGGTGCCATCACAACGTGGCAAAGGGCGGCAGCTATCAGCGTCGGACCAGCGATTCTATCGCTCGCATTAACACGGTAATTATTTTTTTTATATCAATCTTCTTTAAAAAATAAAAATGTCAACATATCATGTGTTTGAAACAGTCAAGAAGTGACACTTAACAACGATCAATGAACGTAAGATTGGCTTCTCTAGAATGCTACCGGAAACTCCAGCCTGGCTGACCTCGAGGGGTCGAACGGACGAGGCTAAAGAGGCTCTTCTGTGGTTACGCGGTCCCGGGTTCAACGTCGACAAAGAGTACCAAGAGCTTCGTGACGCGAACGCGAAACGAAAGGAGAAAGAGGAGAGTCTGCTGCGGGCGCTGCACATGTCTAACGTGTGGAAACCATTCCTGATACTCCTCATCTTCTTCACCCTCCAACAGCTGTCCGGCATTTACGTCATTCTATTCTACGCCGTGAACCTACTCGAGGATATCGGCGTGGACGTGAACGAGTATGCGGCCAGCGTCGGGATGGGTGTCATCAGGTTGTTTGCGTCGATCCTCGGCGCTGGACTGGCCAACACCATCGGCAGAAAAAGTCTGGCCTTCGTGAGCGGTTTCGGAATGGCTATCGCGGCCATGGGAATCGCTCTTTTCTTCAGGTTCGCATTTTCGATCATCTCAATAGAGTTTTATTATCTTTTTCTGTCTGATTTATACATGCGTGATTTAATTTTTACATACACTCTTATACTCTTTCGTAGTCTTACTTTCAGTGTTTTTTCTCAAAAATAATATTTTTATTGATCTTCCAGATTCGAACTTCCATCGTGGCTGCCGCTGTTCTGCATCGGGATCCACGTGGGCGCATCCATGATCGGTTTTCTTACGTTACCGTGGGTCATGACCTCGGAATTGTACCCGTTAAGATTCAGAGGTAGCTTGGGCGGTCTTACGATCAGCATCGCGCAGATACTGACGTTTGCCACGATAAAAATGTATCCGGATCTGAATGCCGTGGTCGGTCTGGAGATCACGATGTGGATATTCAGCGCAGCCGGTCTCTTAGGCGCCGTCTTCGCCTTAATGATATTGCCAGAGACTCGAGGACGCAGTCTCGACGATATCGAAATAAAGTTCTCCCGCAAGTCGGACGACAGCTCAAGTCCTTGCAAGATTTTCTCCAACATGTGGTGGCAGCCGAAGAACATTATCCTCAAGCGATTCACGTCGATTTCGGAGGAGAAGCAGTCGAATATCGTTACGAACGCGTATACTTACGACAACTTCTGCCTGGAGTTGCCGCCGGAAAATCTAGAGAAGAAAATCTTCGAGAAAGAACGAACATGCGATCAACGAGTCATAACCAATATTGAAATCGAGCACGCGTATATTTAATAAGAAATGATTTCGAAGACATATTTTTATACAAGACTTTTGTTTATGTGAATTTTTACGGGTATATTAAGTTATATATCTCCGAAAAGTATATTTATTTATTTTATACTAATGACCGAATTAGTTAATTTATGATTTTAAATAGTATAAAAGCTTTGCTTCGTGTTTACTGTCGACCGAACAAATGTTCCTGTAGTATTATGAGTATTCCTATAAAAGCGCGGTATCAAAGATAAATTACATAAGAGCATATTACAATGATTATATCAACACACAATATATACACATGTTTTCTGTGATTTTATATAAATAAGTGTGTATTAGGGAAACATTATTCCTTCGTATAATTTCCTTTGTTATTACTTTATTTTTAATGACGCCTATTTTTGTAACAGATTGTACAAATATTTGTCCATACGTATTTATACAGTTTCATTTACATGATAAGTTGTGTAAATAATCGATTAGGATTAGACAATATTGTTGTACGTCTTAATAATATATGCTTCTATTTGTATTATATTTCTTACATAACAAAAAATGACAAAAAGAACATTATTTTATCATCAAGAAATACATCACTTATATCGCGATATTTATCTCTATTCTTCAAGCAATGATCTCGCAGTCTAACATGTTTGCCTAATAGTAATGCGCGTTGGCCGACAGCCGATCTTTAAAAATGAACTAATTTATACACGAGATATTCATCAGTTCTCCCACCCGCGGCTTCTTACGTCCTCTCTCTCTCTTTCTATCGCGACGTTCACCTCCTGCAAGATCCTAGTACTCTATCCCCGGCACACGAATTTCCGTGCCTTTTCATTCTCCGTTGCATACGCGGCGAATACAATTGTCAATTGTATCAGCTGATCGGGCCGGCCGCTCGCTCGCTCGCGTGCTCCCCGGATAGCCGTTCGTCGAACCTCGTGAATTTCCGTCGATCCGGCCGAGCGGTCGCAGCACCAGCTCGCTCACCTGCTCTCCGGACACTCGATCGTCGAGACTTCGAGACTCGTGGTCGGGTCGCGGCTCGGGACCAGAGGTGTCAGTCTCAGCCTCTGCACTCGGGAGCGGAACCACTTACGTAATCCGCCTCGTCCGCTCGTTGATTCTCGGGAATTTCCGTCGTTCCTCGTCGACGGGAACTCGCGCGTCACCCACGTCGAGTCATGGGATCCTGGTAGCCGCGCAGCGGTAGGGTTCTCCGTTGACTCTGTTCTCGTGCCGCGCGCCATGACAATCACTAGCTCGCTCGCGTGGACTCCTGGTGGCCGCTCGTCATTTCTCGTGAATTTCCGTCGTTTCGAGACCGAGCCCCGGAGCCGACGAGGTCGGTCGACGACTCCTCGCCGTTTCTGCCGCCCTAATCGCAAAACACGAAATTCGACCCTTTCGTTACCGGTCCAAAGTTAGAGGAATTCCGTCGACCGCGTTCCCCGGCTCCTTCGCCGCTCGGGAGTCGAGACTCCTCGACCCTTTCGGCGCGAAAGAGCGGAAACATCCGGGGGTCATCGCGTCGATGAGTCTCGATGGAAGGCTTCTCGCTCGATATTCCCGCCTAATAACGAGCCGTCAATCTCGACTCTTTCCGATCGCGATGGCGTAGACACGTTCACTTTTTAGCGGATTTCATTTCATTGGAAAATTAATTAGTCTCTGTTTAGAAATCTAAAAAATATATGCGATGTTTAAATTCTTATTGAAATAAATTTTTATTTCATTCACACAAAGTTCGAAAAATTCAAAAGATGATTTGAAGGCGTAAATTACTGCGAACCACGTGTGAAAATCAAATGCAATAACTTTTTAGTTAGTTCTCTTGTAGATTTAATTTAATGAAAAGATAAATTTTAGTCTCTATTTAAAAATCTAAAAAAAATATATCCTATATGTTCTTGAAATAAATTTTTATTTAATTCACAATATTCGAAATTGAAGAAGATTCGGAAAAGGGATTTTCGGAGGCGCAAATCACTGCGAACCACGTGTGAAAATAAAATGTAATGACTTTTCAGCTCTCTTGCGGATTTAATTTAATTGGAAAATAATTTGAATCTCTATTTAAGAATCTAAAAAAAATATGTGCGACATAGAAATCTTTGAAATAAATTTTTATTTAATTTTTTACACAATATTCGAAATTGAAATTGAAAAGATTCGGAAAAAGGGATGATGATTCGGAGGCGTAAATCGGGTAAATCACTGCGAGCCACGTGTGAAAATAAAACGCAATGACGTATATTGATGTACAAATGCTTTTTTGTCTCGCACGATACAGATGCGTGATATTCGCAGCGTGGAATCCCTTAAATCTCCTATGATATAATTCTCATGTAATATAATATTACATTTTGCAAAATCTATCATATATGCGAGAGAGAAGGACATATTAGAAAAAATAATTTTTTCGGTATATTTATATATGTATATGCACATGACAACGATGAAGTTTTTTCACGTGAGAGAGCGATAACGCGCGATGTGCTCGGGCTCTTTTCTCGCTCTTTCCTGTTTTATACAACAGTCACAAGTACAAAATCATGTACAAATCGGAGATCGCGATATTTCCCCCAGTGTATTAACAATTTTATCAATTACATAATTATTACGTTTAAGCGATATATACATATAGAAAATCGTAAATTCATCGGGCGAAGACAACACCGCAATTTCACTCTACTATGTATAATTGAAGTTAATAAAATTGCACAATGTCGTCTTCGCGCGATGAACTAATACGACTTTCTATGATATTGATCACATTAGCCTTTTTTAAAAATTGTCAATACATATCCTCGCTTAAAGATCACGCTTATAATCTATTAAATGCAAAAATTATGGGGAAATTTGTAAGTACAAAAATAATAAAAAAAAAATAATCGCGTTGAACTTTCATCGTAACATTTCGATCACACATCATCACACATAAATGGATGACCCTTTCTTCCATGGAAATTGTGCGATTTTATTTTTCACTTATTCGTTTCATAGTCTTTCGTTCACGTATTAATAATGTAAAATTAAATTAATGTAATTCTTAATAAGCCTAATCTGAATATTATGAGTTTCGGCAAAATGCAGATATAATTTGTGACATTCGGCAATCAAAGTGTCAAATAGAAAAACACGGAGAACACACAAAACACACTTAAAAATTAAGCACTGTTTCCAACACATTTCCATTCGATTTCGCTCTACAAACCTCTCGTACAAGCTCCAATTTCTCATTTCGACGTACAATTACAGTCAGGCAGTTTAGGCTTTACTACAAATATCTAAGAAAATAGCTAGATGCTCGTTCCTTTCTTCCTCCCTTGTCACGTTACCCTACTTTATTTATGTGTACAGAGTCCTCCCAGAAAGAGAGAGAGAGAGAGATAAATTCGCGGTCCGCTTCGATATATTTACAACGGGATTTACATTGGTATAATTAAATATTCATACTTTCGGCATTTTTCCTTATTAGGATTCGTAATCCTACGCGTCTTTCTTTTTATACGACAAATCAAATCATCTCTCAAAATCGTCATAATCTCTAAATCTTTAAAGTATACCTAAGAACGCAGAAAATAAATGCAAAATCATTCGACGAAAGATTGTGTAAACGCAAATGAAATATAATTAATGTTGTAATGTCGAGATTTTTTAACCGAGAATATTGCTCTGAAAATGGAAGACGTCTGTCTAAATTAGAATCAATCTACAGATTAATGCAATTGATTGAGCATTGTCTATATATCCGCCGATACTTGCATTGACATCTAATTGCGCTTTTTTTGATTATTACATCTATCCAATTGCAAAATTAATAATACGCCGCTGTTCCTATCCCTGTTGAATCTTACAAATGCATTTATATATCTACTTAACATGATGATTATTATTATTATTTATCATTACTTATATCTCCATTAGCGACTATTATTATTTATTATTATTATTATTATTATTTATGTGTTCGTTAGCGATTGTTAAGAATTATTATTCTCCGTGGTCCAATCGCGATTAATCGATCGTGAGAGAATTCTATTATGTCCTATGTATATTTATGCGCGTTATATTACTGATGTTATTTGGAAAATTATACGGAATTGTTCGAAATGTAGAGAAAATCTATTATGTGCATTAATTAGACTAATTTGGAAATTAAGACTACGAGAGGGAAATTGCATACATATACGGCGAAATTATAATGTCTCGTGTCTTCAACTATATATGTATAAGATATACTATGTATGTATATATATAAAAGAGAAGAGAAAAATAGATCTCATGGCATAATCCTGATATTTTTTTTGTTTTTGCTAGAGTCAAAAATAAATAAATCTCAATACCGCGATAATGTCCAAGAGGAATACAGCTGAGCGCTAACTGCAAGATTTTGTATTTGTCCTAATTAAAGACCCGTTTCGCAATAGCGTTAACTTTTAACTATTTTTGGAACATAAATAATAAATAAATGAGACCAATTATTCTATCGTTAATCGTAAACGGATATCGTTACGACATCGACAAATGACAATTAAACATTCTCTAATATTTTGTATAAGTTTTTACAAAAAAAATATATATTTCACAAAATTATATAATAATGTTCTTTACATAAAATGTCGCGTCATGTGATGTAAAACAATTTTGTCTTAGCGCATCTTTGAGGTCTGCATGCGTAATTACAAATTAAGAAGAGATAATTCTGAATATTGTACAGTTCTACAGCAAGTCTATTAGCTATTCTTTAAGTAACTCTAGTTACATACTTACATACGCATCCGTACCCCTCTTGGCAGTCGATTAGTAACTCTATCGAGTTACAGACATAGGTATTGTCACGATTACTACTTACAGTGGCTAGTCACCGTGGGAGGTTCGTCAATTTTTTAACAATTTCTCACGCGGCTCGTCCGAATTCTTAAGAGGTCTTAATTATACTAGAATGGAAAGAAGTCAGCCTGTCCACATTAATCTAGCGATCGCGATATTGTCGTCCGATCGATTCCATGTTCAGATTCGCTTGGAACGCAGGACGATCCGAGCACGTCGATACTCGCTGTCAGTAAAATTCCGAGTCGGAGCTGTGTTGCGAGTCGATGCCATTTCGGTCATTTAGATATCCCTCCGACGTTTGCTGAATAGATGGCGAATACTGCGTGGTTTCTCCGTTCTGACCTGCGCGACCAGACGAAGAGATTCCGGGTTAATATTGTTTAAATATTTTAAAAATATATAAATATACAAATAACTTACCGTGCGCGGCAAGAATAGTAGCTAAGCACTTGGCCACTGCCGGATTCGGGGCGCAGGCTAACGCAGGCGTGAGTCCTACGGCATCGACAGCCACGACGCTCGCGCCCAATTGCAATAATCGACGAGTAATCTGGACAAAATAGATTTCTTTACAAGAGATCTGCATGTCACATTTATTATCACATTTGTTATATATTATTTATATATAGTATATATTATTAGTATATATATATATATATACATATATATATATATTATATTATATTAGTATACATTATTATAAGCGAGTTCAGCTTACTGCAAAGAGGCCATTTCTCGCTGCCAGATGCAGCGGCGTTCTTTGCTGTTTGTTGGTCATATTGATAATAGCTACTCGTTGCTGTTGCGATATGTTCTTGTCGGCGTCGAATCGCTCAGCAGCCTCGATCCAAGTTAGAAGCAGCGATGCCGCGGCGGAATGTCGTCTCTGGCATGCCAAGTGCAACGCCGTATTCTTACTGGAATCGACAGCACGTACATTGGCCTTCCACTCGAGCAGTAATTCTATCGGATCAGGATGCAACTCATTAATATGAAAGCGCAAACACGATTTTAAAAATGATCAGTAATTACCGATGGCGTTGCACTGCCCATTGACGGCCGCACAAAGAAGCGGCGTCCGTCCGAAGTAATCGGTCGTCTCGAGCCCTGCTAGTTCCGGTCCGACCGAGTTCAGGATCAGTCGTGCGCACTCGACGGATCCGGCGCTGGCCGCGACATGCAAGAGACCGCACGATGAATCCTTCGGAGCCACAACTGCTTGTCCGCCGAATTTGTTGATCAGCAAGTCTAAGCAATGCGCGGATCCTTGATACACGGCGCAATGTACCGCGGAGAACAGATTGTCTGTGAGTGATAAAAAAAAGATATCGATACAATATCACACTATTAATTTACTTCATTATACTATATTATAATATATAATATATGCTATAATATATACTATATTATCAAATATATATTATAGTAATATTAAAAACAATTTTCTTAATATCCCAGGCACCGAGAAAATCACTCACCTTCCAAGGAATCATACACGTTATGATTCAAAAGATACTCGACGCAATTGGAGTTGCCATTGTAACAGGCCCAGTGTAGCACCGTACATCCCTGATCGTCCTTCAAAGCAGCCGCGGTCGGATCGGCTTGAACGAGCGCTGCTAAAGCATATAGTCTAGAAATAAATATTCGAATATAAGACACACAATTCTGTAAATGCGATGAGAATATTTTGTAAAAACGTAATTTCTCCGACCTGCCGCAAGCCGCTGCTAAGTGTAATGGCGTTTTGCCATTCGCGTCTTGCACAGCCACTCGCGCGCCGTGCTTCAGCAGCAACTTCACCAGCTGATTATCCCGTTCGTTAATCACCGCTCGAAAGAGCGGCGTGTGTTTGTTAACATCCGGCAGATTGCAGTCGGCCTTGTACCTCAGCAGCAGCATCACGCACTCCGGATGATTATTCGCTACCGCCAAGGTCAGGGCCGTTCGTTGCTTGGAGTCGTAACGATTCACCACGTTGGGATCATCCGCGTTTTGCAGCAGAAGAGCCAAACAATCGGCGTGACCCGCCGCGGCGGCGCAATGTACGGGCGTACGTTTTGTAACAGAATCCTGGAAATGCCATATATGTATATTATATACGTAATAAGCGCGCGACATTACATTTGTATCGAGTATAAAAATTAAAATCCTTACCTGCACCGACACCGAAGCGCTGAATCGTAACAAAAGTTCGATGCACTGTTTGTGTCCTTTGTAAGCGGCCAAATCTAGCGGCGTCTTCCCGCTGTCTTCCTTGATGTTCGTGTCGGGGAACAGCGGCAGAAGCAATTGTAAGATTTCGTTGTGACCATGATATGCCTAATAACACATACACGCACATATTTTACAAATCAAGCATGTGCGAGGCTTCGTTATTTTTATTGATGTCAAATTCCAATTTTCTGTACCGCGAGATGAATCGGCGTCAACGCAGGCGGAGTCGGTTTCTGTTCCTGTCCAATCGTAGAGGCTGAGCTCTGCGAAGAAGCGGTCGTCACACTTGTCGACGGCGACGGCGCGTCTAAAAGTGCCTCCAAAGCCGCTTGATTGCCGCCCGCTACCGCGTAGTGGATCGCGGTGAAACCTCGTTTGTCGCGTAAATGCGGATCCGCTCGATGCTGCAGCAAGTACTGCACGCACTGGTAAGATCTATGGAAATAAATGAAATAAATTAAACAAAATATAAATATGATAGAGATAAAGAGACTGATTACTGACTGGGCGTTCGAATTCGATGCCGCTGCGGCAAGATGCAACGGAGTAGCACCGTTCACATCTTGAGCGTTCGAGTCGCTCCCGAAGCCGACCAAAGTGAAGACGCAAGGATAGTGTCCTTGGCTCGCGGCGTGATGAAGAGCCAGTCTATTGTCGTTATCGATGAGGCGAAAGTTGGCGCCGCTGGATAACAGCAAATCTAAGCAATCTACGGAACCCTATTCGGAACGTTTGCAATTTGTATTCTCCCGTGTATATGTAAATATGATAATATATAATGCTTTTATAATAATTATATAATATAAATTATGTAATATATAATTATATATAATTAATATATATAAATTATACAATATAAATAATACTTTAAAAGTAGAAAAAGATATTAAATATATATATATATATATTTAACCTTAAATGCTGCCAAATGCAGAGCTGTCCTGCCACCGATGTCTCGCGCGTCGATTCTTCTGCTATCCAGTTGCAAAAGTTTTCTACAGACCTATTAAATTTAATAAATTCAGATATTAAATCAGAAAAGAAACAGCGTATATATATAGATTAGATTGTGAAAACTTTATGAAACTCACTTCTATATGTCCTCCTAGGCAACTCAGATGCAAAGGCGTTCTTTGTTGAGCATTGCGCGTAGCTGGAGACGCAGCACTCTCCATTAAAGACGTTGTCAGACACTCGAAACCAAACCTGTAATTTGTCCTTGTTTGTATTCTTAAGCATACATCTTACTTAGCGATAATGTCGCATGTAAATGCATTTATATGCGTAATATATACACCTTTCCATAAACGAAACCTTACCAAGCAGCGATATGTAAAGCCGTATTTCCGTTCTTGTCCCTTGCATCCGGGAAAGCTCCTGCATCGAGCAGCATTTTGGATCGAGTAAATCTTCCATGAATCGCGGTCATGTGCAATGGCGTACGGCCATCCTCCGACTGAACATTTACCTTCAATCCCTCGCGTATAAGCATCTTGAAACATTGAACACCGTGTAAACTGGTGGCAGCGATGTGCATCGCAGTTTGTCCACGATAATTCACAGCCTCTGCATCAATAAAAATTATTTCCGATTATGTCAGAATAATTCGGTATTCCTAAAAATCAGGGTTGGATAAGTTAATTGTTTTTTTAAACTAAAAATAAGTTAAATTAAAGTTAATGACTTAAAATTAATTTAGTTATGTTGAAAGTTGCATGAACCAAAAGCTAACTCAATTAAAAGTTGAGTTAAAATTCAATTAACTTAAGTTAAATTAAAAGTTAATTTGTAGAAATATTAATTATATTAAATTAAAATGTCATAACTTGAAAATGTTTTAATTTAATATTTTATTTGTTAATTCTTTAAATTTAAAATATAAAATAACAAATAAGGAAATTTTGTTTTTTATATAGAAATATTTTATATAGATATATTTTGTTTTCTTAGTAATTAAAAATACAAAAAAAAATAAAAACTAAAAGTACCTTTATAATTCTTGTAAGAATGACATAGAATGATTATCTTTTATTAAACTTTAATGATTATTAAAAATTCAATTGTTGAATGTTTAAGATTTTAAAGAAAGAAAATAATAGCATTCAGAGATAAAAAAAAAGGAAAAAAGTTTAAGTTTAAAAACTGACTAGTTTAAGTTAAAAATTAACTTATTTTAAATTAAGCTAAAAAAAGCTAAATTAAGTTATAAATTTTTTAACTTTTAACTAATTAACTAGTTACTACCCAACCTTGTCAAAAATTCTCCAAAAAGATTCCGTCGTCTGTGACTCACCTAAATTTACGTGATTAGTCATGAGCGCCTTGATCACAAGTGGACATCCGTTCAAGCACGCGATATGCAGCGGAGTGTTCCCGTACACGTTCTTGGCTTCGATATCCGCGCCAGCGTTGATTAAAATATGTACACATTCTACGTTACCAGAAGCGGCTGCTGCATGTAACGGGGTATATAAATCTCGATCCTTAACATACAAATACAAAATATATGTACAACATAACATATAGCCACCTTCTCCCCGTGTTACAAGAAAGTTATATGCGTACTTTAACATCCACGTCGGCGCCTTTGTCTATTAGAACTTTTACAATCTCGTTGTGACCCTGGTACGCCGCAAAATGCAGAGCCCTCCGGTCCTTTTTATCAGAGGCATTCACTACGCAGCCAAATTGCATCAGGTATTCAACCATTTCGAGATGTCCATTATATGCAGCGTGATGAAGACACGTTCTTCCACCTCTGTTAGATTAATAATACAATAAAAATTTATATGCTATAACTAAAAATAATAAAAAATTTATTAGAAATATAATAATACTCATATTATCATAAATTATTGACAATTAATTAGTGCAATTGTAATTTATACGAAATTATATCCGATAAATAATAGAAAGTACAAACCTATCAGTGACATTGATATTTAATAAGTGCGGTATTAAAAGTTCTACGCATTGCACAGCATTATTTGCTGCCGCTACATGAAGAGGCGTCTGCCAACTACGATCTCGGGCGTTCGCGTCTGCTTTATATCTCAGTAAAATGTCTACCACATTGTAAGTGCCCAAACAACAGGCTCTGTGCAAAGGAGTCAACCATTTCTTATCTTTACTATTAGCTGTCGCACCATTTAACAAAAGAAGTTCTACAATAGCAGTATCTCCCCTGCAATATATAAATATAACAAACATTTTAAATAATTGAAATCATATATGCACATATGTAATAATACAAATCAAAAGATTTTATAATGATTTTATTGATTGAGATAGTAACCTATATGCTGCTGCATGTAAAAGGGAACGTTGCTCCTTGTCTTGCCAATTGACATCCTCTTGTTGTGACAGCAATATACGAACTCCTTCCACATGACCGCGGAATATGGATTGTAATAAAGGAGACTGCAAAAATATATAATATAAAATTTTTCTGTAACTTTATGTAATCATATATTCTTGTATATTCTATATAATTGTTATGTTTTTAAAATATATCTAATTATATATATATATGTATGTGTATATAAAATGCCAAAGAAAATACATATTTAAGGTTAAAGATATGTAATTAAATAATTTTAATTAATGCATTTTATTAGAGACACTTGTCAATTTAAGAAAAGAGAAGACAATATATATAATGCACATAACTGGAATGTGAACAAGATGTAAATCTGTTTATTCTAACTTCATTTTTATGCAACTTTCTCTTTTTTTTTTTAATAAACTCCAAATTATATTAAAATAAATTTAATCCAAATTAAAATTAGGACTAAAATACAGACATACGTATTCGAATTTTTTTAGAGCAAAAAAAATAGAAGATCCAAAATGACAGAACGTGTCTCGTGACTGACGTATACAAAGCGTAGAAATTTGACATAAAACGGTCTAACCTAGCAAATCTCGCGAGTTCGATTCGGCGAGAGGAATCGCGACATACCTCATCGAGAAAATCTTTAAAGACAGATTCATGCTGGCCAAGATTCATGTTGGCGCGTCTTTGTCTGTTTCCTCCGCGTTTTACGAAATTTCTTCCCGTTTTTTCTACGACAGCATCGTCATCTGATCACAAACGAGCGACCGAGTGAGTCATCGGATCCTCGATGCTCCGGGGGAACGACTCTCCCGGCGGTTCTTCGGCAACCTCTGTCAGGACGTCGTAACACCGAAGACGGCACTCGACCCCGGTACCTGGACGAGTTCAACGGCGAGCGACGACGCGCCGGGGCTGCATTTTATCGTTATGTATTTATTACGCGCACGTGGTTGGGCTGTTTCTCGGATGATGCGCTTCTCGTTTCCGCCGCCATCTTCGACTCCCGAGCCGAGCTTGTAAACAACGCGATCTCCGAAACTTGGAAGGAGAAATAAAACAAAGAACAATGTATATAAAGATATCAAGAGCGAAAGAACAAAATCTTTGATGTTTCATTCTTAATTTATTTTCCTTTAAAAATTGCGACGAATATCTTTTGGATTTATTTTAAATTTGTAATTTTTGATTTTTTAAAACAAAAAATGTTTAAATACATATATATTTCAAGATTTATAAAATATAATTATTACAAAGTATATATTGTAAATAAGTATAATTTTTTGAAAGAGCAAAAATGATATATATAAGGGATAAAATATATTTTAAAAATTATGTTATATATTCTTTTAAGTTTAAGTCATATATCTTAATTAATAAATAATCTCACACTATTCTAAAATATATATTTGCGATTATTCCTCAAAGAAAAAGAAAGAAAAAAGCTAATTTTCTTAAAAGAAAATATCAGACACAATTCTAAATAATATTTGCCACAAAATCAACGCGATCTCCTTTCATTAATCAATTTTATATGTAACACAATTTAATTCTACAAAGATAATTATATTTTATAAAATAGCGCAATGGATATATATCAATAAAATAACAAATATTTTACCGCCAATCTTTGTCATAGCAGAGAGACATCTAGTTCTGCCGCCATGATCGAGAACTCGAGTGAAGATAGCGCCAGCTGGAAATGCCGCCAAAATGCATGAAAGTTAAGGAGAGTCGTCTGCTCCTAAAAGAGGCTGGACATGCTTCTTCAAAGCGTTTTGGAAGCCAAAAATTCCAGGTCGCCTAAATGCAATTTACATCATTGAAATTATTAAGACGCAAGTTTTATTACAGCTTTTATCACAAGTAAATATGCAGAATATTTATTATTTATGATGTAATACATATTGGTAATTCTATCAAATTTGTAATAAACTACATAATACTAAATGTATAATAAATATATGAATAAATTGTCTAATAAAAAGTTGTACAGATGGATTTTGATGTTATCTTTGATTGCAATGGTAAAGTAAATGTCAACGATTGGCAGTTGAACAAAGATGGTCTATTACGTCACAATGAAGTGGACAATGTGCTTTTTCCACAAACCGATTATCCTTTTGCCCATACAGAGGTAAGGCTCTTTGACTGTGTCATGCCTGGAGCTGTGGCTGTGATGAATCTTGGACATTTTACTGATTGCATGGAGTAAGTACAAATTTTTTAATAAAATATTGCTATCTCTTCATTGTGTTTATCCAAAGCTATTACATTGCAATAATTTTAGATATATATGTGTTTTTTTTTATATTGCAGAATGCAGTTGAAAATATTGAACAGAATTGAAAATGCAACTACAATATCTAGATGCAATAATGATAATGTAAATTACTTTTCTATTAGGAGAATGATTTGTGAATTTATTTTGTATTTTCGTACATACATGAACAGGTAAATTGAAAATCTTTGTTTCTGTAATATTTTTAAATTATAATAAATGTCTCACATAAGTTTAATATTTCAGCATAAAATGGGATTTCAGTGCACTGGAAACAGTAATGCCTGAAATAAACAAAGATGTAGACACTTTATTTGTCTCCATAAAGCGCTTTCTTAATACACTACATGGTATGCCGGATTCAATTCTGCACTGTGCTGCTTCTAACTTAGGCAATAAGGTAATTAATATATATGTATCAAATAAGCAAAAATAATAAGTTATACAATATTAATACAGTTATTTACATTTTTCAGTGTAATCAAATAGAATTTCATCTCTATCATATGCATTTAGAATTAAGATGGTTTTTTGTTACATTGATACATTCAAGGACTACAATGTATCAATATCAAACACATACATTACTAGAACAATTCGAGAATACTACCGAAATGGTCATTAATGATCTTGTGCACTTTGCCTTGAAAGTATTTGATAGGGTAATAAAAATAATGTATGAATTCAATCCATTTCTATAATAATATTAATATATTATATTATATTTTTTTTATTTAGTTATCCTTAAACTGGACTATGAATCTTGCACAAAAGACACCATACTGCTGCACATGCACAAGAGAATTATGGCTTATGCTTCAAATATTTATTGATAACTTGGAAGAAAAAATGAAAACTAAGGTAAATTATTTTAATATACAATTTTATAAATATAGTGTTCTCATATTGTAAATAATATTAAATAATTTCAGACATTTTGGGATCATGTAAATAGTTGTATTGATAGAATATTGAGTAAAGATCGGACAGAAACGATATTCTGGCTTGGAGGCACGGATTCCTTTCTGCCAAATTGTAAAAATCCCGAACTGTTTGGTATCTGGATAATACATCACTTAGCTTTGTTATATGGATATAGTATAGATGGTGTATATTTACAATCTAATTCATCAAGGGTAATATGCAATGCACACTAACAAATAATAAATTTCACACAAAAAATAAATACATATTTATATGTACTTATTGTATTGTATATTATCATTTACAGATTAAATCTAACTGTGAACAAGTTGAAAAGATCCTAAAAACGTACGTGTGTAAAGGTGGGAAGGATGGTGAAAGAGATGAGTTTGATACTGAACTCAAAATCATAATATTGCTACTACACGATCTTGTTATTAATTGGTGGCAGCCGCGAGTTCCAATAATATCCTTTCTTTGGGACTGTTTCCATAAGAGATTAAACCAATCATTCTTATTACAAACTTCCGGGCCTTGGGCCTTGTCCCTTGAAAAGTATATATAAATGATTTGTACATAAATTAATAATTACAATTGTATAGATTTTAGAATATATATTTAGAATATATATGTGAAATTGTTTTGTAGAAAGAGCGCTGCAGATATTCTGAAACAAATTAACAACAGAATTTATGGCAAGTTTGAACATTCTAAGGAATCTAGCTATGGCATATTTTTGCACTTGATAGGTGAGTTTGATCAAAATTTAATTTACGTATTAATTGTACAACTAAAAATGATAATTTTTCAGGCACGTTTTTAAAGAAATATGGCAAAACAGATTCGAAATATTGGAATCAACTTAAAGGACGTGTATATACAAAATTTTCAAAGAACAAAGTTGCAGAGTTCTCCGAGAATGGCCTCTACAACTTTATTTCCTTATTTATTACTTTAGCAATTACTGCAGATGTTACAAATGTTGTAAGTTAAAATATATGCAATTGCTATTAAGTAGGTATACATTAACAATATTTATATAAATGTGAATTGTTTTTTTCAGTGTATAACAATGTTAGATTTTTTACCATCTACACAAGAATTAAACATTGAATATAATAAAAAGTACAATTTAATCTGGAAAGGAAAGTTAATGTGCCTCCTATTGTTTAACGAAAAAAGATTATCTTTCGTCTCTATAGCCGAACACTTTACAGAAACAGTATGCTTTTGTTTTTACAATATATTTATACACATGTGGATTATATAAATTTAGTAAAAGAAATATTTTTGTTCAATAGATCAATTTAATAAGTTGTCGTAAAGATGAAACATCTCGTTCTATGATGACTAGTTTTGTTGAAGTTTTAAATACGATTTTATCCAACAATGACAAGATGGATTTAGGAGAGCATCATTTCATCGGTGGTTGGATTGATCGTTACCTCTTGGAATGTCCAAAGAATAGAATCGGGTTTTTGCTGGAAATGCTAGCCAATGTTTTTGACAAATGTATCATCTTGCAAATTTCTGGTAACAATTCGGGTTGGTATGTCTGTATTATTTTTATTAAAAAAAACATTGTGTAATTTTTTCTCTACATAATATACATATTTTATAATTTGAAAAAGAGAGAGACCAGAAATATATGAAAACTTACTAAAGCTTGCTTATAGATGGTGTCAGGAAAATGTTAGAAGCACTATGGTGTTTTGTTGCTAGTAGAATTCGCCAACTTGTTTTTGATCCCATCCTTATTGGTGACAATTATAAAATTATTTCCAAACTAGCTGTCATATTTACATTAGAAGCAGGTAGAGAGCCAGCTACTGCTAAAAAATATAAGCACTCAGCTGTATCTTTATTTCAACATTTTGCAGCATCGATATTTTTGAAAGATATAAGGTAAAAATAATTTATTTAAAAATGAATATCTAAATATATTATATGTGTGTTGATAACATTATATTTTCAGAATTACCCAATATTATTTAGTATCTATTCTTGAGAATAGAGAAGCTATACAAAACTTAAAAAAAGAAGTTCCAAATTTCGATATTATTCTTATCCAAGTTTGTATATAATGCATTTATTATTATATATGTATTTATATGATAGATAAATTGTGAAGCAGTCAATAAGTAAAATACATGTTGTAGGCTTGGATAAAATGTTCTATCATTGGTTATGGCACAGACAAAGAGGAAATAAAGATACTGCATAATTACATTGCCGACCTCAATGATATTAAAGAAATATTCGTATCTGATTGCGATCTGCACGAATTTAGAAACAGCGATGAACCTATTTTAGTATTCATAATATCATTCATGAAGAAGCAAAATGCTTTGCAGGTATTTATTTTTATATGGTTAATATATATATATTGATATTTATATAATCAGAATCAAATTGATTGAAAAATTTCTGTAGTCTGTACAGGAAAAATTTCAATATAATGCAAAATGTAAGATGTACTTCAAAAATGTAGAGAAATGGGCTCTGCTACCTATAACAGAGGAAACAAAAGATTCTGAACTTGCATTTTGGATTTACAGATGCCTTGGAACATTGATTCTCTGCATTTCTCCAACACTGTATACTAAAGTATGTAATTTAATAATTATTAAGATTCATATCTTTTAAAAAAATTTTTACTTTTACAGAACCAACCAAACGATATGTTAAGAACGCTTATCAACAAAATTATCTTAGTACCCGAAAATTCTACGCATTCGTATATAAAGCAACTAGGGAAGAGAATATTCTCGATGGTAATTCTCGGCCTGGAAAAATTAAATATCAAGGGTGACATACTGCTGCAAGCGATGGTCAGAGATATCTTTGATCAATATTTGCCAATTTTGATAACTGAAATTAATAGTGGTTGCAGCTTTAAAATTTTTGATACGTTGTTAAAATGCTTTAAGGAAGCGCAACCCGAATTTCTGCGTTCGATTTTTGAAACGCTCATGTCGAATTTTTACAATATATCATCTGACAACGTCATGCACAAACACTCCAACTTGGTATGCAGAAATAATTTTTTTTATAAAATGTCTGTGTGGTTGCAAATATATTTATTATACATTCTCACACACACACAGATAACTTGGCTTATAAAAACATTGCTTAAAGAAGGAAGAAGATATCCTAAACATATCATAGAACATATAATTCAAATTTGTTCTCCAAACATCTTTGGATGTTATATGAAGATTCCAGATCATCATCCGCATAAGATACATACAATTGACTTTATTGATGATATAATTAAAAATCCTTACTACGAAGAAGATAAATTCATCAGGTAAACAAATTTCTTAGAAATATTAAATTAAATTTCGAGTCATCTTTATAATCTTGTCTTCATATTTTCAGGGAAAAATTCCAAGCCGCCATTTCTGCTGCAGTGCAAAAATATTTGACGCTACATACACAATTTACGTTTGAATTTATACGATCTGTTCTATCGTTAAAAAAAAGTATAATAATTAATTTGTTTCCACAAATTGAAGCTATTATCCTTCAAGCTGAACAATATCATCGACCTAATGCAGCATCCTTGAGGTAAGACTAATGATAATTTTCTAAATATAAAAATTCTTATGTCTTTGTAGCAGAATATGAATATAAAAAAATTATTATAATTTTATAGATTCAAATGGAATCAACTCAAAAAACATATGTTGAATATGGACAATAATTCGTAATAAGATTACAAAAATTTATTAATAAGCGCTAAACTTCTAAATAATGACGATTTAGATGCTCTAGATTTCCATATATTTGGATATTAATTAGTATCTGAATCTGATAGATTTAATTATTTCAATATACACAAATGCATAAATCATTCGTATTCAATGACTTCATCAAAATATGTAACATAAAAGTTTAAATTATGTTACTATATCATACTTACAAAATATAAATAGTAAAATAAAATGTAAATTATTGTCACGTATACCATAGAAATATAAACAATGATCAGCTGCGATACACATGTAATTTACTTAAATAATTATGGTAATTGTATCGTTTCTACCACGAGGTAGAACAAAGTGGAATTTACAAACTGTCGAAAACAACACATCTAAATTTTTTCCCTACTTTCGATGTGAATGCCTCGAACGATGATGTTTCAATGACGTATTACCCGGAGGCGATTGTCATCCAATTAACTCGAGACGAGACACAGCATTGCGTACAGCATTACGTAAACTTTGTTCGACATTACCACTTAATAACGATTCCAGCCTCTCAAAGTAACTGTCGACATTTTGTAATGTAGCACCGTCATGCGTGCCTATATGTTTGCGAAAACAAACATTTATAGAAATAAAACATTGAATTTTTATGTAAAATCGTCGTACGAATTTTATTCTGGGGAAACTTACCTGGAAGTGGTATGGTAGCAAAGCAACCTGCCAATTGCGAACGAAGAGAATCCAAATTGCGTTGTAGAGCTTGATTGTTCGTTCGTTGTTGATTAGTTTCCGATTCCAAGCGATTTACAGCCGCATGCAGACTGTCGACGTGTCGTTGGAGAACTGCATTCTGAGATTCATAGTCGGATGTAGCTTTTCGCAATTGTCTCAATTCAGCTTCACAGGCTACATTTTTATAACAGATATTTTTATTAATTTTATAACTAATCTATTTTATCGAGAATACATTTAACCAACATTTTACCTTTGTTGTGATCTAGAAATTCTTCTGTAAAAATAGGGATATCAAAACCTGTAAAATCATTGTCCTTCTCTTGCTGAACATCCTAAATGAAGTTTTTATTAGTACTCTGCACTAGAAATAATATTAAATACAAAATAACAATATTATCATACATTCTGCTCGACGTTTACGTCAGTGCCGTTTCTTTCCTTTTTATTTTCATTTTGCCTCTCTGATTGTTTTTCATTGAACAGCCGATATGCTTCAGTTTGCTTATAGTTGTTAAACTCGCGATTGTACCGCTCCTTATCTTGTTCAGCTGCGTCCAAATATTGCTGCAAATATTTTATTATTATTATTATTATTATAAAAATGCAAAAAAGAAAAGAAAATATAACAAGAAGATACAAACCTGTTTCTGATCACTTGGTAATTTACTCCATTCCGAAGCTAAATGCTTTGTAATATCTGCAAATGTTAAACTCGGATTTTCGCTTCGAACTTTTTCTCTCCGGTCATTTAAAAACCTGTAAATTATATTACATTAAAAACAGTATTTTAACATAAACTCTAAATATTTTTGGATTTAGTCATTACAGGAAATAACCGCTCAGAGGTTGTTTTGGCGCAGTGGCATCTCTTGGAGTCTTCTTGCGTTTTTTCGTTCTATTTGGTGTATTACTGTTGCCAGTGGCGCTCCTTTTTATACCATTATCGCATATTGAATCTGGTACTTTCTCTTCGATACTTACTGGAGATTTGACTAATAAAACAAAAGGGATATGAGAAAAATTATTCAACTACCATTATAAAACACAAATCAAGCAAGTCATGCTTACCAGCATGTTCTTCTGCTTCCCCATTGTAAGTAGATTGCTCCATTGCACCGTTGCTCTCCGGCATATCATTTGTTGGAGTCTCGCTCATCCTTTACAATATAATTACTTTTTGTATGTAATGCTAATTTGATGCAAATAATTATCTTATCAATCTTAGACAATGTCCATTATATGGGTAAAATACACATTAAATTGTTGTCCTGCAACAGCACATAAAATTATACGTATTTGTTGAAAATTGTATAATTAATATTATCAATGAAAATTTTCTTAAAAATGTGACTATCACATTGTTAAGAAATAATGTATTAAATAATAAACTGTATATTAACCTTTCAACCAATAATGAATTACGAGATGAAATTGTAGAATAATTAGTATCTCATTAATATTAATGAAAACGACTCGATATTGTATTGGACACGACGCTCGTTATCAACTGTAATTATGTCGCAAATAGCACTTTTCTATTGGAAAAGGGAGCTAAACATTTAGTTAGATTAGGTTAGGTGTTCACTAATGAAAATCCGTTCTTTGGATGTAGTACACTCTTTCTATACAATTTTTACCACAGTGTTTTTATCCTTTTTATATTCTTCGTGTTCACGAGTTTATTTTTCTCACCGACAAATAATTACGATCAAATATTTGCACTAATGACACATGAAATACAAGACACAGTCCCGAAAAATATACAGAGATATACCACATTCGGCATTCGGCTCGCAAAAATATTAAAGCCCAGTTTCTCATGCGTCGAAATGTCAGTCGACCAATAAGATTACGCATTGAACACGTAACTTTAAATTGACAAATTGAGAATGAGGTTAAATTGCTAAATTTATATTTAAAAAGAGATGTATAAATTGATGTGTAAACAAAAAACTTCGAATTATTTACATTTTTCTATAAAATATGCGTATTTAAATCACGCGCGTATTCTCTCTCTCTCTCTCTCTCTCTCTCTCGATGTTTTCGAAAAATCGTTCTCTTATCAAGAATATGTATGTCAAAGTGTGAAAATATTTTAATAATAACACATATGCATATTTATAAATTAAAAAAATCATGCGCGACTGAGCAGTGATTGTATCGATAGTTGAAAAAGATTTGCGAAATAAACGTATAGGAAAGTGTCAGAGGGCTGATGTCAACCAATGAAAAACCGGAGTTTGCCGGTGTACAGTTCGGCACAAAATATCATTTCGGCACACGTGTGCATAACCGGACGGGAGTAGACGTCAACGGTGTCGGTGGATGTTTACGGAGGAAATTCTTTATTTTTCCATCGTATAGTTTTTAGATTTTATCGCAAAAGAATGGAGTATATTTATCGATTACCGTTCTTCATTCTGGAAGTGCCTAATTTAAAATTAAAGAAACCGTCCTGGTTTGTGAAACCTAGTGCTATGATAGTTTTCTCCTTCATTCTTCTGTCGTACTTCTTGGTAACAGGAGGTTAGAGATTTAAACATCTTGATTCTTTTTATTTATTATCATAGCAAAAATATTAGTTATCGTATTCAAATATCTTATTATAATGTCATATACATATAAATAAAGTCACATCTTGCGCATAAAGCTCAGTGTTTATTAAAAATTCTATAATTAAAAAATGTTTGTAATGTTGTTGAACTTACATATGTTTTGTAGGAATCATATATGATGTAATTGTTGAGCCACCCAGTGTGGGATCTACGACAGATGAACATGGTCACACAAGACCTGTAAGTAAAGAATTTTTATTTTCAATAATTATATTTCTTTAGTGTTAATTCAACAGTGATCCTTACAGGTAGCATTTATGCCATATCGTGTAAATGGACAATATATCATGGAAGGCTTAGCTTCCAGTTTCCTATTTACAATGGGTGGCTTGGGCTTTATCATATTGGATCAGACTCACGGCCCATCGACCCCAAAACTTAACAGAGTTCTTTTGATTTGTGTTGGATTTCTCAGTATACTTGTGTCATTTGTTGCATGCTGGATATTTATGAAAATGAAGCTTCCGTAAGATGCCACATTTACATTTTAAAACAACTATATAAATTGTTATATTAATAATATTTTTTTTAATGTAATTTTAGGGGGTATCTGCAATCCTAAATAAAAATCATATTATGTAAATTCCATGGACATTCTGAACATCATTTTTATATCATATATTATATGGGAAATCTTACAACATACAAGATATTGTAATAATTATTGATTGGTGATTTTTGTAATAAAATATGTTAAGTAAAACAAAAATAATTTTAATATTATTATTATTAAAATAAGATAGGAGGATAATTATAACTCTCTTTTAAATATACATAAATATAAAAGTATAAATGTAACAATATGTGCAATTAAGTTTTTAAATATCCTTAAATAAAGATATGTATTTTTAAACATATCTAAAAATTTATATGTGCTAATATAAAAATAATTTTTATATTCAGGACAACACATTTAAATTGACACTATTTTCATAATGTTAACCAAATTATAATTAAATTATATTCATTTACGTTTGTCACATAAAATATAAAACAACTTTGTGAAGAGGAATATTTATTGATCAAGAAGAGATTTGTTTTCTCTTTCATTTATTAGAGCGTCATATATGTATTTAATATATCATTGTATAGTGTATGGCAGTTTTAATTAGACCACTACATTTATATAATTGTGTCTGTTCCTGCTATTATATATATAATTATATATATAATCTATTATATATAATTATATAATAGAATAAATAAGGCCAATAAAAATAAAAAAGATTGTTAGTATCGTTTTTGGTTTAGGCTTAAATTGTAGAGCCTTGGCACATTCTCCAAGTGTTAATGTCATGTTTTTTTCTTTCCTGAAGTATATATCAGGCCTATGTGTCTACATTGTCACAATTATAATTAATCAATATATTCAGTCTTTTACTGTAATAGAAGATATCTTGTTAACAGTATTTGTTAATCATTCTTTTATAAACGAATACGAAAACTCCTGTAAAAAGGTTTTAATATTATTGATAAATTGAAAATGAAATTATGATTTAGTAATACAAAAACTTACTTGGAAAAATCACTACTTTTCTCTATAATATGTTCAAATTCGGCAAAACTCAGAGCACCGTCATCATCTAAATCAGCTTCATCAAGAATATATTGGAGAAGTTGTTGCATATCACTGTCGTTTAATCTTTGAGGTGCAGTTAATCTATCTATCACTTGTCTCAAATCTCCCACACCAAGCATATCATCACCATCAAAATCTATATTAATAAAGCAGCGTCAGTAAAATAAAAATAATTTAACTCGCATTCCACAAATAAAACTAATTAGAAATATCAAACTTACCAAATATCCTAAATGCATGTTCAGCTTTTACAGCTTTCGGAGCAGCGTCACTGAATACAGACATCATGTCCAGGAAATCTTCAAAGGTACAATCACCATCCTGACTAGAACTAAAGACCTTACAGATTCTATCCCCAAAAGGATTTACTCTTAATTCAGGATATTGCAAAATTTTAGACATTGGTAGCTTTGCATTTCTATTGTGTCCAACTTTTTCTGGTGCAAGTGCCTTAAATTTCTGATGTGCGCTGTAATAAAGAAAAAAATATAATTTTATATATCCTTTAATTAAATATAAATATATAATAATTAATAATATAAGAAATACGATATATGCTTATAATAAACATAAATGTTTATTTAAGCATACATTTAAGTTAAATATGTCTCACTGATTATATACTCACTATAAGACTTCCTTTTTTGTAAAGTATGTTAAATCCTGTTAATAAACAGAGAAAATAGTTTTGATTTAATATATACATATATTCTTGAAAAATAAAAAATAATAAGAAAATAAGTACTTGATAGTCTTGCAATTCCTCTTCAGTAAATTGACTTTTTCCTGCACCCATTTTCACACACGCAAAATTTTACACAATGTGTGTGTCAATCGTAGGCCCATCAATTATCTTGATCATTAAATTCGATCATCCTCAATCAGCATTACATGCTACTGATGATTAATATTTAAAATATGTCTCATATGACACCTGTCAAAATAACCACAGATATAAAAATGACTTTGTCAAATAATGAGAAATTCTAACTAAAAATGTATTTTCTTTAAATTGACATTAACGATTGACTAATTATTTCACGTTTGTCAAACGAATTAGAAGTTGCTACTGATGACTAATATATAAAATATGTCTCGTATATGACAGCTGTCAAAATAACCACAGATACAAAAATGACTGTGTCAAATAATGAGAAAATCTAACTAGAAAATGTATTTCTTCCAAATTGACATTAACGATTGACTAATTATTTCAGGTTTGTCAAACGAATTAGAAGTTGCTTTTGTAATTAGAATTGTTTACATACTTCTCTTGTACTGTTATTGATCTGACAAGCGACCATTACGCTCTCTTCCTATCTGCACTTCCTGTACTTCGACTATTCAGACGTCAAACGAAGAAGACACGAAAGAAAGGAGACAGAGAGATGAGATTAAAGTACGTAAAAACGAACACACGTGGACGCACTTTAAAGCGATAAGAGCAGAAATAAGTACAGATTTTGTTGGAAGAGGATTTCAAACGATTTCATTCGGAACGAGTCTGCGACAAAAGACAAACAATGGCGGATAATATTAAGAAGATCGTGAAAGATGTTTACTACGATCCGTTTAAATGGTAAGTTAACGCAAACAATGTAAACAATTGTCATTTGTTAAAAGATCTTGAGAAACAATCACGAGTTGCTGATGAAACATAACCTTCATAATTCATTGCACTTATATAATTTTTAAAATATAAAATATATAAATACACAATTTAATTATTATTACTTTGAATAAATTAATATCGTAAATGTTGTTATATATATATATATATTTTTTTTATTAATATAGTATGATTTATGTTATGAATATTCAAATTGTAATTATTTTGTTAACTATCTCTTAGTGGAAATATATAATTGTATATCTGTATTATTTATACATACATGTATCGATATTTTTAATATATATTTTATCTCAAATTACTCAATGTTTTATATTATAATAATGATAATTTTTTATTAACAGGTCAGTAGTAAAAAACATTGCCTTTTTGTAATTGGTGTCAAGATTGCCATCGAATGCAATGGGATGACTCTTATGCCACCAGTCTCTGTTTAAGACTACTCTTATGTAGAAGATCCGAAAAAGAATTGTTCAAATAACCCAAATACTTTAATATCGTGTCACCATATCTTATAAATCCATTGCAGTTTCATCGCAACACAATTCAACTTTATTTACATTTATAAATATATAATTGTATTTAGAAAACGAGATATTGTTGAAGAATTTTTTAATAAATAACATATATGTTATCAATTTATTTTCTTAACAATTTTTAGCTTCTTTCATCAATGATAATATTAAGTTGGATTTTATATTATATTTATATACATGATTCATTCACGATTAAAGTAAAATTTATAGCTATATTAAAAATTATAAGAAAAAGAAATTAACAGAAACTTTATAATTGAAAATATGTATATTAATTTTTTAAAGTAATACATCTTATAAATTTTCTTGAGGAAAGAAAGAAAAAAAATATATAATTAATATTAATTTCAAATATGTCATTTAATAAAATTAAACGATGAAAAGTAAATATTGTGAAGTTTATTTTTCATCCAGATATATCTGCAAAAATTTAATCATCTTGTAAATTTTTAACATTCCATTACCACGTGTTTTTTAATGCGCCTGTAATATGCAACCACGTGATCAGCTTACACAAATGTAACCTAAATGCTTTTTCGGCGCAAATATCAAGAAGTTATAAATTATATACGAACGGAAATTGAGGAGATAAGTTTATCTTTAGTCCTAAAAATTATTTGATTTTATTATTGTATTTTTTTGCTAAAGAGAGATACTTTTGATGTCAAACGTCAACTTTGCGTCCAATCGATCTCGTTTTCCTTCTCGACCAATCAGTATGATCGTTTCTTAGTATTTTTTTCTGCTATAGGTTTATTCTAAAATTCACTTGTCGATAGGATTGCTTTCGATCGACAAATCAAGATAAAGAATGTCGAGCTAATCTTCTTCGATGAATACATTTTTGAACACAATCTTATGATAAGCCAAAAATCCTTGAAATGTCTTGTATATAAACACTTGTGAAACTATGTAAGCTGTAAATTGATATAACACAGTGATTCAGAGATAATACGTTGTGGATGACATTTTTAGTCTGCTAATTAAATATTAATTGTACATATAATTAAATAACGCACGTTTCATTTTTTTCTCGATGATAGATTATATATATAATATAAAATAGAATATATACAATAATAAAAATATTAATAAATAAATAGTGTTGTTACATGTATAACAAGTTGTTTCTCACAAATTTAAAGTTGATAAAAATATAAGAATTTTTATACACAATCTAACATTCCTCGTCTAACACTTGTTTATCAAAATGAATGAAAATAATGATGGTTCTGAACTTGAAAGCAATGATGATTCCGAATTTGAGAGGGTTATTGATTCTGAATTACCAGGTAAATATTTATAATAATATTATAGGCAACTAATAGTTGTTAAGTAATAGTAAAAAAAAAATTATTTTGCCATTAAATATTTTTATAGATATTTGCAATGATAAATGATTAAAATATTTATTTTTAGGTATAATTGGAGCATTGTTAAACTCTTTGGATGACAAGAATCAAGATGTTAGAGTATCTGTCATTAAATCGATTGAAAGAATAAGCAAGAAGAATCCAATGGTTGTCAGTCGAGCTACTATATACTTCTGGGAAATGCATAAAAAGGTTTTTATAATATTCATAATAATTAGACATTGTATAATATTGCACAAATTCAATCATTATATAACTCTTGTTGTTTCAAAAAGATATCCATGGAACATATGGCATCTCTGTTGAACATAATGTCCAATATCTGCAGACATTCAGCTGCAAGTTTAAACAAAGGTGTAGCAACGTCTTTTGCTGAAATAGCAGTAAATAATCTAGTAAAAGAGACTGAAAATGAGGCAGCTGAATTGTTGACGGAACTTTGTAAAATGTATTGCAAACAAGCCATGGGTGGACTTTTGCCTAAGTATGCACTCTATCATCTTTCATAGTTATAATAAATTGATCTATTCGAGACAGAAAGAAAGTGATAAATTATAAAAATTTTACAAATTGTACAACATTATATAATCTTATATCTTATATTTGTAGATTAGGACATGGGATAATTCCCAACGCCACAATAGTTTCCACAATAAAAAAGCTTACGATAGCGAATCCATATGGGATGTTGTCCTTTATTAAAATAATATTGACTATTATGTTACCAATGTTAAATCAAATACGTGAAGAAGCTCTTAAACAAGAAGTTTGTCTTAGTAAATATATATCATATATATTATAATACTTTTGATAGTATTAATAAAACTGTATACAATTAAATTTTTTATTTACAGTGATTAGTAAGTTTTGTGATGCTATAAATGATTATATGATAAATGCAAACGTCCCAGAATTTAACAAACAAACTTTTGAGGAGGATATCTATTGTGCCTACAATATTCTAATGAACAATTGGTTGAAAACATCTCGTGATTCTGAATCAATAGAAGCTATTTTAACTGCATTAGTTTCTATAATACCTCTGCAATCCGAGCAGCAAGATAGTGAGAGAATTATAAGATTGATACCTATATGTTTAAATCTTTCTAAGAAATCAACTACACGTTTGGCTGCAGTAAAGTAAGTTTCATATTCTGTAATAAGTTAATTATTGAATTGACTGTATTAGATATTTCTCTTTCTTTCTCTTCCTTTACTTTAAATAGAGCTTCTATGTATTATATATTAACTTTCACACAAACAATTGTTTCTTTTTATTCAAGTAACATTACATTTTTTAGGGTTTTAGCTGTACTTTTAAATTGCGTCAACACCGAAAGTGATAAAGAGACACTTTACCCATTTATAGATTATATACTTCAAATTTTATTCGAATATGTTAGTCTCAACCCTTACGGAGCACTTCAATATGAGGTTCATATCCATCACGAAGTGCTGAAGTGCTCACAATCATTGGTTGTCTTGTATCCTGAAGAAGGTCTCGACAGGTAATATGCATAATGTTCTCAATTCAATATTTAGTTAATAAATACAAAATTGTGAGAATTATAATCACTTATTGCACATATCTTTTTGTCAAGAATCTTGCAACAGTCAAAGTCACCGACTGCCAATCAACGTGCTCGTGCTCTGGTCGTTCTGAAATTTCTCATAAACACTTTTTCAAAGGTATAGAAGTATACAATAGTTTTTGGAGATATATGTATATAATGAAAATATAATATTGTTTTATCAGGATGATGGAATATTGCAAAGAATAGCGCTGAGCCTGCAGGAGTCTCTTGGAGAGGACAATACACTGCAAATGATTAGTGTCATAGCGGCACTCGCGGAAAAGCCGACATTTCCTCTTCTACCGTTACAGAGAGCAAAATTTATTCGTTATCTGGTAAATAACGTGCAAGCTAAATTTAGAGAAAACTAATAAAGAGATTAATTTTATCTTGTTATGTTATGAATAGGTGTCGCATTGTGAAACGAAGAACGACAACATGAGAGAATGTTCTACAGCTTTACATTTAGTCGCGATAACAGTCAACGGTGCCGAATCTTGGTTGTGGCCGTGTTTGATAAATGCATTGCTGGATCCATCTTGTACAGCATCTGTAAGCAACGCAGAACTAAGATATTTATTGTATAGTGATACCCAAATCTAATTGCTCTTTTTTCCATATGTAGGCTACATCTGTGTTACAATCACTGACTCCGTTAGCAACAAAAATAATATGTAGTGAAAACTCTTCAACAGACGAGAGGGATTTTCCTGGCACGAAAGTCTTAGGTAGATGTCTAGAATTATTAAGCGATCCAGTTAATCGACTTGCCGTTGTGATTTTTTTGAGGGCGGCGGCACCTTTGATGGGACACCGAGTGAAACCTTACTGGGATGAAAAGTTACTGGAGCTTTCTCAGGAATGTGCACACAAACGAACCGAAAAATTCCAAAGGAGCAAAAGAATCCACGCAATGGTAACAATACTTTTTCAGAGATTAGTTTTTGACTTATGAATAATTATTGAGAGAGCTTTTTTAATTTGTTTTTTGATATTACGCAGGGATTTAATTTGGGAAAATAAGGTGGTAGAGTGGTTGGAAGAGAGCGTGAAATTAGAAGGAGAATCGTGGGGCGGCAGCGTGGCGAACGAACTTGTTTCGAAAGCAAGCAAACCGAATGTAGCCTTGCTTTTAGCATCTACGTGCAACAATAATGCTCACATTAATCTGCTAGTCGAACTCGCACGTTCTCACGGCACTACCAAGGAATTCGCGCGAGCGGTCGGCATCTGCGCCAAACGACATTTGAATATCGTGTTGAAATTAATGGAGGAATTTTGCACTGCCGAGGACGTCAGGAAAGTCCCCTTGAAGCTGTTGGGTTTAATGAGAGACGCGAAAGCCGCGGCTACTGCTGAAGCAGCAAAGGCGGGTTTGTTGCAATCCTATGCTGAAATTGCTCGGAAAGTGGATCCGAAGAAATTCTTCCCCGCGTATGAAAAGCACGTATTACCGTGGACCGTCAAACAATTGAACGAGTCTAAGGAACTGTCTACAAAAGAAGCGGGACTGTTAGTCTTGGAACAAGTAATTTAATTTATAATTTTAATAAAGTACTAAATAATTTAATTTTATGCTTGTAAATATCCATACTTAAGTGTGAAATATTCTTTACTTGTCGAATGTTAATAAGATTGTTGATTTGTAGGTAGCTAATGCTGTTCATCCTACCAAATTTTCCGAATTTAAGGGCTTACGTATAAAGGCTACTGCTCTGACCACTTTATTGGGAATTTTGCAATCGTCAACTGGATATAGACCGTTGCAGCTTTACCCAGCAATACTAAAAGCAATAAACTCTCTAATGTATGTTAAATTTAATATTTATTTAATATTATGTGTCTCTCTCTCAAAAAGAAATAAATATATAAGTAATAAGTATATTTCTCTCTCTAAACATTTTCATATAGACGTATAGCGCCAATGCTAAATAATGAAGAAAGAGAGATATTTCTCAGTGCAATATTGGATAAGACAATCAGTGCCAGTGGACAGGTATGAAAATTAAGATTACAAAAATCATATACTTATATAATTGTCATCGAGATGATTAATCACTATCTGTCTGTTAGATTACTCTTCTTGTAAATCCAAAAATAATGCGACAAGTCATAGATGAATTGGGTGCCACATCTAGTGAAATTGTATCTGATTCAGCAGATGCATTAGCTGAGTTATTCGATATAGTGTTACCTTGGATGCAAGCCAAGTCAAATATGGAAAGAAAAACAACTCTCTTCGTATTACATACAGTGCTACAGTAAATATTACAATATATTATTGTCTTTTACATCTATATATACGCCAGATTTGTAAAGTAAATTACCTCTTTTGTACAGGTCCTATTATAATTCTTTAAAGTATACATATCCAGGTGGCAAGTTGGACGCTGGTAAATTAGTAGCGAGAATTTTCTGCTGGTGCGCGGACAATGATTGCGATTTGAGACCAATAGCGATAGATTGTACACTTCTTTCTTTGGATATTGCAGCTCGTCACCGTCAAATATTATCTGATAGCCCCTCGATTGAAAATCTGGAACAAATAAAGAAAGAAATAACTGAAAACGATGCATTGTCCTATGGAACTGTAAAAGTTAGTTTGTATAATTGAATTATTTGACAACTAAGCATGCAGTTAATCTTATATTATTTATTATAAAATATTATTAATGAAAGATCGAGATTATAACATGCAATTTTTTTGTTACAAACAGGATCTAGCTCGTGCAGTATCAAATAAAATTCCCAACAGTGAGATAGTTAGCTTTGCAGAGGGATTGATAGAAGGCTTGCTACTCTATCAAACGAAAGAAGCAGGCTATATGGCGGCGATATGTCTTGATCAACATTTTTTAATTAGAGGCTCAGAGATATCTAGGACCGACGTTTGTTTAGTTGGTATGAAAAGTATACAAATTATCTATAATTAATTGCTGTTACTGCATCAAAAAAGAATAATTTTAAGAGTTTAACTAGGCTCTGTAATATAAATATAAATTTAACATATATAAGATAGGCAATAAGAGCCAAATCGCGGATGACAGTGCGTTATTCTAAACGAAACTAAATTTTTTCGTTAGAATTAAATACCTGTGCACAAGGCACCAAATTTTTACTTGGACACGGCCAAGATATAAAATTGGAATAATCTCTACAAGAGATTTTTTTTAATTCCATGTATCCCCTATTCCCCCTAAAGAATAATTTTGTTTAATTTTATACTATATTATTAACAAAAATCTATTTCTCTATATTATAGATAGTATTATTATACAAATGCGACAAATTGATAATAAAGTTTGCAAGTATAGTGCAACAGTAGCTATAATATCGCTGATGAAGCATCATCTGGAAGAAGTGTGCGAACATCTCTTGTCTCAGCCACTACCTTTGGATGCAGGTACCAAATTGTGTTGGGAAGAAATTCGCAATAACGACTCTATTGGACCTAAAGTAAATGTCTATCTTTTAATATATATATATGCATACAATTTTTTTATATTACATATACTTATATACATATACATAGAGATATACATATAAAGATGGGACATGATTTTTTTCCAGACTTTAGAATTCCTACTGATAAAACTCAAATCTGGCAGTCTGTTCAGTGAAGCTGTGATGTCTTCTGGAAAAAATAATACTGCATCTCTCGCGTCCTTGTCAGTTGTCGTGGCCTTGAAATATCTTTTAGAATCTCCGAATATTGAAAACTTGATTCAGAAACAGTTAGCGGAATTGTTATCGATTCTCCTCAAGTACCTTTCAGGCTGGCTACGCATTGAAGCTCCTGCGTCACTGGTAAACACCAAGTACGGATATGTACCGAATCGGGCGGCGCAGAAGATGAATCCATATGCTGAAGTGTATTCTGTAATAACTAATATATTGATGGTCATTCAGCCGGAAATCACGTATAGTTTGCTAGTGGAAACCGTACGTATTAAAAAGTAGTGCTTTAGACAGTTTAAATATAATTGTTTAGATTTTATCGTGTGAATGTAAAACTTTCAGTCCTCTTCCGAGACGCAAAACGAGGAGAGCGTGATATTTATCGTACAAACATTGATTAAATGCATAACGAACAGGCACGAGGTTCTGTTGAACATGGCGCAGATCCTGGGTAAATTAGTGACTAGTACCATACCCATACAACGGGCAATTGCCGTGACATTTTACACGGAACTGATCGGCAAAGTGGACTGTGGCGTTATATGGCTTGATACTATAATTAATACTCTACACGAATCCAAGACCGATTCATCGTCTTTGGTGCGAAAGCACGTCATCATCGGACTTGCTAGAATAGCTTATTTGGATCCGATATTGGTAAAGTCACAGATGTACAGATTATATATATGTTATAATAAACGTCATATAATAATAACATATAACATTATATAATAAACATATAATATATAAATGTATATAATTAGTATAGATATCTGTGAGTAAAGTCAATCAATTTTTTCTCAACTTTATTCTCACATACATATAGTTTTTTAAATAATATAATCGTTGTCCTTCAGGTCGATGATTACTTTGACAATTGTATGGATGCTTTACTTAACGGACTAGAAGAAAGCGCTGGTGGGGAAGGCGGGGCTGAAGTGGTACTGGAATCGTTGCGAGGTCTCTCCGAACTATTATCAGCTCAATACAAGAGGCCCGAAAGTCTGCGAGTGATATTAGCCTTGAAACCGTTCATCGAGAAGGAAAATTGGGAAATGAGGCTCGCCGCTATAGACGCTTTGGGTGCGATAGCTACAAATTGGGAAAGATCAATCAGCTCACCGGATGATGATTTGATCGATCATCTTCTAAGCTGTTTGCCGTCTCTGATAATAAGATTAGAAGACTCAAATACAATGGTAGTTATGGTAAGAATAATAATAGAAAGTAAATTAATTAATATTATATATCAGATATATTTGATATACTCTCTTATTTATATCTTTTATGCGACAGGTAACACGGCAGACGTTATGTAAGGTCACTACTGTTGTGCAGAATAAGAAACTATTGCATGTGATACATGAGAATTTGGGACCAAAAGCGAATTTTAATTTCGAAACTTTTTCCGAGATTTTGATAAATTGTTTGAAAGATGAACTTCCACAAAGAGCGGAAGAACTCAGGTAAATATAACGACGTTATAATATATAATTTCGTATAAAATATATATTATAAATTTTGTCATTTTATTGTCAGAAATGCTGTTGTTCGAGGCTATTCCAAATCGGAGAATGATTATATCAGAGCTACGTCCGCGCTGCTCTTAGGATTTTTCAGCTCTCCGAGACCTGAAGACATACAAAGACTGTTGCAACTCTTGCGTGATAAGAAAAGTATCGTAAGAATACGCGCTTCGCAAGCTCTTTCATTTTGTTTTACGCTTTAGCGCGGATATTTCGATAATTTGTCGCACTAGTTAAGAATTGCATCTTCCTTTTAAATTATAAGATTTTTTGTAGGGCTACATTTTTATTCTTTTGTGATATTGTTTATTGTAAAATATATATTATTTATAAAATATAATTATATATATATATATATATATATATTTATAAAATATATTAATATATATATAATTTTTATATTATAATATATATTTATAATATATATATATATATATGATAATTATATATATATTTATAAAATATATTATGTAATATTTATATGTAAACTTTTTACAGTGTATCTATATCATTATAATATTTGCTGAATCGCTATCATGCTTCCTCAGCTGCAATTGTAATTATTTATTAGAATAATGTAAAAAGACGTACACTCGTAAAATGAGTTGAAATATTACTTTTAATTGGCCAATTGATAAGTTTCTTTTTTTCTCTAAAAGCACTCCATATGCAATGTACGATCTATGTCCTGTATACGATAAAGGCAACTTGTCATAAAAGATAATTTATTTTCTTTGATTAATTTCCTTATAAGATGCTCTCTTTCTGGCACTTTTTGTCTACTGCTGGTTGACTAAAAAATGTAATTATTTAATGATATGAGATCTTTCTTTCTTTACGAAAAAGACAATATTGGAAACTATATTACAAGTACGTTTCATTTATGTATTTAATTTTTCGTTTATCCTTGTAACATGTCTCATCCATGAGAAAAGAGCGATTTTGCATGTCATCTCATTTTTTAGCAGCTCCTCGAAATCTTGTTTGCAAATGAGCTTTGCTCGTTGATCAGTCAACTATCGAATCGTATCGAGACCTATTAATTATTACTGTATAATATATTTGTGTAATTTGATAATGATTGCTGTGGTAAAATAGTACAAGTTTTTCTCGTTCTACATACAGTAAACAAGAGCTTTCCACTTTAAGGCCATTCCAAATTTATTTTGCCGCTTGATTTACCGTCGTTTTGTATATTAAATCAATTATTAATTTTCTCTCATTTTTATTTCGTATATCATCTAAACTTACACTTGGCGTTATATATCTTCTTGGTCTTTCTCTAATTCATCGATATATATATATATATATATATATATATATATATATATATATAAGATAAGAATTCAATTTATTGTATATACGAATATATATGTACAAATATTAAATGTATATGTATAGAAATATGATTTTGTTAAAAATCATTACTTGATTATGCACTCCAGATATTCGTCTCCAAGAATACGTCTTTTTCTGTTGCTTTTACATCGATGCCAAACTATGTCTTTTGGTTCCCATAGTGCATCGAATGCAGGCAATTTTTCATAACTTAATCGTCGTAAAGTATCGTGAATTATAATCATGCGTTGCGGTGAAGCTACCGATTTCATCTTTTTTGCAAAAATGCAAATTTCTCTCTCTCAATCAATTTGCTTAAATATTTAATATCTCATAGAAAGACCAGAAAAATTAAAACGCAAATACATTTATATAGTTAGTGTTTTTTTTATATAAACTGTATGAATATCTAATTTGCATAATCAATAAATGAAAGCAATGAAATATTTAAAATATTGGGATTGTAGCATAAAATTGACATGGTTGTGAAAAGAGCGATTGTTTTAACTAAAAATTAATTGTTAAAAACACTCTGAATATTGACACATAGATATTATATATATACAATAAGTATATATTGTACATATATAACATATACATAGGCTGTGTTCTGATATTCACCGCCAATACTGAAATACTATACTTTGTTACGTACACTACAGATTTTCAGTACTGGCAGTAACATCATGGAGATAATATTATATGTACATAATATATACAATTACATGCAATTATTAGAAATACAATTGTCTTTGAAAAATATTCACAATTAGATAATATTATGAAACTATGTATTTACACTCCTTTCTTTATATTATGCAACTATCTTCCTTCTCTTTCAAATATACATATATTTGTATAACAGCCATACTTAAGATTACGATTTTTAGATGCTAGCAGAATATAAAATATTTTACGTACATATATGTATTTATATTCAACAATATACTTTTTATAAAAATTGTTTTGAACAAGTATAAGTCTATATATCTCAAATATAAGAATTTATAACAATATCATATTATGATATGACGATAATTATTTACTGTGTAATTTTTCTATACAGATACTCAACTGTTGGAGGCGATGAAGCAAATGTCTCATATTCGCGCTCGATTGACGAAGACCCGATTGCTCTCCACCCACTTCCTGTCTTTGGCCAAGCTCAAAATGTAGCCTGGCTAAACGTTCTTGCTGTTCTCGTATTTCCGTCATCTGCTCCATACTACAATCTTTTCCTAGAAAAACAATTAACGATCTTATTAAATATTTTGTTGTTTAAAGCTAGATATACCAACCAAATGCTCTTAAATTCCCACTGTGAAAGTCTTCCAGTAATTGCAGCAAAGCTTGCTCCATATGACGAACATCAGGAACCTCTGACAGAAAGCAATGGTGTTTGCATGGCACCATGGCTTTACATAACAATACCAGAACAGAATCGAAAAAAATGCACTTAATATAAAACTTAAAAAACTCAAGTATAAATATATGTTTGTACAACAAAATTGTAAAGTTTTAACTGAAGTTTAAAATGTATGAGTATGAATGTGAATATATTTAATATATAAAATAAAAAAAGTAAACAAAAAAAAAAGACAAAGAAATTAACAAGATAAAACAAACTTTTATAAAATATATTCTCTGGAACATCGGTTACCTTTATGCTGTTTTGTGATTCTTGGTGGATCTGGTCGAGCGGGCCTTTGTTTCTCCTTTTCATTAAAATATGTTAATCGAGATTGATTGCCAGTGTGACTCGAAGTATTAGCAAGTCGACCAGAAACCATAGAACCTTGACTTGTCCCTTGACCGGAACTTCCTTTACTAACGATTGGTGAAGTTTGTGTATTATTTTCCCATAATATTTGTTGCTACAAAGATATTACTTGAAAATATATGTTTTTAATATATGATTGCTATAATTAGTAAATTACATTGAATTATGTACTACGTGTTAAAATACTATACCGATACATTAGAGTGTGTTTCAGTTTTGTTTGGACGTTGAGATCTTGCCGGTGTTGATGGAGGAGTAGCTTCTCCTCCATGACTAAGTGGTTCCTCACATTCCTCTTCTTGAACCAGTTGTTGTAATTCACCGCATCCAGCTCCTTCCACCATAGCGATAATGTAATATTCCTAATTAAAACAAACATCTATTAAATAATTATTTATTTGACTTTTTGTTGGGAATAACCAACAAATACACACAAATACAAAACATTTCTTATATTTAGCTTAGAATATTATCATACCTTTATTTCATATAACTTCTTCAGACTGTATATAATTAAATCAAATATATAGAATAATTTAATAAATAGAATGCATAGAATAATTACATCAAGTGTAGAATAATTTAATTTTTCTAATAATGAAAATAAATCAACAATAAATATTACTCGAGTATATCAGATTTTTGCCAATATTTATCTGTTACTATGCGTCATCTGTCATTGAAGCAAATCTTTGCTCCTTTGTTCTGATTGGTCAATCTAACAATCTGCCATTTTCGAGTATTTCTAACATCAAGTCGACTATCTAAATATTCATACATCATGATTAAAAAAAAATTGTGACGTTGAACATCTATTTAGATATATATTCGAAGACAAGAATCAGCTGATTGTTATTGTGGATTGTGATATTGTGCATGTAGAATATAATTTCACATTATTTTTTCCAAGAATCATTTATTTTCTTATATATTAAAAACGCAATGTCGTGAGATAATTTTAAATATGCTCTAAATATATCAGTGAATCTATATATTTTACTATACTATGGCTGCTAAAGAGGAGGTAAACAATGCAACAACCGAAACCAAGATTGAAGAAGCACCGGATTCAACGACAGAGGATGCACCAACTAGCTTGGAAACCATCCCTGAGGGAAACACTGTACGAAATGGCCTTCAGACAGCGCAAAAGGATAAAACGAAAAGTATAAAAACATTCATATTTCTAGTATCATTCGATTATATATAATTATGAGTGCATGTCATGCGTGTGTTGTATTTAAACTGATAGATTTGCTTGAATTTTATAGTTGATATACTCCTGAAGGCCACTGCCAATGCTCCGATTATGAAGCAGAAAAAATGGTCAGTCTGCCAAGATAATCCCATCGGAAGGATTTCCGAATTTATTAAAAAGTACCTCAAGTTGGATCCCAATGAGAGATTAGTACGTGATAAAATATTCTTTTTTCTTCAAACAATATGAAAAAATGGTACTAACAATAATTACTTTATCTTACAGTTCCTTTATGTTAATCAGACGTTTGCACCTGCTCCTGATCAGACAGTTAAAAATTTATACGATTGCTATGGCGCAGATGGAAAATTAGTCATTCATTATTGTAAAAGTCAAGCCTGGGGTTGAGAGTTAATTTTTGTCATTAAAAGCATAATATACAAGTGTTCCATTAAATAACTTATTGTGATAAAACTCTCTTTATATTTGTGATATTGTGTCATCAAGAACTTAGCTTTATGTTATTAGATTTATTTTCAATAGTAACATTAAAATCTCTGATAAATTAATCAATTTAATTGATGGATTATTGTTTCACACATTATTTGATGTAATAGATCTTCTGCTACATACATCTGAAGATTCTTTTAACTGTTCCTTCATTTTGCTAAATGATTCATCATTTGTGTCTTTACATCGACATTTGTTCGGTGTTCCTGTACTTGATATAGTGTTCGCTGATCTTAATGATGTACATTTACAAATGGGTATTTTTTTCTCGAAAATTTCCTTTTTAGATCCTTTACTTCGATCGGAAGCAACTGATAGCTGCTGTCTATCACCACCTGATAAATTATTAAACAAATATACATAAATTACATAGCACTTAATGTTACATTAAAAATATATCGTTTCAACTTATTTTATATTTGATAATATAATTTTTACTTGTACATGATGAAGTCGATTTTTTGGAAGAGTGTACACTTTGATCCGCTGCGACATCTTTATCGCTTTCTTTTTGCCGAAATAATTTCTCTTCGTTTCGCAAGCTATATATAGAATTAGCTGCTCCTGCTTGATCCATAGACTTGAAATCCTCCATGATTTTGGATGGACATTTCCATATTATAATTGCTCCATCGGCGCTAGTTGTTACTATATATTTGCCATCCGCGCTGAATTTACTCCCGGTGACTATCGCCGCGTGGGAAGTACCGATGTGAAGGAGATCCGCGCTGTCGTACTCCCAGATCTTGACAGTGCAATCATTGGATCCGGTAACGAAGAACCTACCATCGGGACTTATGTCCATGCAGTTTAACGTCCCGACGTTGGAACCCTCAATTTCTCGCACCAACGAGCCATCCAGAGTCTCCCAGTAAGCGATCTTTCGATCCGTGCCGCACGTCAAAATCTGGATACCATCGAGTGTGAATTGTGCCATCATAAACATTGTGTTTCCCATAAGGGTATGTTTCCTTACGCGACGCCTAGAACGAGATTATTTTTACTCCTTTTTAGAAATCTAGTATGATATAAATGTATGATATAAAATTCATCTGCTACAATAAATTTAGATTTATTTGATTATCAAACTTATTTAATTATTAAACTTACTATTTCAAAATCATAATCAATTAGATTAACATGAAAGAAAAAGAGAGTTTATTCTTCTATTAAATTTAAATTATTTTAAATGAAATTGTTGATCAAAAGGAAAGCTTTTATACAAAAAAATATATGTCGAAAGATTAAGATTTGGTGGATATATTTTAATTTTTGTTTATTTTAGAGAAAATACACTTACGTTATGTCCCAAATGACGCACGTGCCGTCCGTGCTTGAACTAATCAAATTTTCATTATTGCTTGAGATGTGCAAAGATGTTATCGGTCCCCGATGTTCCTTTAGTATACTAATTAATCGCTGCACGTCGTTTTTTATTTCCCATATTCGTACCTGAAAATCGAATCAATTCTGTAGATAAAGATATACATATTTGCTCAAATAATATACTTCTGATAATTATGCTTAAAAATACAAATAGTTTAAAATATATGGACGCGCAATAGATAATATTAATTTTAAAGTAAAGGAATAATGAGTTAATTATATGCACAAATATAATGGAAAATGTCTCGTATAAATTATCAAAATTTGCATCAATCGGACGAGTTTTTAGAATAAAAACAGCATTTTTTCGAAAAAGCGTAACACTAAATTACCTGGCCGTCGCAACCACCGCTAATGAGCGTCACACCGTCGCTCGTAACCGCGACCGTAGATACGGCTTTCGTATGAGCGTTGTGAATGGCGAAATAAAGCTGCCCGTTGTGCGACGCGAATGCTCTTATTGTGCCGTCGTTCCAAGCTGAAAAGCATGAATTGTAAGAATTCTTTTGCCGTAGTGTAAATTTAGGGCGATACGCATGCATTATTGTACGTGTGATAAATTTCAACTATGAACTATTTTTAAGTATATGCAGAGAGATTTTTAAATATATTTTTTCATAAATATAAAAGAGATTACTTCAAGATTTCTAATATTAATATAAACCTTTTAATGATTAATATATTAACATGTAACAATAATATGAGTAAATTTTCCAACAATTGTATATTATTAGAATCTTTGAAATTATATTAAAGTACCAAGTTTTATGTACCAGAAAATAGTATTTGGTCGTCACGTGCAAATTGTAGACTGGAACAAACAAAATTTGCCACCGTGATACGAAGTATCTCTTTTTGCTTTTTCAGCTCCCATAGTCTGATATCGCTTTTGCCGCCTGTCGCGAATATCTCCGAACTGATGCTGCGACATCAAAGTATCATAATTAATTGATTGTATTTGTCAACTGGTATAGTTACAAAATTCAAGATTCTTACCGCGGAAACGCGATGCTGTATATGCAGCTAGTGTGAGAAGTAACGAGTAGGCGCATGTGAAAATTTGACAGCTGAATTTGATAGATTTCGCACCAGGCTGTCCCGACTAGTACAAATTCGTTCAGATACAGAACCATGGATGTCACGGCGCTACATACGTTTTCCTTTTGATGCTGATAAATGAAAACAAAAATCAAATCTCGTGCGCGTGAATTCTTTATATTTCTTTTTTCATAATATATCTCTTTTCTCAGGAGATTTATAAAAAGTAGACTTACAGTGAGTATTTGTGGCGTATTAGGGAACTTTGACGGCTTGTGCGTTCGACTTTCCTTTCTATTTATTATTTGGATCAATTCTACGGTACCGTCACCAGTACCAATTAGCAGTTTCCCGCCCTTTAGAAGCACCAGACTCGTCACTCCGCCTGAATATAGATCGCCTTCACCCATCTTCATTTTTCTCAGATCGCGCGTTATCTTTGAATAGCAGCCGATCATTACCGGTGAACGAGCTGGCGAGTCGCATTCCAGATCGTCGCGTAAATTTAATCTACGGAAAAAAGAAACATAATTAAGCAAGACAGATAGCGATAGAGATAATGCTGAAAGCAGATAAAATGTATTAAAAAAGCTATTAAAAGATAAGTATTATTGTCATGATAAACATAAATGTTTCTTTTCTCAAACGGCATTTCTGTATGTGACCTTGCGTTAATGATATCACCGGAGGAAGTGCCGCAGTAAACGATCTCGTCCGTTTCGTCTACGACGATACAATTGATGAGACGTTTCAGTTTGCCCACTTCCACGTCGATTCCGTGCACCCTTCGCTTCTCTGCCTCGATGCGCCAGATCTTCAGGGTCCTGTCGCCTGCGGTGACGAAACACTTGCTGTGAAACTGCATCCTCGCGATATTATATGCGTCGCCGCTCGTGTCGTTGCTGGCGAATGATCCTGCGAAAATCGTTTCCCGTAATGTTACATCAAATATTGACATATAATTACGATGACCATGCATATTTTCTGAGAAAAATAAAGAACAAGCCTAAACATTTTAGGACTTTGTTTCAATATGTTTCCAAATCAGTTTGTGGTCAAAGTAAAGATCGATGAAAAAAAAATTCTGTGATTATCAAAAGTCTACGTATTTCTTATAGTTTGAAATGATTAGACTATGTTGAAACAAATTTCTTGGTTTTTAAAGAATCCAGATAAGAGGTTCCGTTGTTTTCGTACAAATTTTCACGTTAATACTATGCGACATTATACATTAAAATTAACTAAATAAACAAATAAAGGACAAAATTGAGTTTTGGGTTTTGAAAGAATGAAGAATTTTAAGGACAGCTTTTTGAAATAAAGGATCGCCTTCTAAAATAAAGGACAGATGGTCACCGTACGTATAATCGAGATGGTTCCACAGATTCATGAAAGATTGAGTTGGAGAATTTTCAGGTAGATACCGCATATAAGAGAATTCTTCTGGACGTCCCAGACGATGACGTTGCCGTCGTCCCTGCCACCGAGGCTCACCAAAAAATCGCTGTTGCACGTGAAGCATAGATCTTCGACACCGACTTTGTGCGTCTCGTAGCTGCCCATCATCGTGCCTTCCTCGTAATTCCATATGATCACCATGGCCTGCGACAAACGTAAGATGCAGCTAAGATTGCATAAAATACAATTGAATATAAAACGAGAAAATATGTTAAGGACCTTATGTACATACCTTGAAACCGAGATGATTATTTTGGCCGGAAGCGACGTATTTTCCGCACGGAGAAACGCACAATGCCGAGACGTTGTTTGTGTGACCGCTGAGAAATCGTTGCTTGCTACTTTCGATGTTCCTTATCACCACCTTGTGACCCATCGGATAAAGGAAATGCTTCTCGTCCGGATGTAGTCGCAGAGCGTTTTTCATTATGCCTCAAAGTGAATAAGTATAATTTATTATAATTATATTGAACGTATGAATAAAAACGCCAAATAAAATAACAATAAATTGAATTAAAAAATAATAAAAATAATATACACTATAAATATAATTGTAAGATATTATTAAAAGTAAAACATGCCGTATAATTTTTTAAATTGTTAGAATATTGTTTTCTAGATTAGATTTTTTGATAAATTAAGCTCGCAATGAGATTTCTCGCTTCTAAATTTTAATTTGACTTTATCTTGATTAATTTGATTAATCTTGCCAATTTCATAAACTCGCGATAATAAATCACTACCCAACAAACACAGTATATAAATGTTATATACTTAAGCATGTTACATGTAACGCATATGTTAGTTGTAATTTTCCACTCATAGATGTAACATTTTTAATATTACATATATTACATTGTAGTTATATTGTCATTATATCGCAAGATAGCACGGACTTATCAATACATCAATGTGCTATTTGGTATATAATTACAATATAACTACAATGTAATATATGTTATATTAAAATGTTACATCTATGAGTGGGAAATTACAACTAACATGGATGTTACATGTAACGTACACGTTATATTACCTGTTAAATTCCGTTTTATTATAGCAATGTAACAATTATATATCAGTGTTTGCTGGGTAGCATCTATACTAATTTATAATTTTTTATTTGAAGTTTTGTTTTGGTTATTTATAAAAATCTAATCAGGTGTTGCTTTTCGCACCATCGAATGCGATTATTCCGATTGTTTCGAGATCCCGGGGCTCCATTGTTGACGGATTCTGTGCACTATAACTTTATGGTAAGATAAAGTGTATTATTCTGGGAGATATATGCGTATGTAAAGAGTAAAGAGGTTGTGTAATTGTGGTATTACGATATAAACTGACGTTACCGTGGCAATAAATTGATTGTATACGGTATCTATGCACCTCCCTTTTCACTCTTTTTACCGTCTTCCCTTTTACGTCGATTTTTCGCAGTAGTATATATACTTTATTAAGTATATTTTACGTATGATTATTTTTAAATAAAAATTGCAAATATAAGAAATAAATAATAACTATTTTTTATATATAATATAAAAAATTATTTTTTTAATATATATAAAAAATGGTTTATTCTATTATTTAAATTATAATATAATATCATCTTGATACATATGTATCTTGTATCAAAGTATTAAAAAATATATATGTGAAATCTTTAAATATATTTAATATACATAATGAAATTTGTTTAATGTTCTAAAATACATCGATAGAACATCGCTTTCTTTTAATCAAAATATTTTTCAAAAGAACATTAATGCACAATTATGTTCAAGTTATGCAATTATATTAATGATATATAAATTAACATATTGTACTTAATTCATCTTTAATTAATTAATGAAATGATTGTGAAGAAATAAACTTTACCATCAATACTGCTAAAATTTTACAATAATGATAACTCGATATTTTCTCTGCAATATTTATTAAAACTCACTAATCCAAATTAATTTTAAGTCATATAAACAGGCCTTTAATTTTAATGCAATTTAAGTAAATTAATATAAAAATATAATTTTTAATTACAATTATATGTTTGCTCCGAGTGCTTATAAATCTTTTCGGGGGCATATCATAAAATAGCAAATGTTGACATTGCCTTAAAATCATGTCCTTTTACATCGCAGAAGACCCCAGATCATGTCGGATTCAACAGCCTTGCGTTGTGCTTGAAAGATAATTAGCATCGATATCGCATATCAATATCGAGCACCTGACAAACACGTGTACAAAATCGCGTGAATCAGAATTTACACTCATGCATGCAAAAATGTAAGAAGAGATGTTCGGCGTTCACCATGAAAGTATATACGCGAAAAGAATTCGAATTAAATAAAATAATTATATAGAGAGGACACGAATGAATGAGTAATTTTTATATCGAAGGTAAAGTTTTAAGGTGAACGTCTCGTTTCTTACGCTTTCTTCTCACATAGTTTCCATATTTTCCGAGAATATTAAGAAGACAGACTTTTTTAAATTCTTTTTCAAGAGTAATTTCTTCAGCTCTAACAATAAGATCCAAAATTCGTATATATATATATCTTCTAATTTTTTTATAATTATAATATACATTATTCTCGCATAGTTTCCATATTTTCCGACAATATTATAAGAAGACAAATTGTAAAAATTTTTTTTTTCAAGAGTAATTTCTTCAGCTCTTTAACAATAAGATCCAGAATTTTTATATTTCTTCTAATTTTTTTTCTAATTATAATACGCATTATTTTCGCATAGTTCCCATATTTCTCGAGAATATTAAGAAGACAGATTTTTAAAAATTGTTTTTCAAGAGTAATTTCTTCAGCTCTCTAACAATAAGACAGATTCAGCGATAATGAAATAAAATATAAGACAAGTCATTCTTTCTGCATTGTAAAATGCAACTCGGATGATTAACGCGCGCTTAGGAATTTTCTAGCCGCGCAAAAATCGGAAGCGGAAAGTGCGCTGTTCTACTTGAAACAAGTTTTGCTTCAAAACAAAAACCGCGAAATTTTTCCGAATTAAGAAAATCGAATTCGACTCGATTTCTCGCCGACTCGGTCGTCTTCCAGCGTTAATCGCTCGAGTAGAAAACCCTAAAATAAGAGAACAAGATGAGCCGGTTTTTCTCTTCAAAACACATCGATGTGTACACGCGCCGATTCCGCAGTCCGAGGCTGCTTATCGCTCTCACCTGCCTCTCGTATTTTTCCCCACCCCGGATAATGCGCGACGAGCAGTACATAAAGCAGATATAAAGCGAACTTATCGAGGGTGCCGAATTCAGTCGCTCGCGACACGTGTGTGCGACTTGTCAGAAGAGCTTGACAGGAAGGAGGAAATTCGATCAGAACTTGTGCGATGATTTGCATCCAAAAATTGCCGTGAAAAAAAAACGAAAGGGGCAGCCTCCGGAAGTGCGCGAATGCCATCGCTTCGAATTTTTACGAAATAATTAGAAGAGAAAAAACGAAGAGACACATATATTGTCATCGACGTATCTCGCGTGCTTGAAGTAAATCTTCAAGGATGATCTCTACGTGGAAAGTGTGTTGTAAGTATGATCTCGTATTCAAATCACTCGCGTGTTTCCGTTCGCCTCTGTATCATTTTCTGCGATTTATCGAATGAATATATAATACATATCATCCGATCGATCTGTGATTTATCGCTACGAATTACGAATAAAACAGACCGATTAATGATCTGATCGATCGCGGTGAATCTTTGTTACGACGAGATTACGTGGTTTATATTTTATCAGAAGCTTAATACCACCGATCCAGATTATAATAACAAAAAAGTGCTCATGTGGTATTTTCCGCCGCGGCATAAAATCACATAACGTTATAATATTTGTAAGATATAAGAAAAACCAGTCGATCAGCGTTAAACATTGTCGAGTGTTCCGCGAGTCTTTCAAATGAGTAATACGATTAAAAGGAATCATAATGAATTTCATTGGTCCGAGATATTTTAATGACATATTAAAAAAAAATAATAAGAAATAAAATACTTGAAATGATACCTTTGATATTTTTTCACACATTTTTTTCTTGTAATAAGCATGCATATATGTATATAAAAGAATGTAATTTTTAAATTATAAAATACTGCTTAGTCACGATCAGAATCAAGTATAACAAGTATAAAAAAAAAAATCACTTACAACATGATAAAAAATCAAGTAATGCTTTCTATATAGATTACTGTGTTTTAATATAATATGCAGTTTAAATGTACAATAATTTTTTTTAAGTGTTGAAAAATTTTTTTTGAGTATAAAACTTGAAAGCGGTAAATAAATAAATGATAATTGTGTTTGATATTTTTTCATACCTTTTTTTTGCGATAAGCAAAATTTTTTTTGAGTATAAAACTTGAAAGCGGTAAATAAATAAATGATAATTGTGTTTGATATTTTTTCATACCTTTTTTTTGCGATAAGCAAAAATATATATAAAATAATGTAATTTTTAAATTATAAGATATTGCATATAGTCACGAGAGTTAAATATAACAAGTATAAAAAAAATCATTTACACAACACGATAAAAATATCAAGTATAACATAATAAAAAAACATTTTGCATAACGATAAATGTCTTCTATATAGATCACTGTGTTTTAATATAATATGCAGTTTAAGTGTAGGATAAATTTTTTGAAAATAATATAAAACTTGAAAGCGGTAAATAAAATGATAATTGTGCAATATCAGCTCGTATATCAAATAGACTTTATCGTATTCATTTATTAGACAAAAATGCGACCGGCTTAAGAAAACTATCGAGGGATCGTTGATCGATTAGAAATCTTGATTTGTTGAAAAGGTTACAGCTTTGTGAAGTCTATCATATCATAATTTCGCGTTCGTTTAACCGCGTAGGCGGGAATGCCTTGACATTAATTGCAACTCGTTCGTTTACACAGCACTTCCTGACATTCACGTAATCGCGTGAGCTATAGTATACATATATGCATACATATATAGATAGTCGAAATTTACATCTCTTTTTTTTCTTTACACATAACGGAATCGACCAGGGTCATCTCTCAATCAAAAGCGCGAAAAGTCAGAGAATAAAAGGAGATCCGTGACAAATTCGTATATCCAACATACTATTTATCGATTATTGTTAGATGTGTCATATCTGATTTTTCTTTTTTTCCTTCTTTTCCTCTATTTCTCTCGCAAACCTTGAATATATATAAAATCGCGACAGTTGGCTACCGGAAATTGACGTGCATATCACACGTCTCTCGGTCAAGGCCGTTTTTTCTTTCACGTTTTTTCGCAACAAATAAACTCGTAAAGCATATATGAACGTTCACTTTTACTTATGTGCAAAGAAACCACACTATTGTTACGAAAGTTTAAAATCGAAGCACGATCGCAAACATCTCGCTGTACGTATTAAAGAAGAATAGATATCCGCTTTGAAAAGTCCGGCATGAAAAATGGATTTCACAAACCCTTTGGAATTTTTTTAAAAAAGTCATCATCTTTCTCGACAAAACAGATATATAAAAATTGATGGGAAAAAAAGGGAGAACTATTATCTAACATTGAAGCCTCTTCAAGCAAGTATTTCCCGCGAGATAAGATAGCGCTCTCAACACAGTAGGCAACCAGTTAAACATCATTATTATGTCTATTAATTACGGTGCGTTGTTTACAAACTTAATATTGCATTATATATATATACGCATAATGCATATATTGTGCACACATGGTGCATAATCGCATCGTAAAGTCGTTCGCGCGCTTCGAATCGAAGGTTTTAGCTGAGAATATTAAGGTGACTTTCGATTGAGAAGAAAACATAAAGTTTCAATTTATTGTATTATGTTGTGAGGTGTGTTATAGCTGTCGCGTATCGATTAGTCATTACCATTATCGACAGACACTTTAAGCGGCTTGATAAAGATTTTTTATGGAGATTCAGTTTGATTGTAAATTAAAAACGATCGTAAAATTATCTGACCGATAAAAACTTGATCGATCACAAAATTGCATTTTTCTTTGAAACTTTCTCGCCCGCGGGTTCCTGTGTTTTATCAAGTTCAATATTCTCGAGACTGTGCAAGATCGCCTCAATGTCTTTTCAAGTAGCGACACTCAATGATATCGCAGACCATTGCGTTATTTTCGAGTAATATATCTTCAAGAAGTTTTCGGAAAATAAATAAATCTTGTCTGATGAAGATTTATTTTTTATTCGTTATTGAACGCAATATATTAATCATTCGGATCAGCTATGGTGCAGATGTATATATCCTTATTTAGACGTATATGATATTTACATATATGTCCACGTCTATATGTTAAAAAAAATTAAATTAAATTACAATAAAATACAATTATTACAAATTATTTAATTAAATTATTACGATGCAAAATTCGTATATTTCAATATTTTTGTAAATTAAAAGAGAACAATACACGCGTCAAAGATATAAAGTATTGTATTATTTTTAAAGATATACTGTTCTCTGCTCTTTCATGAGATTTCACTTATTCGATTCAAGCTTCGAATTTAAAAGATAAATTTTTATTTCTATAATTGACGCTATTTTTCCACTGCTTTGTTCGACTTTCTGCGACTATAATATAAATAATCATTTGCATAACAAACACGTCAACCAAATATTTAAGCATAAATGAAAGAAGTCGTTTATTATTGACATAAATCAAATTTCGTGTGCGTATTTTTAAATTATTGAAACGTCAATATTTACGCGATATATCTTTTAATGACGAATCAAGTTGTAAACTCATTTGTTCGCGAAATGTTTGCGTTAATATCTTTGTGGAACGCATATTATCGTGAAATTTTATTGTATATCGACACTTTATTAATAAGTAAACACAAGATAAGCGCGGACAAACGAAATAATTTGTAATGTAGAAAGAGACAATCGTTTTGACAATTCACACTCGAGGAAAAGCTAGAGATTGCCCAGTCATTGAGAATTTATATATATTGAATTTTCGGCACGCGACAGTGACATCGATTTCCATCTAATCAATGATAGCAAAACATTTCCGCATCTACGCATTAATAAATAATAATAATAAAATTTGCGTGTTATTATCAAGCGAACTTGTTCGACAATCTCATCTATAATAATATAAATAAATATATTTTTTTTGTTTCCCTCGTACGCGCGATAAGACAAAGTTCCAAAGTGAAAAAATTAATAAATCCCGTGCAATTTGCGACATGAAAAAATCAGATTGATTTATATTCGTTATTATAGCGTCATTAAAGCTACCGTCGAGATGTTAAATGTAATTTCGAAATTGTTTGACGGCTTTTTCGGTATCTATTTCGCGATTGCATCTTACGTATGTGTAACGCGCAGGTTTTAGCGATATCTCGCGGATTTCTGCTTCTTGCGATTCCTAAAGCCTTGCGATTATTACACGTCGTAATAATAAATCACATTTGTTGTGTGCGTCTCAAATTATTTTCTGCTAATTCATACTCGTAGTAATTCAACAAAAGCGCCGAGATACGTCGGATATATTCGACGATAATTTATTTTTTCGTTTTGAGTGATAGAAAAAGAAATAATAGTATATAAAAATTTCGCGTTAATCCCCGGAAAAACCGATCGATGATCTCATTGCACGACAAAACAATTATCATCCATTAATCTGTTAAGCTCATTCAACGATTTCAATTACTTCGAATACTTGAATGCTTCATAGCAACACAAATCCATGATAAAAGTCCGACCAATAATGTCATGATCGAATTATCGCTTGTTGACAGATTTGATGCACCTCTCGTGGAAATTTTAAATGATAACAGAGTCTATAAAAATTATTATTTCTATCGAATATCTCTTGTTTCCTTAATTTTTTCTTCATACACGAGATGGATATTAAAAACGATAATTAAATATTTAAAAAATGAATATTAAAAATATTCGAATATTAAAAAAAAGAATTAAATATTTTCATTGATACAAAAAAGTATTACAAAGCTCGCATATATAATAGTGTGTGTGTGTGTGTGTTTGTTTGTAGATATGTGTGAAAATGTGTCAATTATCTCTGTGTTTCGATAGATTAATTTTACCTGAACTCCAAGTGCGCATAAAATTAATTATATAACAAATTTCGTATCAAAAATCAGCAAATATATGTTCAATATTCAATGATTTATAACGTGGAATAAACAGTATTATTATCTTGCGAAACAATCGTCGTGATAATCGAGATGCTTCTTGATTACAGAAATCGATAAGTGTACACGCCTTCTTTCAGATAAGATTAAATTTTCCATAAAAATTTTTCTGTTTCCAGACACTTTAAAAACTTTTTCCTCTTCCTCTTTCTCTCTCTTTTTTTCTCACGAATATTATTACGAATCGAGTTATGTTTCACGCAAAATAGTCTGCAGGATAATCACTCAGGCCTCGACCGTTTTTTTTTGCAAGAAACACGTCAAAGAATTTGCGGTATTTGTACGACAAGATTTTCGCAAGACGTGCGAAAAGTATTTCTATATGACTTTTCTTTTTGCAAGACGAAACAAGGGTATTAGCGGCTTTTTTCCTCGATTCGCGGCTTTCCACGAGGAAAGTTTGACTGCAAAACTCGCGAGATTGATGACGGAACGAATGGAATGGCTCAATCGCGAATACTTGGAATTCTCGGTTGTTTAATATACGATAAGCTGATGAGGAAATCGTCTTCTGGAGACGGTTTTCCTCTTGAAATAATGCTTAGCTTCGTGAGAACGATTCTTCTTTCGATTATGTGCGATTTGCGTACGTATATACGTATACTGTAAAAAAATATGTAATATATATTACATAAAAATATGTAAAAATTACATAAATAATATGTATAAAATTATAAGAAAATGTATACATTTTTATTACTTATCGTGCAATTTTACACTTGTTTTTATGTAATATATTACGTAAAAATATATAAAATTACAAATATATAATACAGATAATAAATGTACAATTACACGATAAAAATGTATACCATATTTCATTATTTATATATATTGTAATTTATACACTTATTATGTAATTTTACATATTTTTTATAGTATAACGTTAGAAACGTAATGACGGCGTCTAAATAATCCTTTGATCTCACTTTTCGATCACGCATTAGCACGCATGTCAAGCATCTTCAGCTTGGTTTAAACAGCTAGGTAACGGTATACGGAAAAGAATTTCTATGCATACGTCGTTGCACGTGACTTTAAATCGTCGAAGGTGTCGACGAAGAGAGTTTGAGGTCATGCACGAGAAAAGAATAGCGATCGACTTGACTTGAATGAGTGACAGCTAATGTCAGGTTGTTAAGCTATCATCTCTATAGAGGAAAAAGGTTGAACGAGAATGTTCGTTCTTGGCATGAGATTTTAGAAAAGAATATCGCTACGGTGACCATATTTTTTGAGAAAGAACAAAGGACAAATTTGAAAATTTTAAAGCTCTATCTTAATATATGTTTTCAAATTAGTTTGCGATCAAAAAAATTCTGTATTTTTATAGTTAAAAATTTTCGATTAGATGTTGAAATAAATCCTTGGTTTCTTAAATAGGTTCTGTTATTTTCGTACAAATTCTCATATGTTAATACTACTACTTACGACATTAGGCATTAAAAATGCTAAATTAATAATGAAGAACAAAATTGAGTTTTGGAAAAAATAAATAAATCTAAAGGACAGCTACTTGAAATAAAGATACCTCTAAAATAAAGGCTGGATGGTCATCGTAGATATCGCAAAATTCTCTAACCGGAAAATCCTCGAAAGAGACAGACAAGACTCCTCAAAGATCATTTCTCTCCCAGGTAGAATATAGAACTCACAATGATGTCCTGATAATGTCATTTTGGAAAACTCATTTTAGAAAAAAATTGTATATATTACAATTATTTATTTATTCTATTATTTGCACATATTCTAACAATATTCAAGTAACATAAATTTTTTGAAATTACACAAAGCGATTACCTCAATTACATTAGGGAGCTTTAAATCTCTATGGTTATGTTTTTTTAAAATAATTTTGTCCAGATAACTTTTAAGTGATGAATAAAATCATGATGAGTTTGATGTTCTACTTGGAGCTCTTCTCATGATCAAATCACGCTGAAAAAAATCGGAAGGACACTCTTCGGCAGAGATACTTACATATTAATTACGTATGTCGAGGCTCGTGCATGCGTGCGTACGTGATCGCACGTGGACGCATCAGCTGCGGAATAGAAAATCGCGCGATCGAAGGTTCATTCACCAAAACGGGGGAAGGGAAACTGCATGCTGCGTGTAAGACCAAACGGAAATGTTCTTCGTCATTTGCGAAGAGGAACTTTTTCACACGCGCAATCGGAATTGAAAGTTATTGACATTTCTCTTGTAACACATATATGTAACATTGTCATATTTGTCTAGTGTTAGAGAACGCAATTCTCCTCGTGAGACTCGCGTAATCATATAATATATGTAGATCAGGAAAGTCTTGTCTCGCGAGTTACAAAACGTCATCGCGCATTCAAAGTGGTCAGTGAAAGTAAAGTCGTGCAAAAATTTCCTCGCGCGAGCGATTTATGGACAGAGGAATCGTATAAAAAAAAGGCAATGATAGTGGTAAAACAGCTATAGGTAACACAAGTAACGGGATAACAAAGTTTACATAGACGAGATAAGTGCACTTGTGTAACGCGATCCAAGTCCAACAAAAAGCGAATCCTTGCAAAAAGTATATAAACAATTTCTGTGTAAACAAATGGATTAATCCATTATAATCTGTTTTCGTCGTAGATTAGATTCTATTCCTTTTATTCATATTAAAAAATAATATAAATATTATTTTTGAAATAGTTTAAATATAATTTTAAATAGTTTAGATAAATTTTTTTATATAGTTTAGATATTAAATTCTTTTATGTACTCAATTGAAATATTTATCAACATTTTTACATAATTATAATCAGAAGATGTTTTCGTAATTACAAAAATTATATAGCTATTAAAGTCTTAGTTTATTAAACTTCTCGAATGATATGAGACTGATAACGAAATAAAATTTGCAAAAATGGTTTGCAATTACAGGTGCTCGAGTGCCACAACGATGGGTGTTCGCCTTCATGGGATTTCTGGCACTTCTGAATGCATATACCATGAGAATCTGTCTTTCAATTACTATTACAGAAATGACATGTTCAAATAAACATCTCAATAATACGAACATAAAAGATGAGGACAATATAAAAGGTATCAAGTGCTACGACTGGGATGAATATACGCAAGTATGTGAAAGATATACATGTTCATAGGCGTCCGCAGAATTTTTTCCAGGAGAGGGCATAATTAAATTTATTTTGTTTTTACTTTTTATTCTTTCTTAATTTGGTTAATTTTATTTTCATTTTTTATATTAAATATGCCTCTTGCCCCTGCGGACGCCTATGTATATATTATATTAATTTAAATCTTACCTTTACACACCTGCACCTCCTCGTCCCAGGGTCTCATTCTCTCGTCCTTCTACTGGGGCTACGTCATCACGCATCTGCCAGGCGGGATATTGGCCGAAAAGTTCGGTGGTAAGTACTCCCTCGGTCTCGGCATGCTCTCGACAGCAATCTTTACCCTACTGACGCCGGTGGTGGTCGATTGGAGCGAGTCGGACGGCCTGATAGTGTTGCGAATCTTGATGGGTCTCGGTGAGGGCACGACCTTCCCAGCGTTGAACGCTATGTTGGCGCAATGGACGCCACCGGAGGAGAGATCGATGATCGGTTCGCTGGTGTTCGCCGGTGCCCAGATCGGCACTGTCCTGTCCAACGTGTTCTCCGGACTGATGCTACATACCTACACGTGGCCCGTGGTTTTCTACGTGTTCGGCGGCATCGGCGTGTTGTGGTTCCTCGTATGGGTGCTGATTTGCTACAACAATCCATACGAACATCCCTTTATTTCCGAGCGCGAGGTCAAATATCTACACGAACGTATGAATGAGCATACTCACGCGAAACCACCACCCGTACCCTGGCGTCACATGCTCCTCTCGGCGCCGGTATGGGCGCTGATCGCTGCCCAGATCGGTCACGACTGGGGCTTCTTCACCATGGTCACCGATCTGCCCAAATACATGAGTGGCGTACTTAAATACCCAATTCAGACTAACGGCTTCGTCTCGTCGTTGCCCTACCTCGTCATGTGGATCTGTAGCATCTTGTCGTCCTGGCTGGCCGACCGGATTATCACCAGGGGCATTATATCGCGCACCAACGTGCGAAAAATCGGTACCACCATCGCCTCCATAGGTCCAGGTATCTTCATCATCGCAGCCTCCTACGCTGGGTACAACAATACGTTGGTGGTGGCCATGTTCACCATCGGCATGGCTCTGATGGGTACGTAATTACCTAGGTACCAAGCGTACGTTATTTTGACGTCGAATGACATCAGTTTGCTACTTGGATATTCACTCGATATCTTTATACAGGGTGTCCTATAGGAAACTGCTGAAACTAATCAGCTGTCATTTTTTAATGCATGCAGTTATTGAGAAAACAAAAATTGTATTGAAAAGAGGAGAGTCTGCAGTTTTTAATGGATATAAATAAAATGTTTGCATACCAGTTTATTTTATTGAAAAAAAGTAATGAAAAAGTGCTAGTAATGACAGCTGATTAGTTTCAGCAATTTCCTATGAGACACCTTCTGTATATTACGATTTACAATTCACAGACAAATCCTCTTCAAATTTTCTTTTTCTCTCGCAGGTACCTTCTATCCCGGGATGAAAGTCAACGGGCTGGACCTTAGTCCCAATTATTCCGGCACTCTGATGGCGTTGGTGAACGGGATAGGTGCTTTCAGCGGGATAATCACGCCGTACATCGTCGGGGTGTTGGCGCCCGATCAAACGCTCACCCAATGGCGAATCGTCTTCTGGATCGTCCTGGCTGTCTTCATCGTGACGAATATAATCTTCATCGTGTACGCCAGCGGCGAGGTTCAATACTGGAACGATCCTGACTTCGTTATACGAGATCGGGAAGAGAGGCGGCTGCGTAAGGAGATGGGCAGAGAGACACCTCCGAAGAACTCGTGAAATGTCCTTGGCGCGCGTGTCCTCCGTAAAGTTAAGCGCTGTTAAGCGCTTAACAAAATAGTCCAGCTTTTCTTCCGGAAAAAAAAGATCTTGCGCAGATATCTTAGATATCGTTTTTTTTACAAGCGCACTAGTTCTGTCTATCGTTTTTCCATGTTCCTGCTTCTTGACAAGGATTTCACGCTCATCGCAACTGTATGACGACCATATATAAATGAGAAAATATGACGATGATAAATGAGAAAGACATATACGTGCTGTGTGTTCAATCTCACATAATACATAATCCTTGAATAATTCAAGCGTTAAATTCGCACGGTTCTAAATACCGCGAATGTACGTTAATCAGCATCGCAATGCGACTTTTACGCAAGCAAAGTTGTAGCTTTTGTCGTGAAAGGAGGAATTAAATTAGAGACGATAGACGAATAATATATGGACGGATTGTACATATTGCAGATAATGTAAGATGAAAAGAGATTAAGTACATTTTTTTAAGTTTATAATTTAATTAATTAATTAAAATAATATATTAATTATATGCACTGAAAAAAAAGTTATTGAATTCGAATAATTTATTTCAATACTGTCAAACAAATTATTCATTTGAAACTAATAATATTGATTTGATGTGAAAAATATTTATTTGATATAAGAAAATTCTTCTCAAAACAAATAAATATTTGTTTCGAATCAATAATTTATTAGGCAGTATTAAAATAAATATTTATTAATTTAGTCATTTTTTTCAGTGCACATAAATCGCCATCATCGCGAAGACAAATTTAAATATATTCGAGCTCTTCGAAAATCTCTGAAAATTCGAAGGCAAATCTTATTGCGAATTAAAATACATTAATAAATCGTCAAACTAATTCAATCAGACGTAGCTATTTTGTATAACACGATTCAAAATACACAAATGAGAGCAGCTAATCTCAGAAATAAACACACCTTGGATTAATGATTAATTTATCAATTTTTCAACAAGTCTATGTTTCGCTTTTTCATTTGATATGCAATATAAATAATAAATCGATTTTTATTTTATAGCTATTAAAAGAAATGTTATTTTACATCATTGATTAAACAATACAAGTCTCGTCAAAGTTTGCCGGAGACTCGTTGAAAATCGCAGACTACGTAATAATATACGTTTTCTTTCCTTCCTTCATAATCACATCGTTACATATAATTACAGATGCTGAGTTCTATTTGTCATATCGTTTTAATTCGAAGTTGCTATTTCTATGCAAAAATACACTTTGCAAAACCGTGCTAGAATTCGTGTAATTTCTTTTCAACATCAACTTATGCTTTATCAAAAATTGAATAAAAACGCGTGCAAATTATCCATTGTAATTGTTAGGAACAGATTACGTTCACAGATGTGATATCAAATGAAATGATGTAGATATAGATAAGTTTTATGCCGACTTGTTTATAAATCTTCTTATTGCATATCTTTATATTTCGTAAGATTAAAATGTATATCTTACAAAAATATGCAATAAGATTTATTATGTAATTATTCATTCTATATTTTTTTTTAACATATTTTAACAAAATATAGTCACCCTAATAATGTGCCGAAAATTTGTTAAATTAAAAATAATTAAAAATCGAAGAGTATGTATATACATATATAAATGCAAATAAGATTTTATTTTATAATGGATTTATAATGTGCAAAATATTATCAAAATTTTTTATTCCAAGAGTTCCAATAATGTGTTCAATATTTTATTGTAACCGAGATTGTAAAAAGAGGAGAAGATTTTATTATATGTATAATAAAAATCAGTATTGAAGATCAGTCGAAATATCTTCGTATATGTAAATATAAACCGGAAACAAATTATATAGATATTCGATTTTAATATCACTCAATAAATACGAGAAATCGCGTTTTATAATCGATCATCATTCAATGATTAATATCAGATACGATTAATTCAGATTAATCATCAAATATTTGACACAGTTTAACAGTTAATTTCCGCTGTTAATTTTTCTTTTTAGAACGATAAAATTAAATAATTTTTTGTGTCGCGTTTAAACTTCTATCCGTTCTCAATATTCGATTTCGTGATACTTGCATGATGTAATTGAAACTTACAGAACGTATCGCGTGCATTGTTACGTTAATGACTGTCAGACAGTACAATAGTCATTTGTTAATAATAACGTACTGCCCGATTTTTAACGAGCTTTATGTAGACGATATTTTGTAAAATAAGCGTCAATTAGTTGTACTTGTAAAGCAATATTTTTTTAAATTTTTTTTGCGAGAAACATGGAGTGTTGATATCCAAAATGCATATTCCGCAATTACAAAGATCGTGTCATGTGGCCTACATATATAATTATAAATCCATAACACTCTCGAAACGCCTATTATATTACATTTCATGTAGATATAGACGTAATGTTTACGCAGATTGTGTTACAGACACAAGAAATGCAGTCAGAAAAAATGTATTGTGTAACATGCATAATAATAATTAATATATATATACATATATATATAAAATGTATTGTGTAACATGCATAATAATAATAATATATATTATTATTATTATGCATGTTACACAATACATTTTTCAAGATATATATATATATATATATATATAGATAGATAGATAGATAGATAAATATTGTAAACTCTATTTCATATGTAAGAGAGAGTTATTAGTTCAAATGTATTCTGAAATTTCAAAATAGCAAATTAAAATACAATTTTTTATATATTCATATATATATACATATATATATATATATATCATATTTTTAAACCGTTATATATTATGCATATATACAATAAATGAAGGAAGAGTAGAGAGAAGGATGAGAATAATAGAGATAATATATATTCTTCCTTTTTCTCTCTTTTTCTTTTTATATTATATATCTATATATATAAATATATTTTTCAGATTTTGATAATAAAAAGGAAGTGAAGACGCAGAGAGCACAAGCTGTAAAATGAAACCAGAGGTGTATATATATATATATATATATATATATATATATATATATATTAATAAGAAAGATAGCTTATACTCTTTCTTTTTCTCTCTTTTTTTATTATATATCTCATCTATATATATAAAATATTTTTCAGATTTATATATATACATTACATATACACATACTCTGATCTTCACTTCCTTATCTTATTATTATCAAAATCTGAAAAATATATTTTATATATATAGATGAGATATAATATAAAAAAAGAGAGAAAAAGAAAGAATATAAGCTATATATCTTTCTTAATTGATATTAAATAAGAATTCTCTCTCTCTCTCCCTCTCTCTCATTATCCCTATTCTTCTCATCCTTCTCTCGACTCTTCCTTCATTTATTGTATATATACATAATAACATAACAGTTTAAAAATATGCAAATATATATGAATATATAAAAAAATTATATTTTAATTTGCTTCTGCCATTTTGAAATTTCAGAATGCATTTGATTAATAACTCCTCCTCTTATATATGAAATACAGTTTACAATATTCATCTAGACTTAACCTTGAAAGATAGATATAATTAATCTATTACTTAAATCTATACTTGCAGTAAGTATTACGCTTCAATTATGCTTTATGACAATTATAATTACCTTTTAAACAAGATAATTCTACTATGCTAATCGTCTTCTCTTCATTTAGGTAGCTACTGACGAAGTCAAAATAACATCCTTAATTTTCCTTCACGAACTATGTACTGGCAAGTCAAAATAACATCTATATTTTTCTTCCTAAAGATACGTTCAAAAATCTACTCGTAATAGAGCAGCATTGAACGGACCAATCAAAGCGAAGGAATCCTTTGCTTCTGATTGGTCAATTAAATTCTACCCCATACGAGTAGAATTTTCGAACGCATTTTAACTTAACATGAAATATGGACCTAACCCAACCTTCAATCTCGTTTATTTGCAACCATCTGTCATGTTTATTCTTCGAATAAAAAATGCTGTCTTCGAAAAAGAATGAAGAAAAGCCTGTAATGAGATGCATCAAGTAATTAGAATAATATTAAAGACAACTAATTTTTTAAATATATTTATATATATATAGAAAATAATTACAACTATCGATGTCATTTCTGGTTTGGCTTCATCAGCTGTTTTCTGACACTAGGTTCTGTCATGAACATCCGATTTTGGCAGCGGTACTCTGGGAATTGGCTGGAAATTTAAATATTGAAATCAATTAGAATCATGAATACGGAATACGACGAGGATCTGTCGGAGAATCGATTCCTGCAGGAGCTCAGGAACGAATATGAAGCTACACTTCAGCGGGTTATCCAGGAAGGCTGGATCGTTTGCGTTCCACGGTCCGGAAGCTTCTCCGGTCATGAATTGCGAGAGGACGAAATTAAGGCCCACATTTTGATCCCCAAGCAGGACTTCTCCACTACTCGATTTGACAGTTTGAATGGCAGGGAAGTTCTGCTCGTTGACAGAGTCTTGACTGTCAAGTGCGATGACGTCGAGCAGTACTCCACGCGTTTGCTCTTCGAGGAAATCTTTTACAGGGAGAATTTGCATAAATATATTGTATGGTAAGTATGCATTAGAATTATGTTAAATTACACATTAATTAAATTGGTTAATTGCGATTGTGCTCCACAGGTGCATAGAACAACCCTTGGATGCTAATATGTGTGTCTCTGACAACTGTGTGAATATAATCACGAATCTCCAGGAAGCTGTAAATTTTCTCCAAGTGGAACTGCTCGATAAACAGCTTCACGAAAACTTGGAAACCAAAATCAAAGACTTCTTACATGTCAACAAAGATTTAGAGCACAAATCGATGCAAATTCAGAGAGATTTAGTTCACGAATTATATACAAATTGTTTAAAAATGCTATTGGAAAACGCAGTGTTGAAAGAAAAGGTCTCTGGTAATAAGCAGTATTGTTGGAATATTAGAGTATCGCTAGAAACATATATTCTGTACGCTTTAAGAGAAGTACTGCTAAGATCATTATCCACTTGTACCGCTGTAGAAGATGCGTGCTTGAACAAGATCATCAGGAATCTAGACGGGATTCTACTGAGCGATCTTCGAATACGCCCGGACCTGGAATCTCGCGTCCACGGAGGAAAGATGGAACTGTCACGATTAGATTGCTTTGTGACGATATTGGGTAAAATAGAGTGTCTCAGGAGAACCGTGAATTACGTGTCGCGCGGAACGTCTACCGTCTCGTCTGATGATCTTCTACCGATACTTGTGTTTCTCGTCGTTAATGTCGGTCTGCCGAACTGGACAGCACAATTATTTTTCATGAGACAATTTCGTTTCTCCACAGACTCTACTTACGAAGCGGACGAAACCTGTTTTCTGGTAACATCGTTGGAGGCTGCGATCGAGCACATCAAGTCCGGAGTGATCTGCGAAGTAGACAAGTGCACGATTAATCCGGATAAATATAATCAACTGATAGACGAATCGGATCGCTCGTCTGTCAATTATCTGTTCGCGTGTATCAAGAACGGCAATCTATCCGAAGTGGAGAGGATACTCACCTACGAGAGATCTAATCAGGATGATGAGGTCGTGCTTTGCCATCCTTTATGCACCTGTGCGTCCTGCGAGCGGACATGGACGAAGACTCGAGAGCCAAATACATGTCCTAAGGACGACAGAGGTCGAACTTCGTTGCACATCGCGGTATTACACGATCAATTAGTGATTGTGGACTTTCTTCTGGATCGTCGTACAGATATAAACGTCACCGATTCCGATGGTTCAACGCCCCTTCACTACGCCTGCGTCAAGGGCCACCAGAATATTCTGCTGCTGTTGCTGCACGCCAACGCGGATCCCACGATGACGGATTCGCAAGGGAATACACCGCTGCATCTGGCCGTGGACCGTGGTCACGAGAGCTGCGTGAAGGCCTTGCTGTACCTGTCGGAACACATGAAGGTCTCGGTTAATGCAAATGCCACGAACGACAACGGCGACACGCCGTTGCATCTCGCGGCCAGATGGGGTTATCACGCCATCGTAGGCATTCTCTTGGAATACGGCGCGAACTGCGGGTCGACCAACAGGAAGGGTCAAACATCGCTGATCGCTACGTATAACGAGAGCATCGCCGAGTTGCTTAAACGCTCCGCGAGCGACATTCGCAGCGACGTCGCTCTGTCCCAGAAGAAACACGTGACTCTCGCGCAGTCCCGTAAGTCGATGCCATTTCAGCAATGTCGTTGGGCCACGATAGACAACTTGGAGAGCTTACCCGCGTCGCATCCCAAGAACTGTGCCAATGCGCAGGATCGCATGATGGATAAACTGCTTGCCGCCATAGTCGACGGTGACGTGTGCCTGGCCTGTTACTATCTGGGATTGGAGGTTTATCGAGGCGAGCGGCTACCGGGTTCTCGCACCAGTCTGTGCCACCATCCGTTGTGCGACTGCGAGCGTTGCTCGGCCCTCGGCGAGCGCAAATTCGTGCGCGAGCGAAGACAACGGGCGCTCGCGATCAACTCCTGCAACAGTCTTGGTGAGACTGCGTTGCACGTAGCCAGTGCAACCGGTCGCGACGAAATGGTACAGCTGCTGCTGGATGCTGGTGCGAACGTGAACGCGATGACCAAGTCGGAGGGTCGTACCCCGCTACACCTGGCGTGTCTCAACGATCGCGTCGACGCGGCGAAGTTACTGCTCAACTGCGGTACCTGCGACCTGGACGTCAAGGATCATAACGGCGACACGTCCCTTCACCTGGCGACTGTAGCTGGCAACGTGAAACTCGTGGGTCTGCTGGTGAGATACGGCGCAAACACGAATGCTCGTAATGCCCAGAACAAGTCGCCGCTGCGGCAGCTGGAGGAGCTGAAGCTGTCCGTCGTCTTCTCTGCAAATCATGCTGGTATACTGAAGATTCTGAAACAAAACACTCAGCTGGTTAGCGATTAGTTATAAGTCATGCCGGTTTTCTATGTCCGTGTCTTTTACTTACCTCATAGATAACTTAACTACAAGTATAACTTTTGACGTAGTATATACACAAGTTCTTCATGTGATACTCCATTACGGTAGATAAAGGAAGAAATGTCCAGTCTCTCTCTGCTACTTGTTGCAGTAGCTAAAAATTCTAAAGCAAAAAACTCAGATTTTTATACTAGATGAGCGATTTTGTATTTCTATCTATTTTTTTGTATTCTCTTTTCTTTTCTTCTCTCTTCTTCAGAGGAAATTTTAATTGTCGAAAAAGTATTTAATATAGTTCTAATATAATTTTCTCCAAATGTAATTTAAGTCTAATCGAATATAATTAAAATGTTTTAATTAAATCTCAAAGAGGAAAGAAAAATGTTTTATATATATTATATGAGAGTGTATTTGCAAGATCTGTTAGATTTCTTTTTAATTGTTAGTATTATATGTGCTTGTACAAATTACACATATATATAGCACGAATTTTCATACTATATAATATTATATAATGTGAGCCATACTGAGCAATATATTAATAAGTTATAAATATATACACAACATAATATATAAATTGATAAAGTAAATAATAATTGCAATATTGCATAATATAAATTAAAACACACAAAGATTCTACAAATAGTTTTATATATTTTATATATAATTTTATTATATATAATATATAAAAATATATTTAAAATATTATATAATATATAAAAATATTTAAAATATATTTAAAATATAATATATTTAATAAAAATATTTAAAACAAGATTTGTAAATATCTGTTTTGTATGAAATAAAATATAAATTTATACACATACCTGTGACTTGTTTTAATTATGTAATCTAGAATTTTGTTTTAAAAAATGTAAAAAATATATATGTATATATTGATTAGCATTTGTATCGTTAGTCGATATTGTTGGATACAAACATAGAGCTACTCTTTACACGTATAGTTCTTTAGAAAATAATCACTTGCATATAATATCATACATATTATTGACAAAAAAACATGTGTTTGTTAGTTTCGTAAATTATCATTATTATTTGTTAACTGCTCTAAGCACATGTGAAAAAAATAGTAGCCTAACCTTTCAATATATGCAACTCTCTCAAATAAGAATCTGAGCAATTCAACGTTTTGTTACAAGAAGTACAAAAGATACTTGACAACAAATTTTGTAGCAAATTGATAAAGAAATACTTTAATCATTATTGTGTTGTAATATCAGTAAACTCTGGTCAAACGAGAGGTAAGATTATTTTTCTTAAGTTTTAATTCATTGGTTATGTCTTTTGCTATTCCGGTAACATCGGTATTTAATTATTATTGCGAATATTGCATCATTAAGGACTATCTTATAGTCATTCTACTCCACTAATAGACATTTCTAATTTTTCAAAGTATTCTTAATAATCTTACAGTTTTTAATTATATTTAATATTTTTATTTAAAATACGGCTTTTTCTTTTCTTTCAAAACATACTAATATCAATTAATTGCAATCAAAAGTTTTTTTTATAAAATATATTAAAGTGGAATGTCTGTCAGTGAAATTGTGTTCGATTACACACACAATCAAAAGATTTACATATAATTTTTAATCTACTTGGGTTATTCAAGAGAGATTGGTAAGTATTGTTATATATTTGACATTCAGAAATAATAATTTTGATATTACTCTTTTAGCACATATAAAATCTATAATATATATTAAACTGTACAGTTCTGACATATCATTTTATATTATTTTCAGATACATTTTTATTCCAAAAATGTTGAGGCTGTTAAACTTATCGAGAAACTCTCCTTTAAGAAGTACAGCTTTGCAACAACAATTCATTTATCGTGCCCTTCATTCATCGACAAATGTGAAATCAAGTGCTCTACAACCGAAGAAAGAGCTGGTGCAGGATAAACTGGATAAATTTAAAAAGGGCGAAGTTATTCATGGATTTATTGTAGACGAAGTGTCAAAGATAGAGGAGCTATTTCTCACTGCGGTGAGACTGACACATCTGAGCACAGGTGCTCAATATCTGCATCTGGACAGGGACGATACCAACAATGTATTCTCTATTGGATTTCGTACAACTCCCATGGACTCCACCGGGTTACCTCACATCCTGGAGCACACTACTTTGTGCGGTAGCGAGCGATATCCGTGCAGAGATCCATTCTTCAAAATGCTGAGGAGATCTCTGGCCACGTTTATGAATGCTATGACTGGGCCAGACTATACTATATATCCATTCTCGACGCAAAACTTGAAGGACTACCGCAACTTACAATCAGTCTATTTGGATTCTGTCTTCAAGCCGAATCTACGAGAGCTGGATTTTCGTCAGGAAGGCTGGAGACTGGAACACACGGACGTGAACGACAAAAGCTCTCCCATCATATTCAAGGGTGTGGTCTTCAACGAAATGAAGGGTGTCTTCAATGATAATCAAGCTATTCTGGCGGAACGTCTGCTGAATTCTATTCTACCTAGTCATACGTACGCTGTGATTTCCGGCGGCGATCCTCTCGTCATACCTAATCTGCAGTATATCGATCTCCTGAATTTTCATAAGAAGTATTATCATCCATCCAATTCGCGCTTCTATTCCTATGGAAATTTCCCATTGGAGGATCATTTGAAGTTCATCAATGACCGATATCTCTTTCTGTCCGACCGAATAGACGCTTCTATGTCGAAAGTGCCGCCGGAGAAGCGGTGGAACAACATTAAAAAGGAACACGTCGCCTGCAGGCCCGATCCACTACTCGCAGATCCTAGCAGACACGGCACTATCGCTATCTCGCATTTGTGCAATGATATAACCGACATACAGAAAACCTTCGAGATGCATGTGCTGTCGCAGCTGTTGCTCAGAGGTCCGAATTCGGCGTTTTACAAATCTCTAGTCGAATCAGACATAAGCACCGGCTTCGGACCGGTCACTGGTTTCGATTCCCAGTGTAAAGACACGATGTTCGTCGTAAGTCTGCAGGGCGTAAAGCCCGAAGATTTCGAGAAGGTCGAGAGTATCTTCGACAACACAGTGGAAAAAGTTATCGAGGAGGGATTCGAGAAGAAGCACATCGAAGCTGTTCTCCACGGCATCGAGCTTCAGGTCAAGCATCAAACGTCGAATTTCGGGCTGAACCTTCTTTTCAATCTGACGTCCTTGTGGAATCACAACGGCGACTTGATGCAGGCGTTGAGAATCAACGATGCGGTCAAGAAACTCGCGTCGCGAATGAAAGAGGATCCCAAGTATCTGCAAAATTTGACCAAAACTTATCTCAAAGATAATAATCACAGATTGACGTTGACCATGTCGCCCGACGAGAATTACGAGCAGAGTAAAGCGCTCGCCGAGCAAGAGTTACTGAAGAGGAAAATGGAGGAGCTTTCCACGGAGGAGAAGGAACTAATCTACGTCAATGGAAAGATCTTGCTTGACGAGCAACAGAAGAAAGAGGACGTCGGGGTCCTGCCAACACTGAAGATGGAAGACTTGAGGACCGATGTGGAGAGATACAAGACCCTCGATCTGAAAGTATCCGGAGTACCTCTTCAACTATCCGTACAACCGACAAACGGGATCTCCTATTATCGAGGAATACTCAGCACGCAGGCGCTGCCGATGGAATTAAAGCAACTGGTACCGCTCTTCAACTACGTCATCGCCAAGATGGGGACACAGAACTACGATTACAGGAGCTTCGACCAGATGATGCAGCTGAAGACCGGCGGTCTGCACTTCGCGAATCACATTGCCGAGCATAAGGAGAGTGAATTGAAGTATGAAGAAGGGATTCTCGTAGAATCGTACTGCTTAGACCGCAATTTGAGCTACATGTGGGAACTGTGGACGGAATTGTTCAACAATGTTAAACTGACTGATCCTCAGCGATTCGAGACGCTCGTGAAGATGAATGCAGCTGACCTCATCAACGGCATCTCGCACGCGGGTCACATGTACGCGATGAGTAGCGCCGCTAGTCTGGTCTCACCGATAGCTAGAGCCAAAGAGAGCCTCTCCGGGTTGCAATACGTGGGGAGAATGAAGAAAATAGCTCAGATACGCGATCTGTCCTCTCTGATACTCAACATGCAGGAGATAGCCGAACGCGTCTTGAACAAGGAGTACCTTCGATCGGCCATTAATTTATCCGAGGAACACAAGGACGATGCTGTCAACGGTATTCGCGCGTTCTACGAGTCACTGAAGGGTTCTCCGAAGAATCCCTACGTCCTCAGCAGCGATCAGAGCACTGAAACGAGTGAAAGCGGTAATCATCATGTACTGCCATACACAGTGAATTATTGCTCCAAGACGATTCTGACAGTTCCTTATACGAATCCGGACTATGCCCCGTTACGTGTGCTCTCCAAGTTGATCACTTCCGTATATCTGCATCCGGAGATTCGAGAAAAGGGCGGAGCTTATGGTGGAGGCGCGAAATTGACGTCGGAGGGACTCTTCGCTTTTTACTCTTATAGAGATCCTAACTCCACTCGTACCTTCGACCTGTTCGACAAGACGTATGATTTTCTAATCGAATATTCGTTACCTCAGAGCGATGTAGACGAGGCAAAACTGGGAGTTTTTCAGCAAATCGACATTCCTATTCCTCCCAGCAATCGTGGTATGACTAAATTCACCCACGGCATCACGGATGATGACGTTCAGAGGCAGAGAGAGCAGCTGAAGGCTGTGACTAAGGAGCAGCTCTTGCATGTGGCTGAGAAGTACCTGAAACCTGGTCAAAAAGATATTAAAGTCGGTCGTTCACTTATCGGACCTGCAAATGTCGATATTTTAAATAGGCGCACAGAAAATTGGACTGTATTAAATCAGGAAGAAGCAGATCAAGCACGAGCCACTGAATAGACATCAAGTTATCTTTGTTATTTTTTTCATGAAATTAGTTGTAATATTTATAATAAAACATGTTTTGTTTTATTATGTTAAACTGCGAAGACACATGTCATCAAACACCTGGTAATGTTCTATGAGATACTTTTAACGTTAAGTATATTAGAACCTGAAAAGGTAATACGTACATTAATAATACATAACATTTGTTAAATAAATATTGTAATTTATGCTATATTTTATATATTAAAAACGTATCCTATAGCAAAAAGAAAAATAAAAATGTGTTTTACTCATTTTCTAATTTTCATCAATCCTTATGTGCTCATCAACATCGTATACTTATTACTACAATTATTTATTACTTTAAAGTATAATTTTCCTTTTTTTTATTTTAATCAGCTTACATATGGATACCGATGCTGAAAAGGAATACTTTTTCGAAGCACTATCTTTATTTTATGACATGCAGTGGCTTCATAATATAGCAGTAACCGAGATCTTAACTAAAGCATCTTTAGATGCAATTCCCAAAGACTGGATTGAACATTTACAAATTCTAACAAATGAGGAATTCAATAATTTTATAGTGAGAAAGACAATAAAAGTTAGTAAATAGTAAAAAAAGAATATTATATAGTAGATTAAAATTTTTTAAATTAATTATTTTAAGATCAATTAAAATTAATATTAATCAAAATTAATATTGGTCGCTAGTGGTGAAAATAAGCTTGGAAAACTTGACTTCGACGTAACTAGCAAATTTTATTATATAGTCGTTGATGAAACATCATAACGATGGGACGTGTTCCTCTTTTAACTTTTAACTTTCAATTTTAAATAACACCGGTGTGATGTTACGTTAATCTCAGTTTAATTGATGGAAATTTCACTTGAAAAGAACCACAACCAAATGGTCGAAACGTCGTGAAATAGTCAAATAAAATTAGCTAGTTACGTCGAAGTCAAGTTTTCCAAGCTTAATTATTTTAATATATTTTTGTTGTTTCAGTTCGAATGGCCCGATTCATTAAAAACATATGTTAAGAAATGTCAAAATCTTATTAGACTGCCACTTGTAGAAACACCACTTTCTGAAATAGAATTGCCACACAAATTTAAAATTGGTCTCAGTCGAAAGAAGCAACACGAAATAATACATTTAGCTCATTTAGTGCACACGCAATGTAAGCTGCATGATATACAAACAGTCATCGATTTGGGAGCTGGTTTGGTAAGAGAATAACAATACGAAAGAGATATAAATTCTACATTTCTGTGGACTACAATAATTTTAAATTTTTAAATAATTTTTCAGGGCTATGTATGCCAAATGTTGCATTATTTGTACGGCTACCGAGTTCTGGGTTTGGAAAGAGACAATGAAAACGTGAACAGAGCATGTATTAGACAAGAAAAATTGTATCCCGATTCTTTGACCAAAGTTAAATACATCCATTGCGATGTGACACGTGATTCCACTGACACGATAGAATCTATCTTGCAGCAAGAGTTCCCTGACTTTACGGATGCATGTCTGATTGGATTGCATGCCTGCGGAGACCTCAGTGCAAGCGCATCAAGAATTTTCTGCAAAATGAAGTCTGTTAAACTCTTTATTCTAATCTCCTGCTGTTATCATAAACTTTCCATTTCCAAGACTGTACAGATTTCAATGCAAGAAAAACAATATTTTCACAATTTTCCCTTATCAAATTGTCTACGAGAAACGATAGCGGCGTACAATTTTGACATAGGGCAGTTCTTAAGAATACCTTTTCTGCGATTAGCGTGTCAAGAATCGGTGGATAAATGGCATAGCATGTCCAAAGAGAAACATGACGAACATTCCTTTCACGTTCTCGCTCGAGCCGTGCTAGAATTATACTCGCAACAAAGTAGGTGTCTGTGATATTATATGATGTAAGTACATGCCATAGAACAATTGCTCATGAAAGATGTATTCTAGATAATCTCCTTCTCAAGAAAAAAGTTCGAAAAGGTACGAGGAAGTCCCAATGTTTGAATTTTCAAACTTATGTTAACGATTCGTTATTGAGATATGATATAGTACCAGATACGAACGTAAAGTTTGCAGGTAACACTGATAATACGATATAATATTTGCAAGATTAATAATTTTTAACATTAAATCTAATAACATATATATATATATATATATATATATATATATATATTTATACGAAACTTTCACATATGTATAAAGGTAATGTCGTACATGATGAATTAGAGAAAGGCATAACACAAGTATGGGAAGAACAGAGTGAAAGATTAGAAACTGTAAAAATCTACTCTGGTCTGCAAATGATGCTACAACTTCCTGCAGAGTCATTAATTCTACAAGATCGTTTATTCTGGCTGCATGAACAAAACTTAGAAGCTGTAATTGTGCCTGTAATGAACAAGTGTATATCTCCTCGTTCATATGCAATTGTATCTCATAAAAGCTGAAAATTATTTATTATACTGTAATAAATAATATATCAATAAAAACTAAAATATATTTTAAAATATAATTGTGTCTGTGTATCTTTTATTACATCCTATCATTAAAATAATAAATTATATATAATGATTAAGTTTTACTATAATTACACTTTATATAAAAATTAGAAAGTTATAGATATCCTCAAATTTTCAAATTGTATTTTCAATCATATAACTTACATATATACTGGTGTACTCTTATTTATGACTCTTTATTATACTCTTATTATACTCTTTATTATACTCTTTCTATTTATTATACTGTAATAAATAATATATCAATAAAAACTAAAATATATTTTAAAATATAATTGTGTCTGTGTATCTTTTATTACATCCTATCATTAAAATAATAAATTATATATAATGATTAAGTTTTACTATAATTACACTTTATATAAAAATTAGAAAGTTATAGATATCCTCCAATTTTCAAATTGTATTTTCAATCATATAACTTACATATATACTGGTGTACTCTTATTTATGACTCTTATCTATAAGGATGAATTTGTGATGCTGCTTTGATATTTGTTTTAATTGCACTCGGCGCCTTATTCATTTGTCCCACTGTAAAATATATTTAAAATTAAAAAGGTAATTAAAATTATTTTAAACAGCATTGCACGGAAAAATAAAAATCTTTAGAGAAACACTTACTTTGTGGATTACCCATTGGACCTTGTCCTGGTGTCTGCTGCTGATTGCCAGGTCTGCCCACCATCATGCTGTTATTTACTGGATTTACGCCAGATTGAACCATTTGTATAGAATCAGACTGTAAAGATACAATACATATAACATACATGATCTGACAGACATATGGAAAAATAATATCATTTATTTAATTCAAAATTTTTGTTGTTTTATGTCAGAATATTTAAAAGTAAGATTATAATGTACCTTTAAACCTTTACCCATTCCCACAGCAGCCAGAAGAGCATGAGTGTCCGCAGCACTGCTGGTCTGTGCTTGTGTAGCCCTGGCTCCAGCTTCACTCTCCCATTCTTCACGTGTCTTATTTGCTATATCCCACACGTGACTAACCACCTTTGTATATTGCGCCACTTGTTTCTGAAACCCAACGAAGCACGCAGAAACTTGATAAGTTATGGAATTCCACTGTTCCACTCGCTAAATGGACCATACAAAAATTTCTGATTGCATAGCAAATGTAATTTCAAACATTAAACATCTATTATATTAGCTATTTATGTAGCTAAAAATAGGCTTGCCACATAACATCAATCTCAGCCCAAAGCGAATGGAACAAAGCTGAAGCTATTTTAATTAATAGCTTACATTGTAGTCCTAGTTGTTGTTTAGTTAGCACGTTAACAGAAAAATAGAACATCTTTAGTTAGCTTCAATGTATATCGATCTTAGGAGATACTGTATGTACATACTTAATTGTATGTAAACAGATATAATCTCAAAAAGTTTAATTGTATTATATGTGTGTATATAACACTTTAATATTCTAATAATTTACTAAAATATCTATTTACTATCTTAAAAAAAAGAAAATATAGGGGATCTATCAATTGTGAAATAAGTTAATATATACAAAATTGTCTTACATGTGAAGTGTCGATGTTAACATTTGCAGCTTTAGCTTCCAACTGCATCATTTTCTGTTCAGCTTGAGGTTCCAATTTTGTCCTTAAATAGTCAGGAACCAAATCGTGTGCAAATGTCGGAATTCTACCTTCAGTTAATCGAAGTAAGTCCTCATCTTTTTCTGGACTCAAACGTAATGGTAGAACAGTTAAGTTTTTGAGATTGGGTGCTTTATCATGTCCGAGCATCTTTGCAAGGCTAGTCAACTGTACAAATGTAATATAATAACAAATATAATTCAAGACAGAAACAAAGATCTATAAATATAAATGCTACTTTATAATTTCTCCTCGATTAACAAAATGATATACTTACATGACCTGAAATAAGGGCAAAATTGTCGAGGAAATTTGGCCAATTCATGGTCTCATATTCATGCTCCATTTTATATATCATCGCGGCAATTGAGGTTTTTACATCATTTACTCGCATTATAATGGCTTCTAAAGCTGAATCTAATTGTTTTTCTTCCCTCTGCATTGTTCAGATTTAGATTTAGGTTAATTTTAGGTTAATATAGCTGTGTGATAACAGCAATTATCACCAGCACCGATTACGTCCAGGATATTCAATGCATCTCAGATCTACGTTGAAAATATTATTTTAGGAAATTTTTTGATTCAACAAGTTCGAAATTATCTTGTAAAAATATCTATAAATAATCATACTGTCGAATCTTAAATATCAATCACTCTAACACTAATACTATACATTTATACAAAATTACGCAAAAATTAAGATAATTTCTTCGAGCAAAGATTCAATTTCTACATCTTGAAATATATAAAATGCATAAAATGAAAAACTGAATTCTACATCTCAAAATACATAAATAAAAAAGAACAGAATATATATGTTATGACACAGATTAATAGATTAATCTATTAATCTGTGGTTATGAATTACTTACTGTGAAAAATTTCGTGGTAATATGAATGCAATAAATACTTGGTTTTCAATGTTTTATGAACGTAGAAGATGATATGTAGATCATATCGAAATTGCTACAAGAAAATATATATGCTTTCTTTTCGGAGACGCACTGATCGAAGCGTCTCCTATTGACACTATTGATAGCTATCGCGATGACATCTCGTGGCCATACGTCATCAGCTGTTTGACAACTGATTGTCCCCGACACGTGATTACTCGTAAGAATTGTCATTCATGATTACTTGCGAGAATTGTTAATTATTTTGCCGCGAGAAACACACATGACACACATGCGTAACGTCATGAAGTCCTTTCGCGAGGTCCTCTCGAACACCAGCAACATTCTGATCCTGACCGGCAGCGGAATTTCCGCGGAATCCGGAGTGCCAACTTTTAGGGGTGCCGGTGGATTTTGGCGTAAATATCAGGCACCGAGTCTTGCGACACCGGAGGCCTTCGCGGCAAACCCCTCGTTAGTCTGGGAATTTTATGAGTATCGCAGACAATTAGTGAGCAAAGTCAAGCCGAATAAGGTAATACGACGCTGGAAAAATGTCAAATATTTTTAAACAATTTGGAAACTAAATTTTCTATGATATATATCTTTATATTTTAGGCAGTTTTAAAACATGTTTAAATATCTATAAAAATTTAGAAATAATAGTAAGATATATAATTCTTATTTTTCTTCTCTTTCTTTAGGCACATGAAGCTGTCGCTGAATTTCAAAAGCGTAAAATAGCAGAAGGTAAAAATGTATCAATCGTCACACAAAATATAGACGGATTACATCAAAAGGCTGGGGCGCAAGATGTTGTGGAGTTACATGGTTCACTCTACAAAACACGCTGTACTAAATGTCATAATATTGCCATTAATGAGAATATTCCCATCTGTCCAGCATTGGCAGGAAAAGGGTATGTTATTGAGAATTCTGAAAGTATAATTGCAGACAATGGAATGATAATAATGAATCTAAACAGATCTCCGGATCCAAGCATTATGTCCTCTGATATTCCAACAGAAGAATTACCACGTTGTAAAATCAAAGATTGTGGAGCTTTGCTGCGACCTGATATCATATGGTTTGGTGAACAGCTAGATGAGAATGTGCTACAAAAGGCTTGTACGTATGAAATTGTGTTTAATATTAAATTATATCTCGCGCTTATATATATACATACATATAAATCATGCATATGGAAAACATTAAATAAGTCTTAACATTATAATTAAATAACAATATACAATTTAAAACAGGAAAGAAAGAAAAGAAAAATTTTAATCACATAAACATAAAAAGGACATAACAAAGATTAAACGTATTTTTACTTTAAATTTTACATTTTTTTTAAATGTTGCAGTTGACCTTGTTAAAAGTTGTGATGCTTGCTTGGTCATAGGAACCTCAGCGATCGTATATCCAGCTGCAATGTTTGCACCGCAAGTCGCGCAACGTAATGTACCAGTAGCAGAGTTTAATATAGAAGAAACGCCAGCAACGAGACAAATGCAGTAAGTATATATTATCAACTTCCTTATTTTAATTGATTGTTATGTAAAATAATCTCACCGATTTAACTTTCACAATTTGAATTGAAATATGGAAGAATATAAATATAGAAAACGATAATATATAAAATATAGAATATTACAACAATATAAAATATATTGCTTTAAACTTTTTCATGCATATTTAATTAACTTTGCAAGCATTTTGTGACGTTACGTCATAGTTTCCTCGTGTTCCCGCTTACGTCCTTTACTTGACTACAACAAAAAAAAATAGATATATTATATTTGTGTGGGAAGATTTTTAAAGGCAAATTATTTCATAGGTATCACTTTCAAGGACCCTGTACTACTACTGTAGCAGAAGCATTGGCGCCTTAAAAATTGAAATACATAATATACATAACATATTGATCTGTTTTTCATAATATACAAGATTGATTACCTCGCAGTAGCACACTTCTGTATTCAATCCGAGATGATTCAAATAGTCCAACCATAATTTTTGTTTGATTGACAACGAATCGCCTGGACCCTTTACTTCTACGATTTTATACTGAAAAAACGAGATACTATAATTTAATGCACTTTATTTGGTAAAATATAAAACTTTCTAGAGTATAATAAATATATATATATATATATATATATATATATATATAAGCTCTTAAAATTATGTATATAAAAAATTTATTTACCTGTTTTGTATATTTGTTCCATACAATTAAATCTGGGAAGCCAGCTTTCCAGAGTCGGAAATTATGAATGAGCCGTTCGCAAATACCAAGGATACCTTCTACTCCTAAACAAAATGCTACCTCCTGCAAAACAAACATATGTATATATAATACAAATTGCTTTTACCACAAAAATTTTGTTGATTGCTTACCTGAAAGCTGTCACTGTTGTCAAAAATAGTGCCCTGATAGAGACATGTGTATTCGTGATGTAACTCGAATGCGTGTTTCAAATGTTTACTTAATGTTTCCGAATCATATTTTCGAAGTATTTGGAGTTTTATGTCTATCTGCTCTTTCCGGTTCTCGTAAAATTCCGACGAATATAAATCCAAAGGTGCATTCTGATATGTTGATACGCAAGCGCCGGGAATATTTATATTGTAAATCTCGTCCCAAAACAATGTGCCAAAGAGAAGAATCGGAAAGGCACCTTCGCAGTGCACACCCTTCGAATATCCCTTATCCTTGTAGTGATATAGTGCAAAATTTTCGACCGAACCGTACATCTGTTCATCTTCGCTGTTGCTGATACACCAACAAGATTTCCTTTGCTGAATATTTCTAGAAACATACATACATGCACATCTCTTTTCTAAATCTTTCTTAAACTCATTAAAAATTTTTATTAAAAAGATTTTGATATAAATTACCTGCATAACACTCCTTTTATCGTGATCGAAGACGTCTGGGAAGTTGGTCGCGCTTTGTTGAGCACGTTGTCCAATATATGCTGAACGGTAGCTTTTGTATTTTTACTGATGGCAGTTTTTCTCTTAACGAGCATCTCTGCTCTTTCTAACAAGTCTAATCTGTCGACTTCTGTCAAACTCTTGTGCGATACTGCGTCCGATAGTAATGCGACACTAGAATCAAGATTCTTCATGTGATACACCTCTATTTTGATCAATTCACTGAACCATGATCCTTTTCTATTCTGCATATGACAATTCTGATTTATTAACATTCGCAAAAATTCTATCGCCTGTGGCAATGTTTCTTTAGTCTTTTTAAATGCTTCTATGCTTTTAAACAAAACTTTGAGCCACATGTAACCTGGCATAAAGCATCTAATATGATGAGGCAGTGTAGAGTCTTGAAGACTGCAAAAGAACCGTGTAATATACAAATATTTACTTCAACATGACCAAATAATTGAGCATGTGTAAATTATATTTTTATTACCTTTCTGTTTCCATCTCCAAGAAGAGTGGTAAACGTTGCGCGGCCAAAGATCCAAGATTTCGTACAATAACCCATTGTTTTTTCTCAATTGCGCTCAATATATCAGATAATGTATTTTTAGCATCAATGTAACTGTAAAAATTCAAGTTAGAAACAAATAAAATATTCTTTTAATGTAAAATTAAAAATATATAAATTATATATGATTAATATGTAACTTACTCCAACAAGTGTCCTTTACTAGCAAAGATAGGAAAATCACTTATTTCTACTTTTGGAAACTTTATCTCATTTTTTTCAACTCTTAGCATCGTTCGGAATACTTCCGCCAAAGTGTGAGTGGGATCTCGATTCGGTATCAACAGTGTAATTATTCTATCAAATATGTCTTTTGCTCTCGCATTAAATAATACACAAGTTCCCAAGCGCTTGTTGACGGACGTGCGTAATTTAGTTGCGGGATTCGACATCCCAGGGAACAACGATTTTGTCTTATTACAAAACTTGAGTATTGATTGTACATAGTCTTCTTTTTTCTTACCACACATCACTTTTATTTCTCGACAAATCTTGCGAATTTCATCGACTTGTAACAAGTTCAGCAAAACAGATATATCTTCTTCTTCCGTATTATTTTTGAAAATAGATCGTGATACAAGCTCGTCAAAAATCGGTTTTAGATCGGTGGATATCTCGTCGTATTTAATGTTACTTATCCTGTGCCATGTGTGCTGTCTCTTGAACATACGTATTAGCAGTGCTTGTGCGTGTTTTGAAAGAGTAAGTAACGAAAAGATAAAATTTAATTCATCTTCATTAAAGTATCCGCAATTGATTGGATTAGAAAATACAGTAACAATGGCTAGAAAAAAATGCAACGAATATGTGTCTGTAGGCACAATTACGTCATCAATTTCAAATTTTGTTGTAGTTGTAGTATCTATAGGATTATACATGTAGTTAAATTTTTTGCTCGAGTAAATTTCCTCCAGATCAATGTCATTATTAGATATTGCTCCTTCTTTCGCATAATTTAAATTATTTATTGTCTCAGAAATTAATTCCTCAGTTCTATCTTCGAATAATTTTCTTCGCACTATTTTTGCAGTCCTATGTGACTCGTTTCTTATTGAGATTGGAGATGATGTTTTTGGACTAAATTTTGAACTGCTTTTTGACACAGGAGTTCCTTTTTGACTGTTAATAGGAGAAGTAAATGTAATAGTTGGCGATCCAAATGGCTTAGGTGCCATAATTTTAGTCAAGCTGGTTTGCATATCAGTCTGTGATAAGTAATGCACCTGACTACTTGATGAATTATTCCACTGTCGTTTTCTTCTATTTACTTCATATGGGTTTTGTTTGGCTTTTTCATGTGCAGATTTGAATTTGCTTGAGAATTGTCTCTCCTTGAATAAAGAAAAAAATTAATATTTAAACATTGTTAATACAATTAAATTGTTATATATATTAAACAACTTACTTTTTTCCCAATTGGACTTCTGTGATTAGATGATTCCTTGATACTTTTTACTTTTGCACGTTTCTTATTGCTCGTAACTTTATAAAATTGATCTATTGTAGTTTGCATTTTATAGAACATTAAATGATTTAATCCTCAATAATCATCGTAAACTCACAGTATAGTTATATATCATGCTCAGATTAAATGTACAATTTTAAAGGTACTTAATGCAGACTAAATTGTAAGTGCATGTTTCGATACCTGAAGAAATAAAACGGATCATAATGGATTCCACATTATGCTGTGCTCTCAATCTTTGTTTATTTTGTTCGTACATTAGCCTATCCTTAAGTAAAACTTAATTTAGACTATAGCGAATCGACGAAAGAAATTACAATATTTACATAGTTCATACAAATTACCGGCGCGAATACAAATATTCTTTTACCTAAATGACATAGAGTCAAAATATAAATCTCGTACCACACAATAGAACGGTAAGTATCAACGGCATAATACTTTTATTTTTTATCTTTTTTTTCGTAATTTTAAAACTATACACGAATGATGAAGAATATTTAGGGGACGAAGCCTTAGTGACAACAAAACCTTTGTCTCAATTATGTTACATTTGCGCTTTACCTCTAAAAGTCCGAAAGTCGCATGTAAACGCATGGAGGAAAGAGAAATCAAAAAATGAGAAATTATTTAAATCACCATCGTCGGAAATCACTGTATAAAATAAACTCGACGAACAATCTGTCATACGTAAAATGCGGGAATAAGTGCGTCACCATTACAGATCACAAAGATAAGCCAATAAGGTCAGGTTAGAATCAACACCTGCGCAGAACGCAGTGTCACGTGATCAAGTGGCGGGAAAAGTTGAATAATTCAAACAATAAATACATGATTTAATAAGAAAAATCTTTCTGTAAGAACGCAAATAAGGATTAGCCATTTACACGACAACGTAAATTCAATGTTTTTCGATATAATTATTCATATCGCGCTCCCGATACAAAGTTTATATCTCGTCCACGAATAAAACATTAATCTATAACAAAAGTTTTGAGAAATTTATATTTTCTCTTACAATATAATTATTACGTAGAAAAAAATATTTAAATAATTTTCAAAGAAAATAATCATGTTCACATTAAAAACAAAATGTTAAAAGCGATATAATTTCACAACAAAATTATTCGCAAAAGAACTTCCGATGTAAATAAAATTTCTTAAAAAAAGCTAATGTAATCCCAATTTATTTTTACAAGCCTATTTTCTTTTGTTAAACCAATATAATCGAAACATAACAAGCAAGATCTTTCTTCTCTGCATGATAAATACGAAGAATGTGATAAATTTAAAATAATGTATGATTGCACTAAAATGCATATGGAGCGCATACATAAAATGCATAATTATATACGTAATTAAAGTGGATATAATAAATTTTGAAATTATTTTCAAGACTTGTGCTCAGAGATACTGCATACAGTGAATTCGCGACCTAAAACGCGCCGCACTTTCTCTCTTCTCTCTCTCGTTTTATATTTTTATATTTGTATTTATATATGTATTTATATATGTATGTCGTTTGCATGTACAGGCTCACGAGCTGTGTTACGTGTATACGTACATATGTATACGAATATGTACAATAAGTCGTTTCAGAGTTTAGAGTTTGCCGATTTTTTTTGTTCTTTCCCTCTCCTCATCCTTGGAGTTACATAGTAATTAGAATATATTTAATAGCCAAAATGCAACCCGTAAATTGACTTACTTATATACACTCAATTAGTTACATCGTCTGCTATCGGTGTGTTGTTAATCGCAATAATCACGAATATTAATACTTAGGTCTCTATACATAAGTCGTAGGAAATGTTGACTCATCTACCTGGTAACACCTCTATTCGCTACACCTCAGTAAAATACAAAGATCAACGAAATATATCTCACATTGAATGAAACGTTTCCTTAAAAGAGATTGGAGGAATTATGTTCCCATAATTAATTCTGTTGTTGTAGCTCTCGACGCAAAAGTAAGAAGCATTTTTAAGGAAACGTATTGTACGACGTATAAATAATTCAGGAATGTAAATCATTCGTCGGATGGTAGTTTGTTTCAATAAATAAGACGTGTATTTCACTTTTTTGTTTTTTGACAATTACATCTAAAATCCGCTGGATTTCCGGACGAGTTATAATGCACGTTTCTCAAGTAAAAGGTGTTATCAGGTGACAGAAGATTAAATAATCGTATCGTATCGAAGAACAAGTCGAAGGGTTGTGTCTCTCTGAACAGAGAGAGAGCGAATATTCTATATATGTTAATTATATAGAACCCTCTACGTCACTTTCCCTCCTCCGCGAGTTCTCCGAACTCTGTTTACAAGAGAGATTTGTTATTTTCGAGAAAAATTCTTTATTTTACTCGCGTCCAAAGTTTCGTTCAAATCGGAGCTTTGGTTGAAACGTTTTACTTCGTCTCTTCTCTTTGTTATTTTTTTTATCCGATTACATCTTCCTGTCGCACAGCGACGCAGAAGCTCTACTGTATTCACAGAATAAAATACATGTATAAGTAGATACACATCGTGCCTCGACGAGTCAGTCGATATTTATCAGTAAATCTGTTTTAACACGCAGAAAAATGTCGTGGAGCTTTTTTTCCTCTAGATACCTATTAACCGTTAAGCTCATTCCTCTTCTCGATAATCTCTTTTTTCTTCACGCAAATTAGTAGTTTCTTTTTTCTTTCTCATCGTCTCAATCATTCTCAAGAGAATATTTGCATTGATCTGTCTTACTTCTACTTACATGATATACTATTGTTTCTCGCGAATGCAACGAATTGGGTAAACACGAAATCCCACCGTCTGATACGACCGATCACTAATTTCGCACTTTCTTCATTCATATTTCTTGGAAATGAGATAATCTCCAAGTGTTTGTATCTTTAATGGTCTCAACTCGCACGGGAATTTGAATTTAAAGAAATTTTTCCTTGCGAGTTTCGCCGCAAAAAAAAAGAATGGAACGATCTTAACTGCAGTGGAATTTCGTGTTTGCCAAACCAGAAATGTAAAGCGAACTCAGTCTTTGGTTGGAGCGATCAAATCTTGATGATTCTCGACGTTTTATTTAATTTTAAAATGGCTATTTTGGGTCATTATATTTTTAACATTAATAAATTTTATATAAAAATTCATATATACCACTATACTTCGTTTTTTAAACGTGTCCCAACTAAAATAAACAAATTACTTTTCTTCTTTACAAATACATATTCTCGAATTCATTTTTTTTCTTTTTCATTCACATAAAATCGCTCGTTCTTCTCAAAATCATTTGGCGGAAGAGTTATCGCTTTTTCTTTTTTTTTTTAAGGCTTCGCTAAAAATCTCGATAGCAGCATATATACGCAGTATATACTCTGTGCATGTATGTGTGTGTGTGTGTGTATGTGTGTTTGTATGTGTATACGTATATGCGGTTTATGACGAGCAAATAACGTTTATAAAAGCTAAACGCTATACGAATACGAGCGAACAAAGTGGAGAGAATGGAGGATACGGCTTCGCGCGCAACAGTGAATCTGAGAAAAACGAGAGAAATAATGAAATATATCTAAAGAGTATGTACAAATATATGTGTCAGAAAAAACGGATTTCACAAAAATGTTAGATAATATACAGGCGAAAATATGTGTGTATGTGTGTGTGAAGATCTTAACAAAATAATAAGTCCTATCCAGGATAAAATTTCTTTATTATTCCTCTCTTCTAAAATCGTCTTGAATTCATAAATTTTCGTACACGTTTCGCTGTGCGCCTACCACAACAACATTTTTTTTATTACAATTATTTAGTTAATTACCTAAAAATAAGAGATACAATAAGCGTAATTATTTTTATATGTACAATATATCCTTTTTTTGTTTTATTTTATTACGATTTCGAGAAGTCTGCCTTCTTCTTTTTCCTCTTTTCCCTCTTTTTTTTACACAATTTGTAACACATTCGCATCATATCATTTTTATATCCCCCATCCCCCCGTTTCTCGCGTTACGGCTGGCGACACAAAAATCTATTTCATTACTCGCTAAATGCGACAAGTTCTTTGAAATAAACATTCACGAATAAATCAGAAATTCCATTTTATATCGGTAATTACTCAATGATCAGTGCCTGTTTTAACGTTTAACAAATAACAATTAAGAGCTCTCTTTCTCTCTCTCTGCGCAATCTCGAATTTCTGTACGCAGCTATTCTGCTTACAGTAACAAAAAAAGTACAACTATCAATGTGTTAAAGAAGAATATGGAATAAAAGTATCTCGACGAAATAAAAATCACTTTCCGATCTTTCGATTTTGAAAAAAATATAAATTCAAAAAGATTTTAGAATGTAACGCACATTCAAAGAAAAATGTACAGTCAATATATTGTCAATTTGATCGGTAAAGATATTCTCTCGTTTCTATGTTTCTTTTTTTTACGCATTTTCTTACAATTTTTGTATTATGATGAAGTAGCAGAAGGGGAGATGACGGCATATAGAAAGATTAAAGGGAGGAAGAGAGCGTATATTACACGTGAAAATCCAAGAGACACTATAACATATTGATTATTGGTCTTTTTCCAAGATAATGAATTGAGGTTTATCTTCGCGAAAGCGTTTTATATATATATTTTTTTTAATCTGAAAGAACGACGTGTGATTAAATGTGAAACGACAATATGTTTTGATCGAATTAATTGCAAATATTTGCTTTTAAGTATATCCAAGATAATTTGTTCAGTTGTATCAATAAATTCTACCATTTTTTTACTTTGCAACCAATAATATGCATGCCGATGAAAGAACGAATGTCACTCATATAATTTGACGTTGCCTTTTCAGGCAGGATAACTGTTGAAATGTTTGTCCGAATAGAGATTTAATGATGGCACGTCTGAATTTTATTCGTATATGCTCGAATTTTCCAAGTCTGTACGTAACGTGCACAACAAGACTTACACGAACTTGAATTTCGATATTTCACATCCGAGTTCTAGTAAGTAATTCTATTCTATAAATAAGAACGAATATCGAACAGCTTTCGAGCAGTTTACATTTATCTAACAGTAAAATGTTATCGAGTCTGTGAGACGGCAGATAAAAATGTAGTAGAATGAGATGGTGCAGAATATCATAATAAAGCTTTAGCTTCGTTCTCATTTCCTTTAAATTCACACACATTCGAGAAATTAAAAAAGAAATCCGGAATTAATTGAATCGCGTGTAGAACAGATATATATGAAGTTACATTAAGAAATCTATCTTTAAAGGCAATGAAATTTAATCGTTTATATATTTACTTTGTCAAGGACTTTTGCTTGAAGTACTTCAGTATTTCAATATCTCTAATATCGATAGTGGTAGAGTTTCAGTCACTAATGTGAAAGACGTAAGTGTTCTTATACATTGCCCCAATGTGAGCTTTGTAGATTCTAATACAGTATTCTAATGATCTCTCCGCACACAAATCCTGTGATACAAGCTTTTCCAAACGCAACATTATAAAATTACACCCTATAATCGCATATCAGTCGCATATATAATATGTAGGCGACGGATATGCACGTATCAAAATGTACGTTTTGGCGATTACTGGAGAAAGAGAAAAAAAGAAAGTCCTTTTACGATTATAATGACTTAATGCTATCAAAGATTCATTGATAACAATAGCTTCGATATTTCACAGCCTGGAAGCCTTTAACATAGTATCATATATGTATATATTTATATATATGTATATATAAGGAAATAGCATTACTCTATATAAAGTCATATAATATTCGAACCAAATCTATATATATACAGTATTGAGAAAAATCGTACACTTTTGTAAGAAATTAATTAATCTATTTTTCGTTTTCTGTATAATGTCATTTATCTGGAAAGCGATGAGAAGTAATTCGAGCATACTATTGTACTTACAAGAGCAGATTACTATAATAATCCCCGCCATTGTTAACGTAGCGCTTATTGAATTTATTTTTTATATATTGTTTTAAAGAAATTTATGGCGTAAATCATTTCTAAATACTTTTTTACCCGATTTTTTAGGGAAATTAAAATAATTATTGATCAATTATCATAATAAAACAAAATAAAATTAAAATAATTATTGATCAATATAAATGATAAAACGCAAAGCCTCTATATTCTTGAGCGTATATCTTGAATGACGGATGTTACAATAGATGTAGAGTTAAAAGAGTTTTTTTTACGGAATTTCGATAATCCAATAATTAATGCTGTGTCTGAGAAAGCTTGCTGTATGCACCCACCCAATTATTTTGTGTCATTAAAGATGATAAATAAGAGATTTCAATAATCTAGACATATAATAGCATTTCATATTTCTGATTAGTTTTCCTTGCATTGAACGAATGAGACTATTGCAGACTAAAAACAAAACAGTATATTGCACGTTATATTTTGAAGAGAAACTTAATTATATACATAATTTTAAAACTTTGCTACAATTAATATGTATCCTTCGTGAGCCAGGAATGCAATTTATCCACTGACTACATATATATATTGCCCTCTATTTTTTTATACGATACAAAGAAAACGAGCACTATTACTAAAAATATCAAGTGCTAATTTTGGGCAATTGGATACATCAACTTCGGAATCTTGTATCTACAGGAACAATGGCAACATTTTTTTTACATGGCTATCATGGTCATCTTTAGCAATCGTTAATGGCGATATCATATCGTTCAATGAGCAAGGAAAAAGAAAATTTGAAGAGTACGGATCGATTACAGTCCCTCTCTCAATGAAGACAGAAGTAAAAGAAACTTGATACTTGCATCAGAATCCACGCTACCGTTGATTTGCATCGCCGCACAATAAAGCAACTGATCGAAGGAGCAGTTTTGCAATTGTACCTAGCCGTATCGCTCTTTCGCATCAACACGTAACGCAGTATACCATCAGTACACGTTCCATCTCTCGCCCGAGGCAGACATAGGCAAGGTAAGAGAATTTAACGAAGCCCCCAGTGACGTATTGGCGGCAACAGGGGTGCCGATAGCAGGCATCATGTCACTTCCATCGCCAGTGAATTTGTTTTGTTCGCCCGTACGAGCTGCTGCTGCTGCGGCTTGCTGTCGCACGGCGAATTGTCCACTCCATCCACCTCCATATCCAAACTTTCACTACAATAAAAAATATTAAAATGAGGGAATTAAATTAAATTAATTGATTGAAAAAATCTTTAGTAAAATCAAAACGATTAATCAAGATGTCAAGGCGTTAAATACATATTCTAAATACGATCGCAACATTGCATTTCAAACACTTTGTCAATTGATGAATCTCAGTTCTTTTGTATAGCAAATGTACTTCCAAAGAAAAGTTTTTGTTACTCTTTTTGTAAATTTCTAGTTGGAAAAAAAATATATATTATATGTATAATAAAATAATAAAATAATATGATAAAAAAATACATATACACTGTTGTTTGTGAACATTGCAACACAGTTAACATCATTATTTCTTCATAGTGTTGCAATTTTCACAAATAGCAGTATATATTGAAAATATATATATACATATATTATATAAGAGAGAAATATTGAATTACCTATTACTATTAAGCGTAATTTCCCCGGACGTTGGGACCTGTTGCGCCTGATTCTGCGTCTGTTGCTGCTGCTGCTGCCTCGCGAGACTGGCCAATTTACTTTGCGCTATCAGGCCAGGTAGCAAATTGGACGGCGGATGCTTCTGTGGCAGAACTAACGTGGACTGTTGATTATTCACGACGTGGGTGCTGTTTGTCAGGTTGTTTGAGTTGTTTATATGCGGCAGTGGACCGTTCTGGTGGCTATTGCCAAAGTTTGTGACACTACCACCATTACCATTACCACTACTACTGCCGCCGCCACTGCATGTAGTGCTCGCACTGAACACTCTAATGTTCGCACTACCACCGCCACTACCACCACCACCACCACCACCACCACTATTATTACCACTACCACTGCCAACGCCGCAATTGCTGCCATTCCTATTATTTGTTGGACTAGTCAAGGATTTCGATAGAATGGAGGCAGCATTGCTGTTGTTGGGCAATTGTCTGTGTTGTTGCTTGTTGGGCTGATGATGATTCGACTGTGTGTCGATTGTAGCACCTATGCCAACATTGGTGCACTGCGTGGACACTGTACTCGATGTTACAGCGGCTTGATTAGTCGTACACGTGACAATAACGGAGGACAACGGAGGAATCGACGAAGAAGAACTCGTACAAGTATTTACAACACTAGAACCACCACTGAAACTGCCACCACTGCACTGAGGAGGCCGAGCCTGCTGCTGCTGCTGCTGCTGCGTCGTCGTCGTCGTCGTCGTCGTCGCGGGCGGCGCAAACAGATTACTCGTGAGCGGTGTCACCACAAAGTGCGAGCTGCCCAGCTCGTCGTCTGTCCGCGAGTCTTTCATGCCACTATTGTCCGACAGACCGCTGGTGCTACCCGTATTATTGAGGTTCGCTACCGCGAATTCAAAGTCCGACACGGCATCAGTCGGGAAGTAATCTGCGATGTTAAATTCTGATGTGAACGGTGACTCGTCACCTGCGCGCTCCGGCTCCACCTCGATGCATATGGACGTCGCCTCGGGCGGGAACGGGTATGGAAGCTTGGATCGAGACACCATTGGCTCTACATCCGAATCCGTGTCGTCGCTACTTTCCTCGTTTGGACTATGCACCGACACAGGCGGAGTCTTTGGTCGAAAATGTAACCTGTGAAACGGATATTTAATACATGATATAATTGTATGAAAGTCTTCTTCTGTAAATTAAATCCATAAATAAATTTTGCGAGTCAAAATGACAAGCGTATAATTATAAACAGATATAATTTGTTAATAAATAATAACAAAATATAACATAGATATACCACTCTTTTTTAACGGTAGTCGTCGCTGTGGCAGTCGCGTTTGAATCCACTAGCTCGCGCTTGGAATCGTGTATCGTAAAGTCTAAAGAAGACCACATGTCGTCCATATCGACAGTACAACGGTCTAGTATTACTCTGAAAATCGTAAATTAGTAATAAACATATGATCGACTAAACACAGTTAAATATTCTCTCTCGTTAAATGTTTGCACATATCGTACCTGCCACCTCGACCAATCCTCCGTCGTGCAAGGCCGATACACCTTGGCACTGGTTTGCTAATGCTGGTCAGTGCAAACCTGTACTTTTTATCAGCCAAACCGCCTTCGCTTTTATCACACCAAGGCCAATTTCCAAAACCACCTGATACAGGCTGCAGAAAGAAAAAAATTCATATTTAAAAACTCTATATGTATTTAAAAAAAACTTAAGCTATTATATTTTTATATATGCGAAGGGCCTAAGTAATTGCATTGAATGAAATGCATACACGGTAAAAAATCGGGATATCTAAAATGCATATCATCGATATGGATTGATCAATTTAAAAAAAAACCAATTTAATAGTTTTGACAATTTTAAGTACATTTTAAAATATCTCTAACAAATATAAAATATTGTATATGATAAAACAACCAATGCATTAATCAAACATTTGACTAATTAATTACTCTGAATTTATTTCAAGAATATTAAGATAAAATATTAAACATTTTAATATTATCTAACATTTTGCCAATATTCTTTGCATTTTTTGAGTAATTAACATTAAAGTAGAACGTTTTGATATTAGGATAGCAACAAGGGGGAATATGCTAATTAAAAATCAAACATGGTAAACGGTGCAAATTACTCTTTTTTGTTTTTTAAATACTATTTTTATGTTTTAATATTTATCGTGTCCATTTCAATCTCATTTCGGACTATTATCAGCAAATAAAAATAAACTGAATCGTGCATGTGTTTATATGTAAGCCTCAGTAACTCTCACAATGGAAAAGCATAATAAACCTCTTTTCAGTTCCAACTGTTAAAGAAAAAATTACATGGGACTGGTTGATTGAAAACATTATAAAATATTCAAATCTTTAACAGTTTGACGCATAAACTCATCGACCGAACAAAGCACTGCGAGTTAGAAGAATCAGAACACAACGGAATAGACACATGCACAATTCAATCTATTTTGCTGATAATTGTTCGAAATTGGGACCAAATGCAATAAATATTTAACATAAAATATTTATATAAAACAATAAATATTTAACAAAGAATAATTTGCGCATTGTTTATCGCGCTTGTCTCTTAATTTACGCCATATTCTTTTATTGAATAAATTAATGTTACATCATGGTAACCAAAATATATTAAAAATTGATGTTTTAAGAAAAGAGCAAATAAAATGACTTACCGGTAAATAAGTGCAATTCCTATTTCGACGAAACGTGAATTGACCTTCATCTACGGTGTCTTCGTCGTCGCGGTCGGAGGATAACGAGGGTTGGGAGTGTGAATGAGATGGAAGCGGACTATCTTCATCCGAGCTGATGAGCGGGTCCAGCCCGCCTCCGAGAACTGGACGATTTCCTCGACCGCCACCGCTACCCGTACCGCTACGAACACTGGTTTCCTCCAAATTTCCTGTCCTATTGTCTGTTTTATGTTTCCGTTTCTTATATTGCCGCTTTTCTTTCCTGGGTACTGCCTCGTCCTAAATTAAAAGTAAAGCAGCGTTAAACCATTATATGCAGCAAAGATAATATAGTAGATAAAGAAAATGATCCACATTATGAACTCCTCTCATTTATTTCTAGATGTACCTCCAAAGATAAGAGCACAGATAAATGTACTCAAGAGCACATTTATCAAGTGTTGTAAACGTGATTCAAAATAATTTTTTTAGAGGATTTTTTCTAGATACATCGCTAAAGATGCGCTCATAATACTGCCACATTTATCGTGGCACATTTAGAGATAAATGTATGCTCCTAATATGAGCTTCTAACTTTAGAGGTACATCTAGAGATAGATGTGAGCTCATAATACAGGCAAATGGCTCTTTTTTAATGCTCATACATACTTTACTACAGACTTTGTTTGTCCAATTTTGATGAACACCAAACTGATTAGTAAAGAGTGGAGCAAACGCTGGTCTCGGTGCCTTTAATGCGGACACTTCTGCTAATATTTGTCCATTGAAATCTTGTGCTTGATACCTGTGAAATTAGAAAGGCGTAGTTTTCATTCAACACTTGTATACAATACACATAGCAACGTGTATATCATAATTTTACACTAACCGTTTCTCGTAAATCTCAATTGTAAGATGCAAATGTTCTCGTTTCGTCTTTTCTCTGCGTTTCACCATCTCCAAAAGCGTGACGGCCCTACTAAGATCCCTACGGAGTTTTAACATTTTCTCATAGCTTGTCTCATCGTTCTTCCGATTCTTGCGAGTTTGCATTTTTTCCGTACGTCGTCTAAACGCGAGATATGGATTGTTGGCAGCCGAACCGAATCGATTCTCCGTTTTAACTGTTAATAACAGTGGATGTTGCTGTAAGAAAAAAAATTGATAATTAACATCAAACAATATTTGAGACATTAATTTAGAAATACTATAAAATTGATTAATTTCGTAAAGAGAAGCAAAAAACAAACTAATAGAATATAATGTATACATATTTCTACATTTCTGATAAATAATATAAGCATATGCATATAAAACCAAGTAACATAACCTCAAAATCACAAATGTGATGCTTACAGTTTTAAGACGTTTATTGAGCCAATAATCGAAAACCGCGATAATTAAATCATCATCCTCTTTTAAAAGTGCCTTGGCTTCACTGAGGGTAACTACAGTTTGTCCTGAACTCTTTTCCAAACGATCCATCATCTCTTCAAATTGGAGAGGAGTCAAATCCATCTTGCGACTTTGTACCGCAACCCATTTTTCATCTTCCGAATCCATATCATAATCAGGTATATCTTGTTCCATTGCAAAGGCTATTAACAAAACAGAAGAAAATTAATTAATTATTTGTCACAAATATTTGGTAAAATTGCATTGTAAAATGGTATCTTAATGTGGCCTCTTACGTTGCATGTGTATTAATTGGCGAGGCAGCTTATAATCAGCAGGATATATCTTGTCATAAGCTTCCACATCTGCCAGATCGGTTACTTCAGGAGTAGGAATAATTAGACCTGTGCATATTGCTCTTTGAAGATGATGTTCCTGTAAAACAAATAGATTCACTTAATTAAAATTACAGTGAAGCATTTGTGAATCACAATTATTAAATGTAAACAAGATTGTCAAAGTGGAGTATATTTACAAAGTGTTTTAAAAATTAATCAATAAATTTAAATTTCTTAGCATATTACACACCTATCATTTTGGAAAATTTATTTCAGTTGATATGAATCTGATATTTTTCATCAATATGCTATAATTGTACATACATTATCATCAAGAAGAATAGTAATCATTTGAACGATAATGTCATATGCTTTCGATATATTTTAAAATTGAAAATTATAATATATAATATATATTATATAATATAAATCAATCATTGATACATTGTTATTGCGACCTAAAGATTCAACGATCATGAATATCTATATATGTTTTGATGTTACAAATGCAAATGTCTTATGACTCGCTGCAAACAGTATTTACGCAACGCATATAACAAAGTCAAGAAAATTGGAGTCAACTTTAAAGTATCTTTGCAAAAAAACAGATTCTAGAGTACTACTGCATGCAAGTTGGAGACTCTTGTACATGAGAGGCATCGCAAGAGCATTATCAAAACGTCAAACAGAGAAACCTTTGACATTTTGACGCAGGCAAGCAGTGACACGATAGTGCAGGGTAAGAATGAGATTGCTGGTGAACCAAACGTTGACAGCTGTCATGAGAAGTCGGACGGGAAACGGAAATACGTAGGAAGGACGAACAGGAATCGCCCGTGGCTCTGCTATTGTGTTAAACGAGGGTGAAAATGAATTTGCGAATGTTATTTATGAATTGTCCAGGGTGGCCCTCGCCATCTGCCGGTTGTTTACGAAATCGGGCGACCGTGGGTAAGATGGCGGACGAGGAAAACATGCTGGAACTCGGAAACTGGACGGTTCCGACTTACGCATTCCTCCTCCTTTTCCATGCCGCTGGGCATTTGGGGCACCGCGCGGTTAATGGCCGAATAATCTGGCAGATCCGGCAGCTCCTCGGCCATGTAGATCGGCATGGGCTTGGAGGCGTCCAGGGCGCGCGCCCTGAACGACAGCTTGCTCATCGCTGAGGGCGGCTGGCGCTCTCGCGCGTGTTGACAACCAAGGATGGCTGGTCGCGAACCGTGGTGAGGCCAGTCGGGTCGGCTGAGGGGGGACGACTCGCGCGGAACGCCGTGGAACCTCTTGGCCTATTCAGGCCTGGCTGGGGGAGGCCCCTGGGGGCCGAATTACCCGGCACGGAGAGCGCTCAGGGCCTCATCGTTCCCCGGCCATCGCGCTCGAACACGGTCACTCAGTCACCAAACGAGATATATCACTTCGAAAACATGTTTGCGTGACACGGTCCCTGCTCAAAGCCATCATGGCCGACGCACAGCCATTTAACACGTTCGGCCGCCGCCGTGCAGTTCGGCGAGCCGACGTGAGTCGCGCGGGAATCGGCGCGGCGAGGCGGCGGCGGCGGCGGCGGCGTCGTCGTCGTCGTCGTCGGCGGCGCGGCGCCCAAGAGCGAAGCCCGCGCAAGCCTATTGGTGCCTTGCCTTGCCGCGGTGCCTTGCGCCTCGACTCGATCGGGCCGATTTATTTCTCGCCCACCGAGACGTGTCTTTGCTTTTTGGACAAATGCAGCCCGGTTCTCACCGGAAGCCTTCGCATTTACCAGACGTCATTTCCCTTGGAAAACCAACTTTCAACTTTGAATTTTTATCGTACTTGTTCCTCTTCTATCTCTCTCTCGTATTCGCACGCTTATTTTATTTGTCCGGGAATCTTCGATTTCTAATCCTGAAACATGCAAGTGTCACTTACATAAATTTATACATAATATTATAATATAATTTATTAGAAATTTATTTATTTATTTTAAATATATAATTTCTTTGTAAACAAAATTCTTTCGGGCTGCGATGACGTATTAAATTTCGATTACCGCGAAAAATAACATTTCTATTATTACGTGCGGAATAAATACTAAGGGAAAAAATTGACGTTACATAAATAGAAAGTTGCTTCGCCTCGGCTGCACTTTCTGAAATTTGAAGAGAATTAGATATATTCTTTGGACGTTGGAGGGAGAAAGAGAGCGAGATCGCGGTGCAGGCAGGTGTAGAAAGTGCGCGTTCCAAGTGTTACCCACGTGTATCTCGGCCCGAAATGAGCGAAGCCACGCGTTATATCAGTCTCACTGATATGACGGGAAAAAATCGAGGAGGATGAAAATTTATGAAACGATGAAAAATACGCGCTAGTGAGTCACCCGCTTGACTCGCGTAGCCTCGAATAATTCGCATGGCGGATTAAAAACAGGCGTGTTAACATGACGCAGATCATCGCGGTGTTGTCCGCGATTCCTAGGTTATCTCACCATCTGCGACTGCGACTGCCGAGCCTGTGCTTCAACGACGTTTCGCCAGGTATTTCATATTTCCGCCCCGTATCACGACGCATCGATCGCGCGCCCGAAATACGTTCCCGAATCACCCGAACTCACCTAATTTTCCCCTCGTACCCCCTCACGACGAGCACGTGTCGTTTCCCGCTGCCATTACGCTCCTCTCCCACCACTTCCGTATGGGCGCGTGCACGTAAAAAAAGAAAGAACGCGCCTAGGGCGGGAATTTTGACACTTTCAAATTTTGGCGCGAAAATAAAAATTTCATAAAAAATATAATTGCTACAAAAAGCTTACATTTTAAACTCATTTTACTTATATATATATATATATATACACGTTTCTTAAAATTTATATATACATATATATCGCATATAATCATATCATATATATATATATATATATAATATTTTAAGGGATATACTTAAATATATCTTTTATTACAGGGCAAGCAGATACCTTGTCCAAGCTTAACGCAGCAGAAATATTAGTGGCTGATTGTGATTTATTGGTACCTTACGCAAACAAATTAACATCGGTCAAATGGATACAAGCGACATGGGCTGGCTTGGAAAAATTTACTTCACATGTACAGAACACAGAAAGAAATTATGTACTCACTCGTTTCTCTGGTGAATTATTTGGGCTAGCCATGTCTGAATACGTAATCGCGCAGATTGTCAACTTTGAGCGTGATCAAAGACAACAATATGAGAATCAGAAGCTTGCTGTGTGGAAACAAGAAGGCAAATTGATAAATCATAGGCACATACGTGATTTGACCATAGGAATCTTAGGACTAGGAACAATAGGAAAGTGCGGTAAGTTATAAATCATTATCAAAATTTAAATGTAACGTAGAAACAAAGTCTGTAAAAGTTCATTTCTTATTGTTTTTTCCACAGTGGCACAAAAATTAAAGTTGTTTGGCGCGACTATCTGGGGAATGACAAGCAGTACTCCAAAGGAAAAATTATCATATCTTGATGAACATAGAACTGTAGATGGCTTGCAAGATATTTTAGAGAATTGCGATTATATCATTAATATATTGCCGTCCACTCCAAATACAAATGGGCTTTTAAATGGAACTGTTTTGCAGCATTGCAAAGCCAAGAATACTGTTTTTATTAACATAGGACGTGGTTCTGTTATTAAAGAAACCGATCTGATAAATGCTCTGGAACAAAAGTGGATTTTGGCTGCTATTTTAGATGTATTTGAGAAAGAACCATTATCAAAGGAAAATAAACTATGGAATTTTCCACAAGTAACTATTATTTTTGCTTTGTTATCAAATAAAAAGGTTCTATTTAAGTTTTATTAATAAATATTAATTTGTGTTTAGGTGACTATCTCGCCACACAATTCTGGTGTGACAGTTTTGCAAGATGTTGTAGAACAATTTGCTGTGAATTATGCCAAGTACACGAAGAAAGAAAGTATGATAAATGTGTTTGACTTTAATAAAGGCTATTAATTTTGTAATATATTTATATATTATTACAATAATATATTAAAATAATAAATTAAATATATTATTAAAATAATATAAGCATCATAGAATAGAAACATTTATTACGACTAAAAATATTTGTAAATTTAAATAAAAATAAAGTATAAAGCATTTCAAACTTGTATATCATTTCTGAAATGCCAAAATTTAAGTTACATAATTTAATTGTAGTTAATAATTAATAATTTCAGTTTAAATATTAAAATTTTTAAACTCAAATTACACTTACATATTTATTTCCAAAATTTTTTTGTTTACATTACGGTAAATATTTAACACATATGTAATGTTATACTTTTTTAAATATAAAGTTTTTGGAAAATTTAAAATTAATTTAAAATTAATTTAAAATATTTTAAAATACCATATAATAAAAATATAATAGATTATATTGTTATAATTTTTGTGAAAATTATAACAATATAATCTATTATATTTTTATTATATGGTATTTTAAAATATTTTATAAATTAATTTTAAATTTTCCAAAAACTTTATATTTAAAAAAGTATAACATTACATATGTGTTAAATATTTACCGTAATGTAAAACAAAAAAATTTTGGAAATTATATGTATATTATATAATTCATCCAAGCAATACAAAAATACAATGATAACTTATTAAATATTACGAGACCATGTGAAACAAGCTATAAAAAAATTATTATAAAACTTGGAAAAATTTTAATTTAAAAAACCAATTACAAACGTTTCGAAATATACTTAGTTTTCTTCACTGCGCAATAAACATAATAATAAATAAATAAATATAAATAAAATACAAAAATATATTAAATTTAAAAAAATAGTTTTACTTAAATATAAAAAGTCAAAAAAAACTTTGCACTTATATTAAAATTTTAAATATATATCAGCAACTTGACAAATTTTGATAGAATCTAAAGTAAAGATATTTAATAACCAAATAAATAAACTTTGCCGTATATCATATGGACTCGTCATATTTTCGCACGACTCATTGTACTTATTATATTCATTGTACTCTTTACGCATGTGGAGGTATATTAAAGATTGCGGAAAGTTATAAAAAAGATTTATACAGTAGGTGCTTCTTCGGTAGGCCGAGGAGATGGTTTTAAACCGCGAATACATAAATCGTATACTACTTCTTCGATCTTTTTTACGTCATATTTAAGGGCGTCAAAACGTTTTCTCAACATATCGTTCTTTAAGTTCAATAATCGAAAACCAGCATTTAATTCATTGACAAACCTTGCAATTTCTATTGGCCGATCGTAATCACCATTGGTGACACTGTTTACGGCGAAACGGCTCTAAAAAGAGAATGCGCCATTACAAAATTATGAGAAAACCTGAAGAAAATAATCTAGAAAATATGAGAAAAATACAGAAAATACATACCAATTCGGCAGACAATTGAAGTAGGCCCAATAAAAAATCTTCCAGATCTAGATGAAAACCTTCCTCTCTCTTATCCTTTACTGTAAACATTATGAGAATTATTTTTAAGTATCATAAATTACGTCATACATGTAAAACTAAATATCATTTTGCTCTCATACCTCCTAATATTTCTGCGACAGTGGCTTTGGTGACTAAAACTTTAACTTCTAAATATATAACTAGAGCAACTAGAAAGCATAGCCTCTGAGTAACAAAACGCCATTGATCGTGATAGCGATAATACTGATTACTCGGTACTACTTTAGCCAGATTTGCATATTGTATCCTCACTTCTCCAAATATTTCTCTTGCCTTTGTACAATATTCTGCTACAACTGCAAATTAAGATAAATATTATTTAATTCACAATAGTTGTTACATATAAACCTGCAAGAAAAGTTAAGAAGAAATACCACTATACATATTCAACATACCTATATTCTCATCTACCGTATCGTGCACCGTGTTGTGAATATTTTGTAATATCATCAAAATATCTCTGGCACTCTTCTCAATATCCTTGACAATAACGCGGATTTGCTGCAATAAGAAATAGTTCATCTGAATTTTTGTATTTTCTCTGTGCTTCAATTGAGTTTAAGTTTCTAACAAATCAATATTAAGAAAAACAGTGATAAATTTTGCATCTCTTTTCAAAGAGATTTTTAAAATTTTGCAAAATATGAAGAACATGCAATTCTGAAATTATTGTCAGAAGGGTCAATGACATTTTCTGAATGTAAACACAGAGTAATCGGCAAACTCGCGCAAGAAGAATCACAGACGAGATTTTTCGTACAAAGAACAGAACATTATAAATGCACGGCTTTATTCGCGCTCGCATAATATTTCTACAAATTTTTTTTTTAGAAATTAAAACTGCAAGTTGCAAAGTTGAACAACACAAACGATCCGACTTTAACATAACCTATCAAGAGTCACGATCGTTCTCGAGAAAGAATAAATGTTAATACACGTTACCTCGCGTATTTCTTGTTCATTGTTCAGATAATCTTGAAAAGAATTAAAGATGTCCGTTATTCTCGTAGACATTGCCTCCTTTTTATTTCTGTTTCACGAGGAACAATCTGTTATCGCGTGATATTCCGTGTAAATCACGCAATTGATTCTGTCGGTAAAGTCAATACCATTCTGACAGGTCGAGCGCGAAATGACGTAGTAGTTTGCCAAATGTGTCACAGATGGCAGCACCATGTAGTTTCCGAGCCTAAAATAGAAATATTAAATAAAAAAATTTAGTAATACATAATAATACTAAGAAAAATGAATCAATTTTAACAAATCATTATTCAAGCATAAAATATGGAATAAATAATTTTATATATCTAATCGCATATAAAAAAAATCTTCTAAATTATCAGATTGATAAGTTCTGTGTAATATAATTTTTGATAGTTTATTGCGTGCACGCACATCGTTTTTTCATAAATCTATAAAGACAACTTTTCATAAATTTATAAAGATAACTTATGGGATATATATATATATATATATATATATAAAATATATATATAAATCTATAAGTTATCTTTATAAATATATTTATTTTTTTGAAAATCTATATATATATATATATATATATATATATATATATATTATAATTTTTATATTCAAGTGTGTTATTATATTTCGCGCTTATATATATATATATATATATATATATATATATACTTTCTATCCAATTATATTTTGATAGATATAATAAATAATTAAATTAAAAATCTTTTATTTCATTTACGAAAGGGAGCGCATCTTTTGATACTTATTATATAGAAGATGCGACATAATATATAGCAAATTTGAGTTCGCGTGAGAGACGCGCTCGTTTGCAAGATCTCGCGATTCTCTCTCTCTCTCTCTTTCTCTTTTTCTCTCTCAAGGTGTATAAATAGAAACCAGTAGGTCCTGCTGTGCGTGCGCGAAGAAGTCGAAGGAAGGAAGACTGCGGCGACGACATAGCGGCGGCTTGGAATTCTGCATACACACGCCGCAGCTTCACGCACAGGTCCGGAGGATATGCATCCCCCTATAAAGAGGGAGAGAATCCGCGGGCGTGTCATTGATCCCGATACACCGCGGTCAAACAACATCCAAGCGAAGGGGGACTCGTTTTATGGAAAAATCTCCGCGCCCACGTTCACCAACGTTCACCAACGTGCGTTCGCGCTCGACTAGCGTGACGCGAATTCACCCATGAATTCGCCGATCGATCGATACCGATGTAGGAAGTATGAGAAACGAGCGATGTTTCTATCCACGAGGAAAGAGATAAAGAGAGAGAAAATTCTAATTTTTTCTTCATCGGAAATCGATATAAAAATGAATGCAACATCCTCTTAACAAACGCTAATTAATCGCATATCCTTTCCGTTGATGTTACAACTAATAACAGAGTTCAACTTTGGAACTTCGCGTTTAATGGGAATTGTTTTTGCGAAATTATCGCGTGATGATGCACTCTCTCATTACGCACTCGGGGACTTCGTCGCTTTGTAACCACCCGACGACGAGGACAGAAACGACGAAGAGACACTCGGCCTTGCGACGGCCTTGTACGCGGATCTTTTTCCTGCCATACTTCATTTTCGATAACTTCGATGCGCAAATCTTCGCTCGTTTTTTACATCACGCATATACATAGATATAGATACACATATAGTTCTGTGTCAATAAAAATCGGCACCGCTCGTCCAGCGGTGAAAAAGTTTACGCAGCGCGATATAATGATGCCGATAACATTCGTGAAAGCTTGCGGTATCTTTTCTCGTTATGTAAAGCGGTCAACAGCCCGCATACATGTATATGTATGTATGTATATATGTGTACGCAAACGAAGCTCGTCATGAAGTCGGAGGAGGAGAAGAAGACGAAGAAGAAGAAGGCGGTGTAGGGCCTCAGCGGGGCCCCGTTAAGCTTCGCATTCCTCCTCCTTGGGAGACGTCAATCTCAATAAAATCCTGCTAAGACGGGTTATCGTAAATTTTTGGCGCAAACCTCGGGAATATGTTCTCTCGCTGCTTGGTAATCGCCTGATGGTGTGCGTGAGCTATTTTTAGCGGCGTCGATCTTATCTCAGCGAGAAAATAACGCGGCCGTACATATACGTGGGGCCCCACCGACGACGCCGACGTAAAGGGACCCTCTCGTCCTCTGCGGCCCCGAGGCGTTCCCGCAGTTAACAACGACTCCAGCGATTCGCATGGGCAACACCTCGCGTGCAACAATCGCGAAATTGCGATTCCCTGGAAAAGAGAAAATCCCACTTGTAATAAAGTAACAATTCCGAGGGAACGAATTCGATGGATTGCGTTAAAAAATAATTACATTTGTCACGTCATTTTTTTTTCACGTTTTCTAACACAACTCTATAATATTATGTAATTTAAAGATTTGCGCTTGTCCCCTATTTTTCCATTTTTAAAACAAAATCTAATAATCCCAGCAAACACAGTATATATAAATGTTATATACTTAAGCATGTTACATGTAACGTATATGTTAGTTGTAATTTCCCACTCATAGATGTAACATTTTTAATATTACATATATTACATTGTAGTTATATTGTCATTATATCCCAAGATAGCCCTGATTTATCAATACATCAATGTGCTATTTGGTATATAATTACAATATAACTACAATGTAATATATGTTATATTAAAATGTTACATCTATGAGTGGGAAATTACAACTAACATGGATGTTACATGTAACGTACACGTTATATTACCTGTTATATTCCGTTTTATTATAGCAATGTATTATAGCAATTATATATCGGTGTTTGCTGGGATATAGTTAAGTAAAGATCAAATTATTTATTAATAAATAATTTCAAGTAATTATTGCGAAAAGAATGTAAAAGAATTGTAGAATGAAACAAACATTTTAGATGACCAGGATTGAAATTTCTCGCGTGCCAAGCGATCTATAAATAAAACCGATATTTTGTAATCACTTTCGCCGCATATGCTTTCGAATCCTGGACAACAAACAGGCGAAATGCGTACATCGAGATAGTCCGCGACGCGATGGCGGAAGCGTTTTACAATTCAATGTTTGCGCTTTAAACAGGTTTGCACAAATTAACATAAGCTCAGCGCGTGCAATGCATCATATGTATATACTCGCATAAATATGGAAACGATACATTCAAGCTGATAATTTAAAAAATAGGAGGCGCACAATGTTTTCTTCGAGGATTCATTGCCAGTCGAGGAACGCACATCAGATTTCATTGTTATCATGCAAGCGTTATATATAGTTATTTGGCTTATCATTTAGTTTTATCTGATTTAAATTGAAGATAGTCATAATATAATGTTTAATTTTTTCTACATAATTATAAAGATTTATTAATCGTATGCACATTTAAACATACGTGTCTTGCACGCACGTTTACTTATATAATTATATATTCTCAAAGAATATAAATTGGGAAACAATAGAGGGGTTGGAAATTTACGTATCTGGCGATGTAATCTGATGAAATCTCAAAACCACGCATTTCGCCTGCTAAGGTGATTCACATCCGTGGATGTGAACGGTGCTTAACTTGAACGAGTATATGCGTAACACATGCAAAATGCAGCGGCGTAAATGTCAGGGTCATCAGTATACACGTAGCAGACTCGAGTAAATACCAATTAAATGCCAATGGCTCCTCATTTATACTTGTAGAAATATATATTAATCTTTTTCCTCTCTTTTTCGGAATTGAAAATCGAGAAATGTAACGAGGAATATCGAATTTTCATTATTTTACAACAATATTTGCATCTACACTTTTTACAAACATATTTTCGTTCGTTTCTTTTTATTTTTTGAAGTTCTTTTTCCTGCTATTTGTTTTCTACCGTCTCTTGAGATGCAATGCGAGAAAATATGTAAATCTTTTTGTTTTTTTTATCTAAATATAAAAATAGAGTCACGTAACCGGAGTAACCTGATGGCGAAGAACCTGTGCGAGAGGCAAAAGATGCTTCGATATTAACCGCGCGTCTTTTAATCTCGCCTTGAATACGCTTGTTTCGATCTTATTCGAATACCACGTGTGTTCTCATATCGAGGAAGGGGACTCGAGAATGAGATTCACGGGATGCGACTTATCTATCGTGAAAAACTAAACCGGAGATAAACGAGAGGCGAGCCTTTACATCGTTAACGCGTCTATTAATTTTCCTTCACCGGAAAACGTATATCATGAAAACGCCGATAGATCTTGTCTGGTAGCTCGCAGACGCAGCTTGTAGCTGATACACGGCGTTTTTAAATTACTGATGCGTTTAATCAAAAAAAGAAATAGAAAAAAGTATACTAAAAAAATTATTAACTTGACTAAATCATTCTACTAAATATTAATTTGTTAATTAAACATAAAAATATTAAAATTAAATATAGCATTTCAAGTAGCAAAGTCATTAAACGTCAAAATGACGTACGCTTGCTACCTAGAATATTAAATTAACAAAACGTATGAATATGACTTAAATACTACTAATATATGTTTAATTAGTAAAATAATAATTTATAGTTAAACGATTTTAAAATAGTAATTTATAGTTGAACGATAGTCAAATTAACAATTTTTTTCCAGTGTACGGTTTAACTAACGGGGTATCCATCATATTCGCACAAATTTGCTCGCCAATTTGCCCACGCCTAGATTCGCGTCATTTTAATCAAGATTTAATCTTGCTCAACTTGCATCTCTTAAGGAAACAATGTAGATCGAGACGAAATGGTAATTGTTCGTCCCGGTACGGTGCGCGTCTGCGGCTCTGGAAGCCACCAGCGAAAGGTTCTTTCTCTCTCGTAGAGAGAACCGCTTGTAATTAAAATCGTAGACAGCTGAGAATGAAGGTATACTCATCCTAAGACTGAATCCACACCGGAAACCGCAAGCGTTACTCATTTACATGCAAATACATTTACAAATTATGATCTCATTTGCTTGCAACTGTAACAATTATAGACTTTAAACTCGACGATTTGTTTGTTGAATAAATTATAAGTCTAATTGTATTTTTTAAATATAATCCCACATAATAATTATATGTATATTATATAATTTTAATATTCTATAATTATATACTCAACAATGTAAGAACATGTAACATTACTATTGATATTAAATATATATCATTATAAATAAAAATAAGTTATAAAAGTTTAATTTGTAGACTCGTTATAATGAGATTCCGCTCGTTTCTCTCTCGCCGGTATGGATTCTGTATAAGAGATCGAAATAGAAGGAAGATAGAGGAGGATGGAACGCGTTCGTTCCGTAACTAAACTCGCAGTCCTGTATTGGTGGCGCCGTGTTGAAGAAACGCCCTCAGGCACTATGTCTTTTTTTACGTCACGACTGGAGAATTTCCTCTACCCGCCGATTGTGAATCGTTGCCGACACGATGTCGGACCGTTAAGGGCCGCGAGCGCGATTCGCGCGAGGAATTCGCGAGGATGATCGAACAAATCGACTCCGAAATCGCCCGCTCATTATTGCGTTCTCCTTAATTACGTATTTACAGAAAGTAAATAATGGTAATTAATATCAACGATTAAGATCAATTAGAAGATTCAGATTTCCATAACTTTGCAAGATGCGAATGTTTGTCCAAGTTAAATATTTTGCAAATCGTCCTCCCTCTCCTTCTATCTCTTCAAAGAAGAAAAAAAAACATAATTGAGGATCAAATATATCTTTCTCGCGTTGTATGCAACGTAACGCACGTGCGTCTCGATTGACGTTAAAGTCCACATCGCATAGTTACATAAAAATCTAAGTATAGCGTACATACGTGCAGGCTATATAATTATGAATTTTATGCATTCCATTACGCGAGATTATACGTCGATGCACGACTTGACAGCGAGATGAATGTGTGTGTATATATAAAATATATATATACATATATATTTGCCAGACCCCGCAGTTTTCTCGTGCAGTCGTGCACCAGCTGAATTCGACGCGAATGCAAAACGCACTACGAGATACGAATCTCAGAGAACGAATGATAAAAACTTGTTGATGCATTATGGATGTTGCACGCTAGATTGCCTTGCGCGAAAACCAAGCTGACCTTACAATCGGTGGATACACGTACTTGGTTAAATAGCGAGAGGAATAAATCTTATTGAAAAATAATTCTCTCGGAATGAAGAACTGCTACTATCGCGAATATTTTCCGCGTCTGCGGAAATGTTTTCCTTTTCTTTTAAATCACCTTTCAATTAGATAAATCGGTCATTTTTATGTCACGATCGAAAAGATCGGCATATCTTCAACATGGCATGTATATTCATAACGCTTTTCAAGCTATCCGCCGCTTCTTAAGAGTATATACTACGGCAAAGGAACGCTGAACTTTGCTCTTTACCGTACGAACCGTACGCTGTCGCTGTCGAGACGACGTTATTACGATCATTACTACTTGTCATTTTCCCTCTCGCAACGCGTAGTAAGTACGAGGTCGCGTTGAATTCAAAGTTAATTCCGAGCGAGAGACCTCCGCGGCTCTCGTCGCATTTACATATACATATATGTAAAAACGTTCTCGCGAGATGATATCGGTTATCAACCTCTGGATTAGATTATTAATCGCGCAAGAATGCGTGATATCGAGCGAGACACGCAAGGAGAGACGAACGAGAGACGGTTTTTTTCGCTCATCGGAGGCCGCTTTCGCTGGGATTTCGTCTCCGGCGCGAAACCAGCCGATGTCGACTCCGCCAACAGGTCCAGGGAGGAGAGAACCGACTCGCCGGACTAGTTAATAAATTATCGTAGTATCCGCCATCTTCATCCGAGGATACTCGCGCGGTATAGCCCCGGCGAAATAAAAGCTCTCGCGGAAAGTATAAGAAAAAAGAAGAGATACATATCTTCTCGGGATGTTTTTCTCTCGACTCGCGCGGGGATTTTAACGAATCCCCGAACGCGGGGAGTTGCATCGTTGCGGATTGGTCTGTCCGTTAATGGAGTCGTTACGTATTGCCGTAGCCTGCCGGACTCTGTCGTATTCTAAGCCGTAATGGCCGACGATAAAATCTGCCTATATATTCCTGCGCTGCTCGACCGACGTTAATTAACGCCGCCTCTCTCGCGTCCTGTCGATCCAGGAACGACGTTTCGCACAGACGAAATCGACCGATTCTCGGAAGATGCGGTGCACCTACGAAAGAAAGAGCAAGTGACCTTGGCGCTTCGATTCATTTCCGATCAGTGGCTGATCGGATGACGGGATTCAGCGGATCCAGAAGGCGTTTTTATAAATAATATAAAAATATAAATAAGAGTACTCACACACATTACAGTATTTTCTCAGTCGCCGAGTATGAAGACGTGGGTGTGCTCCGATTCGCAAAAAGGCGACGAACGGAATTCGAGAAGGCGCCGAAAACACATGCCGTACCTGCGTACTTCCTCCTACGGAAGGTCGCGTTTATTTGCGCGGGACTGCTTTAACCATAAATGGGACGCAGCCTCCGGGCAGTAGCTTTTTACGATCATCGATCGCAAATCATCATCGCTATTGAATTTATTATCGGTACCTGTAAACAATATACTATATTAAGGACTGATTTTTCCAACTTCTTGCTAAGTTTTATCCGACAGGTAGCATAGTTTCGTCTCTTTTTAGATAAGTTCTAAAAAAAAGAGACGAAGATATGCTATACCTGTCGGGTAAAACTTAGCAAGAAGTTGGAACAACTGGCCCTAAACAACTTTAACAATCGGTATATATTTGATATTTATAAAAGATATAATTAATATTCATTTAAGTAATATATCGTATATCCCATTTAAAGCTACCGCAACTAATGACTGCACATACTCTATTACGGGAAACAATGCTCGAGAAGCGAGTCCCATAAATTCCTGAACTCCGTAAAATTCGTTCTTTAAATGCGCGTTCAAAGTCATTACCTACGTGTATAAATTATCTGGCGCTCGAACGCGCTATATTTCCAAATTACGATGCCCGTAATTTACGGAGGTTCCGGCGCTAATATAAACGCGCGCGTATACGATCTCGCCTAAGGTTGAACCTTACAAATTACGGACTTACCGCGCTTTGCGTGAATGGCGCAAGCATGTGCATTAAACTATATACCGTGTGGTATTTCGGCCAGGAGAGGCGCGTTCTTTCGTGTTAGTTCGTGCGACCTTCATCAGACCTCGTCGATGAGAGATATGCCACGCGAGTGAGAACGCGGCGTAGCTCTACAGGGTGGCAAATAAAAAAAGTCGCGTTAATTATCTCGCGAGGTAAAAATCAAAGTCACGTAAAGGAGAAGCAGAAACGCTCGAGGGAAGAAAATTTCGAGTCACAACACCACGCGGAAAATTGGACTTTTTTTCCTATACCTTACACCTCACTATAAAGAGAATAAAGACTGTATTTTATAAGAATAAAAAAGAACGACGTTTGTAGATAAAATTTATCAAATATAAATCATCGTTACTAATCGAACAGATTGAAAAACCTACTAGTGGTTATCAAATTTCTTATAAAAGATATAACGCATATTAACGGAGCTATCCAATTGATAGTTTCAGTCATTATATCTACACATTTAGCGCATAATAGTGTCAAAATGATTCGCGCTGATAACGAATATATCATTGTCTTTTATTTATCAAAGAGGACAAGAAGAGAGCTTTTCGAAAGCGATCGCCTGGTATATTAAAGTCGTTCGATACTCGCGTTTCTTGCCTCGGCTTCTTGTCTTCTCTCACGACACGTTACAACGGCTCGAACAATTTGTAAGGAAAAAAGAGTTGCGGTTACGCGTCGAGTTATTCCACTTCGTGCCATCTTTCTCGCTATAACATGCCTGTACATGTGTGCGTTTCGATTAATTCCGCGAGAGAAGTCGGCCAAAAGAGCGACCGAAAGCCACACGGAGAGGGTCCGATCTCTCCACGAATCCGTGACGAGACTGAGGGACGAGGTATGTATACATGTGTGCTCGTATACATGTGTAAACGAAAAAAAGAGAAGAGGGAGAAAAAGAGAGGAGACCGGCTCTCTCTTATGAGCCAAGTATACGACTTCCCCTCTCTCGTTCTCTCCTTCTCCCTCCACGCACGAACGGCCGTCGAAAGATGCTGCCCGCCGTTCTCTCACGTGGCTTACGCACATAGATACATACATTATCATCGCGAGCGAGCGAGCGAGCCGCGCACCTTAGCCACCCGCGGTTAGTCCACCGGTTAGCGGTTAGTGGGTGCCAGGCTCGCCGATGGGCTGCGCATACCGTGCGTGTCATCGTCGAGGTATTCCGCTTACATAGTCGCCTAATGTACATACGCCACGTACCTACTACGACCGGAGAACCTCGCGCACGAGGTACACGTGACAATTCAAAAACTGCGCGCGCGCGACATCCGTCACGTTAAAACGCTCCGCAAAGTGTAATCAAGTTGGAGTTAAAGTTGGAGAACTACGCGAAATTAATTAAATATAGGAATCGAGAAGGCAGCGCCGATCAGCGAATTAATCGACGCTGTGAAAAAAAAGAAATCACCGCCTCGAGAGTGAGAAAGAGAGAGAGAAGAGAGGCGGATCGTCGTGACGGATTTCGCAAGGACGTCTGCGGGTCCCAACCACGTCTGCGGTGGGGGATCGATCACGAACAATCGACTGGTAATCGTGCCTCGTCGTCGTTGTGAAGCGATATGGTTTTTCCGAGGCATCGTCGCGCCGTGAGTGTTAATTACGACAGATAGAATCCTCCGCTCGTCGCGATAAATGGCGAAATAGTGACCTGATGTAACGGTTTCTTCATCTCGACATTTTCTTCCTATCCTTTTCGCCGTGGTTCTGTCTTTCCACGATGGATCTTCGGCGAGTGCTTCCGTTTATGTAATCCTGCCTGCTGATGCCGAGGACGAAGCAGAGACATATCGCACGTGCGGGCATCGAAATCTCTGCAAGTCGAGTCTCCGAGAAGACGGATTGAGCACGCGTCCTCATCTTTACATCGCATTGCGTTTCCTACAAAGAGAAAGAGATAGAGAGAGTGTGTTATATTTGTGTGTGTGAGTGTATTTACAAGAGTTGTAGCACGGGACGGACTTTCGTCATCAGGGAATGCCAACGATGACCGTAAACCGCAGTGTCCCGATAACAAAACGGTAAAATCACGTACGAGTACAAAAAACTGAACACGGCCTTAAGAGTGATAATTTTTATATTCCTCGCGTGTTTTTGCACGTTGTTTCTCCATCGATTCTCCATTCACCTTACAATATTGTATCTGTTTTGCGCGAATTTCTATTATTGCTCTCGATTATACACAGTTTATATACATATATTTGGTAAAGAAGTTAAACAGAATAAGAAAGTTTCGGTGCGCGTAACACGATTTCTTTTTTTCCTTCCACTTTCAAGTTATAAATCGGCATTTCGATACAACACACATACCGATTCACAATTGCGGAATCATCGTAGCAGAGAAGAGACCTTGCACGCACTTAACTGAGGATACATCGAACGTTTATATAACGGCAGCATATCGCAGCTTTCAAAAGATTTTCAAGAACACGCGATAAAAGAGACAAATTACAAGAAACGAAGACTGAAGAAAGAATAAAAAATAGACTAATATAGTAAATAGAATAGTTCCGCATCTATCTGAATATATTTCGCGTTCGATTGAATTGAAATTGATGTCTCGCATCTTATTTTTTAGACACTTATTATCGCATAGGAAGATATATCAAGAGACGAAGAGTGAGATTCTTCGCAAAAGAGAGGGAAAGAGAAGATGGAGAGACGAGCGCGCGCCCGCCCGATGATTTGAATACCAAATCACCGCCTCTTGTACAATTCCCTCTTACCTTGTTTCTTCCATTTTTTTTCTTTTCGTATTCCGTCCCGGGTATCTACGACCTTTTCACGTCTACCTGCGTGCTCCGCGTATTTTTAGGCGTGACACGCTTTCATTGTACCGGTCGGCTCTGGACCACCTCCGCAAAAATAACTCCTTACAAAAAGCACGCGATAAAACTGTTAAAGTAAAAAGGCGACGCCTTCTCTATCTCTTTCTCTCCCTCATCCAGCGTATTTTACACATGCTCTTATCAAGTATTTAATAACATTATATATACACGTGGTCTTGCAATAATTATAATAGTGCAAAAAATAGTGCAAAAGATAATGCAAAAGATAAAAAAAAACATCTCACATACACATATAATAATTTTAAGTGTCCCATAGTGATTATCTAGAGTATATCTACTTCTAATATATGACATAAATTTTTTCAATTTTAATTTTATGTATATGTTAAGAATTAAATCTCCAAGTATATCTCGTTATTTAACTGAAATTCTTCGTTATCTTATACTAGTTCATTCTCATCAGTTTGTTATCCTTAATATATGTACATAATTTTAAAATCTGGATGTTAAAAAGATAATGTGTGTGTGTGTGTGTGAGAGAGAGAGAAAGAGAGTACGTCATAAATTTTCATAGGACAGGTTCTTCCTGTAGACCTGCGAATTCTGATTTATTTTGGTATTTTGAAGAATCTCGAACTTCAATCGATGACGCTCAAAATTAAAGTTTTAATATCTAAAATTAACAATAAAAAAGTATTAGGTAATCGTACATATAATCATATAGATTGAGATATGAAACCATATAGATATATACATATAAATACATAAAAAAATCTTGCATTTACCATAAAAACTTGTGCAATTAGCTCTCAATTAAGATTATCGTCGTACTCGAGCAACATTTTAATGAATCCAGATACCACATCAGGGCGACATTGTGGAGGCGAGTGGGAATTACCGTGGGAAGAAAGCTGTAAAAAGGACGGACCAGACGAAGACGACGAAACAAAAAAAAGATCAGATGGAGAACCGAGTAACTTGGTTTAGCCTCTCCTAGGCTTTGTCTGTATGGGAGGACAGAGACATAGCCTAGAATAGGTTAGGTCAGGACTCGTTCGGCATGGATCATCTCTGGGTACATGATCCGCGGCGCCGGCCGCGAGAAGGGGAAAGAACAGGGCACGCCCAAGGTCAAGCTCAAGGTTAACAATCTGTGAGAGCGATCTAAAGGACGTTGCGCGCGCCGCGATACATAATATCTTCGCCAGGAATTTTGATTGCTTTTTTTTATCCTCGGGAAATTCGCGCAAACATGACATAAGAAAAATATATATATATATATATATAGTTATATTACGATTATCGAAAATTTTTACTTATATTTACGAAGCTAATTGTAAGAGTCATAAATATACATACGTCAATACGTGTACAGCTGATAATTGTTACTGTAAAAAATATCCGTTATCTAAAACAAAATAAATATTATTCTACAGATACGAAAGTAGTTTTGTATATATAGAACTTCAAACTATGTATATGCACCGTTAGATGGCGCTCTTTGTTTAGTTCGATTACTTCTTTATCGACAATCGATAAGTCAATTATCTTTATTATTGTAAAATAAAAATCAAATTATTATTATTCGTAATAAATATGAAAATGAAAATATTATGTATAAATAATTAATCGGCGAATTTGTTCGCTAATGAAATAAAATACCGACAATCTGTTTAAAATTTTTCACAATGTTTCTAACAATAATTTTACGATTTCTAACATTTACAAACATTAATTCTTCGATCAAAAAATTATTAACTATACTAAAAATTGTTTAATAATAGCACATGTTGTAAAAAAAGTATATTTCAAAATTTTTGATAAAAAGATTACTCGTCAAACACTGAATGGAGCAGAATATAAAGACGTCTATAGATTCAATAAAATTCTCATTAATTCAATTACGTACATTTCTTAGCTTAATCTTATTTAAATATCGTCACAACTCGCGACTCTTATCGTAAGAAAATTTGACGTCGAGATCAAAATATGTGAATGGATATTCCCTGTTCCTTTAATCGGGAAAATCAAAATTTATTCGCAAATACATAGTATACAGCATTCGCGCCAATTTCTTGAAACGCTTCTATCCTTCTCTCTTATCCGCCGACTCGCATATTTTTACTTCTATTAAAAACCGATTTTGAAGGAGTAAAATGTATAATGTATAAAATGATCGCTATAACGCATATTTATGAACTCGATTCTAACAGCATAGAAATGTATACAGCTCAAAGATATTACATATTGCAAGCATATAAAATGTCATTTTTCATCCGCATGTATAATTGCACTCGTCCAATCTTTTTCTAAATCATATCATGTCTAAAATAAAAACGGAATTATATTTTTTTCAGAAATATGTTATAAAAAATCAGGAGGAGGGTACCTCATGATATTCACATGATTTTCACTTTAGCTAGCTGATGAAATTATTACTTAAAGGATTACGTTTTGTAATCTCGTTTTTGTTCAACCTTCTAGGTACAATGAGCAAAATGATAATACATATCAATACATAACATCTCTTCCGGTCGACAGCGAAGAGATATTGGTTGATATTATTCAATCGGCATGTGAAATTACTCTATCACTATATAAAGACTATATACAAATGTGAATTAATCGAAAGATAAATAGAACAACTTGTATTAAAGATAAACTTTACCTAATCGCTCTGTGATGTAAATAAATGAATTGTTGCTTTTCTCTATTATCGTATAGTATAACATGCTATGCGCAGTTCTTTCGAAATATTCTAAAAATGATGTAGCCTCTCTTAGATTAAATATATATTTTCGAAGAATGGAATAGCCTGTCATTTACGCTGTAAAATTTAATATAATAAACCTCATTCGGATAACAAATTTCTCACAATATTAGCAATCATAATAAGATCTAAAGATCTTTTCAGTGCAACAGGCAAAAAATTAACTTCAATCAATAAAATTGATATAAACTCCTAAATTGCTAATTGCGTTGAGAAATGTTTATTTTCATAATTGCTTTTCACGAAATTAAATTTGCATAAAAGTATATCATTTTCGTGAAATTAAATTTGCATAAAAATATATAATTTCCGTGAAATTAAATTTTACCAAACTATACGTAATTGTGCAACTGTTTAAAGGAGAAAATCCGAGAGAAAAAGTGCAAAATTGATTTTCCTATCCTAACAATATGTAAAGTATTGATATACAAAGTAATATTAATATTAAAATGTCTTTTTTTATACAGTTTTAAGATTCATCGAATAACATAATACAATTATTATATTTGACTCTGATAGTATCGTAATATATGAGACAGTATTGCTGTATAATTTCGTATTTGTCAAAAATAATTATATAAGTCTTTTATATAATTAATTTTGAGATAGATATAAGAATTTCGCAATAACAATTTTCAAAAACCATTATCTTTTATGTATTCTCACGTTTTATCCCTACAATCTCTCACGTAAAAATTTCGTTTTGAAATATAATTTCTTTATCCATATATCACAAAGATTAAAAACGATGACCAGTCAAATGTATTTACGACCAAATATAAATTCTAGAAAAAAACTAAAATAATTTAAAACATTTTCGCGTCGACTATGCAAAAAAAGACCTTAATTTAAAATTAATTAAATATTTTTAACTTTAACAATTAAGAAGCAGTCTCTCTCTGTGACACAATGATATTATCAACTAATTCAGCAAATTCAATTATTTCTCTGAATAGTGCGATTTGCATATATTTATTCTTGAATCACGACGAAATAAATATAAATAATTAATATTTAGTATTATAGTGTTCACTTTCGATTTCACAGTTTGATCAATTGATAATCTCATTGTGTAAAACAAAAATATATACATACACTATATATATTTATCGGCTAACTAAACTAACGTAACTCTCGCTGAAGAAATCTAAGTTCGGGAAATAGTGCCTCGGCAGATTTTTTCTCGCGGTCAGTCTACTTTTTTCGAGAATCATCTCGCATGGCTGCCTTTATCCTACATTTTATTCCATGTCTCCCTCTGTGTTTCTAGTCAATAATTTGACTAAGGCCTACGAATCTAGAGTGCTTGCTCATAAATATGATATGTGTAATCGAGTAAAATGTAATATGTATATGTATATGTATATATATACATATATGTATAGCCTACGTGTAATGATAAATTTGAATATTGTAGCAGGATTAATTATATGGAGTTGAGTATGTGCCGGCATCGGTGTTGTCTCAATGTATTATATTTTAATTCTAAGTTCCAATATGAAAAAAGCTAATAAAAGCTGGTCGTCACATGGTCCCGACGATGAACATACTTAATTTTATGAGTATTTTAAATTGGAAATCTTGCAATCTTGGTATCCCAATATTATGTGTTAAATTAATCGTAATAGCGATACCGACACAACTCACACTCCACGATCAAGTTTACGAAGAATTGTAATTTACCCTAAGCAGAAACGAACGATCTTCGCGTTACAATTATATATCATCGGAAATAAACGAAATCATCCCTAAGATAATCATTGGAATGTGATAATGGCGTGTGTCGGCCAATTCTCTTTCGTTTCTACTTCTCTTCTTATTCAGATTGGACATCCGTAAACCTCGGCTTTGGATATTAATCTTTCTGTATATATAGATCAACAGTCTGATATGAAAAAATTCACTAACCGTGATGGGACGTAAACATTTATCTTATTAAGTCTGCCGACAGTAGCTCTTCTCTGATAAACTCCTCGAAGATTCGACAAAGTTGCATTTTTCGAGTTCCGTTTCGCGACAATTGCTCGTCAGATTTTTTTCTTCATTCTTATTGCCTAGGAATTAGATTATCTTTCAAGGAACTCTTTTTACATTCTTTCAGTTTGCCAGTGCCACTCATTGTCTCTTAGCGACGTTAAAACTTTAGTAAAGAGTTTTTCCAAGTAGATTACAGATATATCTCATATATATACGTCAAGACGTAGATGTAACTCTGCTTTTTGTAGAAAATAAGATTCTACGTTTTAATATATGTGTCACTAGAAAAAATCAGACGCACGCTCTTAATTGATCGTACTGTAAGCTTAAAGACGATTAACGTTGACTAGAGGCGATAATCTCTTGGATTTTCACGCTATAAAGCTGAATCTTCCCTATTCTTTTCCATTCGAAAGTCTTCATCTAGGAATTGAGGTTTTCATACGGCAGCGTTTACATAATAATGTGAATAATGCCTCTCTTCTCTTTCATTCTCATTTCTCGAATTAGCAATATTTTAGCATCTAGTTAATAAATCTATAATGCATGCTAATAAATTGATAAAAAGCGAAAGTATACTGAATATACAATTACTCGGTTATTTACCCTTGTTAGAGAAATGTTTTTCACATGTGTAAAGCGAATTTTTTTCATTTTTTTTTTCGCAAGAACATATAAAATCTGATCTGTGTTGTATGTTATCATCGTAGTCCGTCTATATATGCAGTAAATATTCACGTAGAGTTCTACGTGATCACATCTGAGTGAATCTACTTTTCATAAATTATATCAGAGTATATCAAAAAGTTCCATGTCGTGCATCAATTATTATCGATCAAAAGTAAGAATAGCTATGTATTCTATAACCATTGCGTCTTTGGAATAATAATCGAGATATCAAACAGCACTGCCGATTTCTAATTATTATTTATCGGAATCTAATTGATGTATTTTAATATATATATATTTATATTATATTATATGGATGACTGTACATCCTCTATTAAAATTGACACGTTTCGTGGCATATGCCTTATTAAAATAGTTGCACATATGCGCGTATCCATTGCTCAATACTTGTAGAACAGTTTATCGTCAAAGATAAATATAGTAGAGTCATTACGTTAGTTTCAGAGTGATTATTTTACGCGTGGAAACGTCGTGTCAGCTGATCTTGAATTTCTCATCTTGTTCACGCCAAACATTATCATTCTCGTATAACATTATTTGTTCACATTCCATAAGCAATAGGATACTTTGATCCAACTCCAGATTATTTTGTCCTATGTCAAGCAAGCTAAAATCGTAATGTTCTGTGCGCTTCAAATATGCAAGTGTCTCCAAAGACAACAGTGCTTATCGTCATTATTACTTAGGATATTTCACTTTATACAAAGTCTTGACGTCTAAAAATTTTCTTCTTTTGATCAACAAATTATTGACATGTCTTGAACATCGTTTTTCGTGAATAAATTCTAAGGATAAATAATAAAAGACAACATACGTGTCTCGTTCTCTTCTGTCTCTGATGTATTCGAGATAGTCTTTAAAGGTCCAATTCTTCAATTTGTAAACCGTCATATAAATTTGCTTCATATGCAACGATAAGTTTTCAGTTTGGATATGCATTGTTGACATTCTACTGATGGAATTATAAGAAAACAGTATGAGTGTGAGGCAATTTGAAAGTTGCAGCGCTAGCAATCAGTAACGCCAATGCTGTCAATAATGCAGGTGCAATTAATGACGTATCCACTAATGTCTGATATGTTGTAGTTCCTATCAGACCCGATATTCTTATAGCCGCTGCTATGAGTCCAAAACCAGTGCACCTAGAAAAAAAAAAAGAAAAACACGTAAGATATATTTTCGAAAATGTGTGAATTAAAAGCTTATACTTTAAGACTTTAAAAAAAGCTTATCTTTTAAGACTTTATTTCCTTACCGTAAATGTGTGGGGAAGCTCTCGACTGTCACCAAAGTTAATGATGTCCATGCAACAGCGAACAGTGCTGTAAAGCCACCTTCAAAGCCCAGAACTGCTGAACTGTTTCTGTGAATTAATATCAGACATAACGCAGCAACGGAAGAGAAAAAAAGTGAAAGACCTAAAAAAATATGTTTGTTAGTTAAAGTTATGCTCAAAGTCTATTTATTTTATTACCTTCAATCAGACTATCAACTAACCAATTAATTTTGGCCGCTGAAGAACGGTAAGCGCCAAACCTGCAAGCGCAGCAGCTGGCACAAAAGCCAATTGAGCAACAAGGTGAGCATGCAACGCCTCTTCAATATAAATATTATAATCCAAATCAAGAGTCGGACATGGTCCGCTTAAACTTAATTCTGTGTTATTTTCCAATTTACATCTAGTGAAAACTTGTGCAGATAAATCTGTGTCAACAAATCTGTAATAAAATATGTATATGTCCTGTTATTGAGATAAAATAAAAAGAATTTTAATATTGCATAATGTTATTACTTACTTTGAATATATAATAATACTGTCTCTAAAATGAGTTTTGCTAGACTTAATGCTACTGAACTCTACAGATTGGAACGAACAATTATCAAAATCGACATGGCTAAATATCATTTTAGTGAATCTGCAAATATACATAAATTATATAATTAAAAGATACATATTATTTGTTATAGTAAGTTATATCAAAATAACATTTTTGTACCTGCAATTAAAAATGTAGAATCTTTGTACTGACGATTTTCCCAAGAACCAGTAAACGTTGTATCATTAAATTCCAGTCTTTGAAAGTGTTCAGTATGAGCTTCATATTCCATTGCACGCAAAAGTTTCAGATATTCGGGACACCATATCATAAGACCGTAAATACTGAATATATAATGCATAAATACAATAAATTCATAACTAATAATTATTACCTAACTGCAAAGAAACTTACCTGAATGACGCCGCAGACCAGATAATTAAGAGAATTAAAGTCACATGTAAATAGGGTGCAGTGAATAATTCCAAGAAAGAATTCCAGAACTATGTAAAGAATAAATTAAATCTTATATTGAAGCTATCTATATGTAATTATATGATTTAGAAATCTTTTTCTCTGAGATATTTACCATTTCGATCGAATATATTATGTCCGCCAAAACGCTAGTATGATTACTCGGAGATGGTGGTGCCAAACCACGAGGTCTTTTAGTTGGAAGTTCCAATTCAGAAAGTTGATATTGAGTACCAGTCGCACTTTTTCGGGCGTTATTCTTTTTATATATCCTCTAAAACATGAAATTATATTGTAAGAGATACAAATATTATATAGAAAAAAATACATTTTATAACATTGTTTAGTTATATGTATATTACCTGATAAACCATCATCGCTTCCACATCTCGTCCGGCCTCAACAAGATATCTCGGACTTTCCGGTAGAAAGATAAGACCAAATGTGGAACACAATGCTGGCAAACAACATAATAACAGGAAACGATGCCAAGCGCTAAAGTGTTCCTTGTTTTCCAGAACGACCATCTCTCCCGTCGTGGGTACCACCGCCCAAGCTAAGAGTGCGGCATAAACACCTCCTAGTGCACATGCAGCCACGAGTATTCCGGTCCAACGACCTCTGCTTAATCGTGGGCAACATTCTGCGAGATATGCAAATGCCAGTGGTACAGCTCCTCCTACCCTGTAACAAGAGAGAATAATGTTAAATAATAATAATTATTGCCAATTGAATAATTACTTTAAGTCTTAATTTAAGACAATATTAAATCATACAAAATGCCACAAAAAATTGCTTACCCAAGAGCTGAACAGAATCTAGCTGTCATAAAAGTGCCATAAGTGGGCATAAATGTCGCAACACCGCTGAATAGAGCGTGTACAGACATGGCTGATAGGAGAGACCTGCGTCTTCCCAATCTGTCTCCGAGGCCTCCCCAGAATAAACCACCCAGTGCAAGACCGATGAGAGTAATATTGCCTGAAAAATGACATTACTTAGCAACACAAATCATAAAAAATATGCCTAATAATATGTAATGTCAACTCACCAAGCCATCCTTTCTCATTATCCTCGATACATAGCTCAACCTCTGCACTTGGCAGTATATAAGGAACAACAAAAATTTCAACAGTATCCGCTGCAAGACTCAAGCCTGTACAAAAAGCGGCAAGTATTTGGAAATAACCAACACCAGCCTGCAACATTACAATAATATTTTATTTATATTTATTTAGATTTGAATATAAAAAAATAGATTATGTTGATGTAATAACGATATTTTTTAGACTATCTGACAGTTTTGTCAAACGTCAATAATTAAAAGGTATAGGAAAAGTGTGTACATATAATTTTTCAGAATTGTAACTTAATAAAAATATTTTTTTTAATAAAAAAATTGATGTGCATTATCATATAATCGATTATAACAACAATTATTTGAGACATCGTTTAATGTACAATTGCAGCTTCCTTTGAACTAAAAAATTGACGCAACTGCAGAGAAATATCAATGTAACCTCCAATGTGAAGAAAAGAATATTTACTGGGAAATCCTTCAAATAACCGGGTACCTCGCGCGGTACATATTTTGCCTTGACGATCGATTCGTCCAGGACTTCATCCATTTTCCTAGAATAAGAAAAAAAAAAGAATTCGAGTTCACGAGTGCAAGAATAATCATTCACTTTGAGCCAAACAATTCGGTCCCTGTCAAAACAAAAAAAGACGCCGTTTTACCTAGGTTATGTTTTTATTGTATCCCGCATATTTTTATATACATTGCACTCGATGCACTCGACCAATAAAACGCCGACTTTCGAATTCGAGATCAACGATCGATACGCATCTCGACAATCGATTAGTGATCGTGATCGATTAGGTTTGAAATGACTCACGCTCACGCACAAATAAGCAACATAAATTTCAGAACGTGAGTAATAATAATACAAAAAAATATACTACAATTGCAATGAGAGATTATTAGATAATTTGATCGATAATCTTATATGCTTCACGAGTTTAAAGACTAATTTATCATTGACGTTTGACACTCTATAATAAAAGTTTTCTTCTTGACAGGTTACAAATTGACAGGTTATAATTTGACAGGTTATAATTTCGAGAAGAAAGCGAGAATCGGCGGAGTTGAGGACGCTTAACTCTTCGAAAAATGTCAAGTGTCCCTCTGAAAGAATAAAATCTCATGGCATCCGAAATCACCTGCTTAATGGCGTCCTCGTGAAACTGCGCCAGGAGGGTCGCATCCGCGGTGGAGTCGATGAGATCGTGTTCCGCGGAGTCGGCCGAGGCCGAGTTGACACCGGCCGTGGTGACGCTCGTCGGCTGCGTCGTCATCTCCTCGGTGTAGAGACCGGTCCTAGTGTTCAAGCCGCGTTCGGCCGCGTTCACTTTCGTCGCTTTCACGCTGCCGCCTGAGGGTGCGAGGCCGCCCCCGCTGCCAACGAGCCACTGGCTTTCCTCCTCCGATGAGGGCATCACTGCCAGAAACCATCTGGCGAAGCGGAATAATAAGATAATGAATACGCAATAGGCGAATATATATCTCGTTGAATTATATCCTGCTTCTGACGCGCATCCTCCCCTGCCAGAGAGAATATCTCGTTCGGTAATTACCTTTTGATATCCATATAACAATAATTGGAATTGTAACACGCATATTGTTATTGTAGCACGCGAGTCGGAATATTTTTGTAATTATAAAAACAGAGAAATTGCTATAAATGTCTTTAATTGTAGATAGGTCGCTTCTGGATTTATGTCGCCTGTACATTATAACGCAGATAAGATAAAACGAATTCGAGCCGAGAGATAAAAGAGCGGGAATCGGTTGCAACAATATTGACATTTGAGGGATATGCAAAGCCGCGGTGGAAGCCGAATAGGAAGGCGAAGAAGAATTGAGAGGCAGGATTTTTGCAAGAATGAACTAAAGTAACTACGTTTTATGTACAAGATATGCGTCGTCATGTGCGATCTATTTTACGATTTTGTTCGCCTTCGCGCTTTTTGCTTCGACGCTATATCGATATAATATTAAACGGTAGATTGCTCCGCGCGACAGCGGAGCGTAAAGAATTGCGCGATCTTCGAAAAAAATATCTTCTAATTTTATTATATTGTAAAATTGCAGCCTCTCCTTTACATCGCGGATCAAGGATCGTTAATAAAACTCGTCGTAAATTATTGAAACAATCCCTCTTTCGCGTTCTATGACACAGAAAGACGTGGAAAGTTGACCGTGGACTAGGAACACAAGTGTGTTAACAATACAGTGGTGTATTGTGCTTTGCAATTATGAAGTTTATCATGCGGTACACGTGGAAATAAGGCATGCGTCACGTCTATAAGTGCGGTTCACTGACCACGTTTCTCGGATGTGTGTACGATATTCGTCACGGTGTGACAAGTGAAATTAATGTTCGACCTTTATCGCAAACGCCTTAAATCTAGCCGGCTATATATAACAATAAATATGCAATATCTCCGCTTATATATACCAATAATAAGAACGCGAGAGAACGTTATTGAACTCTCGTATGTTGCGTTTATGTTTATCGCGATCAATGTGTGTATATACTTGCATGGAGTTAATGTGCAAGATAAATCTTACGTTATATCGTTTGATCTTAAATATATATATATATATATATATATATATATATATCTTTGGCTAACATAATTTTAATATTTTTCTCTTTTTTTATAGGCGATATTTATACACGAAACGCCGTAAATTTTGGCCCTATCCTTCGATTCGTGCGCAGCTTACAAGAGGATATACCGGTCTGGTGTGTGCTTACCGTTGACCTTACACTCAAAGTAACCGGAGCCGCTTTCGCGTGCACTTATATTTCGCAGCGGTAATTCAACGTTTATGAGCCCACATTGAAGCACGCGGAGGTCGCGCGTTTTACCAAGGCTGATTAATTCCCGGAATTAATACAAGACCTGCTATAGGGTAACGCGCGTATTACGCATAGCTTCTCTTTCTCGTGTTCATACATACTAATTCATCGATTTGCATTAATCATAATAACGCAATTTTCCGTGCAACACATATAGTATTATACATATACATATGTACAGAAAACGCGATGGAAAATGTTGCGATTATTTGTAAAAGATTTGCAAAAGAGTTGTAAAAAAGAAGATATAAAAAACTAGTAAATTTTCATGAGAAATAAAACAGTAGAGAGTCCTCAACACGACACATATCGCAAAATATGCAAAATTTCAAAAAATATCGTATATCATAGAAATTTTTTATCTCGGGGTTAAAATTTTCCACTTTTATTAACATTTTGTCGTGTTGTTGTTTACAGTCGTCTCCGTCAACTTTATCTCATCGTGAAAATGTGCAATTTTACGTCAACGGTACACCTGGCTGCTGAAAAAAAGCAGGAAGAAGTGCTACTACGTCATTGGTTACAAAAAAGAACGAGGCGTTAAAATTATACATTCCCTCGGTTTTGGGGCGACGATGGAACATTCATTAATCTTCTCAAAGACGGACAGGTGCGAATAGATGCGAGAAAAACATTTCCGTGATTTTCGTGTGTCATCATATATGTTTCATAGGACCATATAGTTGTTCCAACTTCTTGATAAATTTTATCCGACAGGTGTATCTTCGTCTTTTTTTAGCATTTATCTGAAAATATGCTATCTGTCGAGTAAAATTGACCAAGGAGTTGAAAAAATCAGCTCGGTTAAATTTTTCAAACATTCAGCGTCAAGTATTTTGTTGTCGCGGACGCGATATACCGCATATGTACGCGATTTATCGATCCTAAACCGATTACACACGGCTCCATAGTCCCTATATATGTATATACATACATACATACATATATATATATATATATATATATATATATATATATATATATATATATACATTTTCCGTACACCAAAGTATATACATGGACATGGAGCTACGAGTGTGTAAATACCGTGTGTATATGTACACGTGCACCACGTGTCAACCACGTATCCGCTAATGTCGCCGACAATCACGGCCGCGTCGCGTTTTCGCAGTTCTCTATTTTCTCGTCGTCGGTTATTTTTGAAACACGACCGAACACCTACATAATAAGAGCGTCCGTCGACGGCGAACATTAACGTTTTGTTTCGTACTTGCCTCATTATACGGACACGAGAGCTTCTTGTAAGAAAAGTATACATTCGGAGATGAAATTGAAAAACACTCGCGAAACATATATATAGATACTTCGGAGTCAATTTTCCTTTAGAAAAAAATTCTAATTAAAAAATTTTGTATCCAATTTATCTCGGAGCGAGTCTAGAGAGATCACGTTTTAAACTTACACTTATACTTGCCAAGAACATTTAACGTTGCAAATTAGTCGCGACAAATGACGGATGACATTCCGCGACGTTTACGCTAAGGAAATATTGACTCCGAATATCTCGTGCCAGAACTTTATCCTAGATGCTCAATCACAACAGTTACATATATGAATACATATATATATATATATATATATATATATATATATATGTGTGTGTGTGTGTGTGTGTGTGTGTGTGTGCAAAGATGCCTGCCTTGAAGGTAAATAATTTTTCGAAAATGTTATGCTAAAAAAACCATGTATCAATTTACATTCGCGACGAAATGGAATTTATCTCAATGTCAAGCGAAGCGAAAAAAATTACTCGACGATTAATTATTGTTTGAACTTGCGTATCTACCGACACACAGTCATCTCCGTATAATTGCATACTCATTATCGCTGTATTCGGTTGTCAACACGTTACACATATGCGTCGCACGTGGGACCAACGCGATATCCATAGATAAGTGCGAATAGGAGCCAAACGACGAAGCGTACAGGGAGAGAGAGAAAGAGAAAACTGCGACATGCGATTTATAGAGATTATTCTCGGACACGCACGAGTATGATTATCGAATGCAAAACCTGTCGCCAAAACAATATCTGTCTGTTTATGCATCTGCGTCAATTAATAATAATAATTCAGTCTCGTAAAACTATAATTAACACGTAACCAAGGAATAGAAGCGGATTAGATAGAAAGAAAATTTGTCCTTGCTCTCATAATTATGTAGCTTTTGTCAACAATTTTGATTATTAATATGTCAAGTTTTCATGAAATGAATACAATTTTTAATAATATTATAAAATATGTGTTAAAAAAATTATTATTTTAATGTAATGTTTTCTTTCTACTAATCATGTTCTTATCGCGAGGCTGATTTATCTTTTTGCTCGTTATTTCAATATTGAATTCGAGAAAATGTAGAAGGATGCAAAAAGCATAATTGAGAGGAACAGACGCGTTCATAAGATCGCACGAGAATTGATATCATTATAGCCGCTTATCACATCGGCGTCCTTATCACGCCACGCGTAAATCACCCACCTGGTTGATAGGGAGTCGCCGTGAAATACCGCACCTTTCCAATGATAATGCCGTTTCTCTGTTTGCAGATTTCTCGCATCGGGATGAAGAAAATCGTCGTTGGATATGTCGATTAATTTTCGCGGATCGATGAAGAGCGTTGTCAACTCTAAGCACTTGGAGCACTTTGACTTGAAGATGATACTACTCTTCAGAGACTGCTGTTTTATTCAGCAGCCGTGTGTGACGTCTACTTCTTCGTCAACAGCTGCAGTCGATCACTCGTCACAAAGTCACCCTCGCGTCCTTACATGCGACATATACGTCAGCGACAGAGTGCGAATATGATCGAACGCGCGAATAAATTTACGTAACAATATCGTATACGACGATTCCGTACGTATAGACCGGGTATAGACAGATGTAAAATGATGATCCGTCGATCACTGATGACTAGTCACTTTCATGTCGTAGACGTGGATTAATAACGTCAAAATTTATAATTTAAATATTTACATAACGAGTAATATATAGATATACAGATAGGAGAGTAGATATATTAATGAACATTATGATATCCCACGTCATTATCTCTCTTAATTCTAAAGTTGATATCTTTGGTATCTTTCAGTAAAATTCTTCCATCTCTCTTTCTTGGTCGTTGCGACGCCAAGACCTACCTCAACCGCAACCCACAATCACCGCGCGATCTCGCGTTAAACCTTTCGCGAAGCGAATCACCCAGCACTCAGAAATACGTAGATTCTCTCGTTATTAACAAAGGTGCGATAATAAACTTTTTTTCGCGAATAACAAAATGCTTCTTCGTCGAAATAAAATGCGGCGCAGTCCAGGACCAACACCGCGTAGAGTCCGCGTCCTTTTGCGCGCCGTGTCCTTTTGTCGAGAATCGATTCTCTCTCGGCGTAGCAGGAGGTGATTTCGCCGCGAAACGCGGTGATCGGTCGCGACGCCTCTTTCCGAATGAGATCGCTTGATTTCTGCCGTCCGATTTATCTCGCGCGATTCCTATATCGCGTTCGCGCGCCGCGAGCAAGGCGGGGACACCGGAACTCTGTCCCGGCAGGAGCGGCCCGTGAAAAGCGATTGTGACATTTTCACGGTATGGAGGGAAACAACACTGCCGTCGACACGCCGCCTGCGCCGTGTATCGATTCGCGTCGCGATGCCCCAACATGTAGCGCCTTCACCCCGATCAGGGGTCTCCCCTGCGAATCATTAGCCCGATAATTATTAGCGGAACGGCTTCTAAACTCTAAGAGACTGATTCCGGCCAAAGAAATAGAGTATACTGAAAAAAAAAAAATATATATATATACCCAGATAGCCACAGTAATTATTATGACATCATTTTGATGTCAAAATGCATCACTTGCCATCAAAATGATGTCATAATAATTACTGTGGCTATCTGGGTAAATAATTAAAAATCTGATCATAGGTCAAGATGCATATTTAAAAATTTTACATTTAATAATAATAATAATAATAATAATAATAAAGTATAGTATTCTGAATTATTTTTTTGACAAAAATTATATTTTATGAATATTATATTGTATATTTAAATTATGTCTACATCTGAGTATACTGTCTGTATGTACAGACCTGTATATATGCAAATATCTAAAGAATTCTATGATTGAATAATCTCTATAATTTTCTCTTGTTATATAGACATTACGTTTTATTATATATATTGTATATATGTATAGAAGCTTATAAGATCATATCTTTTTTAACTCGATAAAATATTCATAACAAACTCGACACATTTTCGAAAGATATCTTTGTTATTGAAACATTTAAAGAATCATCAAGAAAAAAGTTAGGAAATTATCTGAAGGATCGTTTACTCACCATTAATTGTTCCATAAAATATAAGTACATTATATATGTCGGCAACATATATCAAAGTAATCTATGTTAACGATTACAATTTCTATTCATATTATATATTAATCATTATAAAATTTCACGTTTGGAAGGGATTATTTTATTTTTGTTAATCGTCGTCAGAGTCGTCTTCGCTTGCTGCAGTTATTTTTTCTTTCTCCTCCATTTTAGTTCGTACAATGAGTTCTTTTGCAGGATTAAAAGTGCCATTAGTTTGGGTATTACAAACATAGCATCGTGTACTTTTTCTATAATGTTCCAAAGCACATTTTTCACAAAAATAATGCTTGCATCTAAATTAAAATAAATAGATTAACCCTTTTTATATATTAAAATATTAATATAGCAATGGTATTGAATAAAAATTTAATTAACACATACTTTGTAACAACTGGATCTGTAAAACTGTTTCTACAAATAAAGCATTTAAATGGTAAGTTATCCTCATCGCTGTCAATCTCATATTTTTTATCGTCTTCATCTCCACTATTACTTTCTCCAGTAGCAGCAACTCTTTCCAATTGCCATCCCAATTTATAATCTGATCGATCGTGAAGAAACTTACAGCTATCTAAAAGAAAATTTAAGGGAAATGTTTACTATAACATCTGTTTAAAAATACAACTAAAATAAAACTATATTTGTTTAATATTGAACTAAAATATAATCGTATATACCTCCAAAACCACAGAAACCAGTTTCTTTGTAATCTTTGCATATATCAGGTTGATAATCCCATCTCACGGTTGCTCTGAGATTAGATGGTGCTCTAATTGGTCCTTTACGTACCATCCCACTAGATGCATTTCCAGCTGCAGTATCTTTCTTTTTATAATATTGTGCATAATTATTCAAACCCCTATAAATCTTATCATCCTCTTTTCCTTCTAATTCCTAATAATCAAAATAGTGATAATATTAATGACGCTATCTTTTTAGATTAAGTCAATTTTAAATTTAATTAATACATCTAATGAATAATTCGTTCAAAATACCTCATTTATTTTTTGAGCTTTTTCAAATAATGCCTGAGCATCTCTGTCTTTTTCAGTTTCTGTCTGAAGAATAGCTGTTGCTCCTTGGTCACTCGGACCAGCTGGCAAAGCAGTTCTATTACTTTTATACGTGACAGTTACATCATCTTCGTCACTATCATCGTTATATTCGGTTTTTTCTTCCTGCTTCTTTACATTTGTCTAGAGAAATAAATTATGTATCAGACATATACAAATATTATAAAATTATTAATATATATTATAAATTATTATTATAATACAAATGTGTATTATAAATTATCATTATAATATAAATATATTATAAATTTATATAACATTCAATTATAATGGTAAAAAAACACAAATTGTAACGATACAATAAGTAGGTAGAAAATTATAGATTACAGTGCGAAATACTTACGCTTTGTATCATAGGATTGTGATCGCGTTGCTTCTTCTCCTTTTTAACCACCGTGGTCTCATCCTCGCTGCTGTCTACGTATAAAAAATGACACACAAATGTTTTATCCACAATATGTTTATTCAGACATAACCTAAAATACGCTCGTTTAACCAAACTTATCCGATATGCGTATCTATAATTAGTCGTGAAATCGATATTTATTACAACGACTCACCATCAGCGTTATCCGCTTCCTTTCGCCTTCTCGCCGCGTTGTTACGAATTTTACGTTTTTTAAACAGAAAGGTGCAGTTCTTCTTCTCTGGCGATTGCACCGCATCATCCATGTTTGGTTCGTAAATATTATTTCCTTTCTCAGCGTGTCCGGCCGGATTAATTTTTTCCGCTACACCCGTACACAGCGTTATTTTCTGCATTAAAATACGGTGACATCGCGACGTGCTGTGATCGACCGAAAACAATTTAGTTCTCCAAAATTCGTGTAAATTCGCGCAAAAAATACGTTCCTGCGGAGTCGTTGATCTTCGTTCGCGAGAAATTGGGTTATATATCCTCTGACGCTCATCCCATGTTATATTTATAAATATAAATATCGTTTCTCTCCTAAGTCTTAAAGGTAAAGTACAATTAATCGTAATAATTTTATTTATATATTGATAATAATTGTACTATATCTACAATGATGAATTGACTGATGTTGGAGAGATTATTGATTATTTAAAAAAATGTAAAATTTATATTGCATAAAAAATGTATTTTATAGCTTTATTGATTTATGTAAAATACCTGGAGATGGATATTTTTAAAACTTTGCGATAAACTTACAGGTCTTCCATTTCTTTTGAGCAGCTTTTCAATTTGAGAAGAACCATGAGTAAGAAGAAAAATATGGCAATTGACTTTCAAGACAATATGATATTGCTTACACGTAAATACTTGAAGCGTAGAATAATGTGTCCTGAGACCAAGTTTAGACATCATGTTAAGGAGCGATTACACGTGTTGGATTTAGTGAAACGTACTGTTGAAATGGGTGAAAGCAATTCTGCTTTGTTAATTGGACCTAGAGGCAGTGGAAAAACAACGGTAGATAGTTTTCTTTTAGAATTATATGTAAAAAATATGTATGACAACATATACATATATATAATGTATAACAATTTATCATTTTAGCTTGTCAATAGCGTTTTAAAGGAATTGTCAGCTTTAAAAAACTTTAAAGATAATGCATTAATAGTGAACCTTCATGGATTGGTTCATATAGATGATCGTTTAGCACTAAAAGATCTAACTCGTCAGATGCAATTGGAAAATGTAGTTGGTGATAAGGTTTTTGGGACATTTGCAGAAAATCTAAGTTTCCTCTTAGATTGCCTGAAATCTGGTGATAAGAAACGTTCAAAACCAATCATCTTTGTACTTGACGAATTTGATCTGTTCTGTGGACATCACAATCAGACATTATTGTATAATCTATTTGACGTTGCTCAATCTGCACAGGTAAATATTTAAATGTATTAAAATATCATTTTAAAAAATTTTGTACAAATTTTATATGAATGAAAAATTTGTAAAATTTTGCAGGTGCCAATATGTGTATTAGGAATTACTTGTAGACTAGATGTTGTAGAATTACTGGAGAAGAGAGTCAAGTCGAGATTTTCACATCGTCAAATATTCTTGTTTCCGGGCGATACATCATCTTCAGAACAGCCTATGTCCGCATTTGACGATCGTTTGGAACTCTTTCAAAATCTTCTCAGTTTACCTGATGATGAGAATGTCAATAAAGTTGAGCAACAATATGACGATTGTACGATAGATCCACAATTTGGTTCCATGTGGAATGATTACATTAAGAGTTTAACTAGCAATGTTACAATGGTGAATTTACTTAAGAGAATGTATCATATCGATGTAAGTGAGAGAAGCTTCAGAAATTTTCTCGCAGTCGCAGTCTCAACATTATCCGAGAAGCATCAGAAATTGGAAGTGAATGATTTTGTAGAAGCTAGTAAAATCTTTTCAGAGGACGATAAATTGTTGATGCTTGAGGGATTATCCATTTTGGAAATGTGTTTAGTACGTTTCTTACAATTATTTTCAGTGAAATTAATTTATTTATAATAGAAGAAGTACTTTAATTGAGATATTATTGTAGATTATAGCAATGAAACACGAGACGGACATTTATGACGGCGAGCCATTGAATTTCGAAGCGGTCTACAATCGCTATATTAAGTTTGCAAATCAGAATTCCTCTATACAGTCTGTTCAGAAACCAGTTATTATGAAAGCTTTCGAGCATATCAAGGTAAGCTTTTCATATTAAAGTAATTTTTTTTCTCGAATACTTGAGACTGAAAAGAAAGTGGATAAACGTACATATATTTTCTAGAACTTAGAAATTTTGGTACCAGTTGGAAACACGAATACAAAATTCGAAAAGGAATATCAATATTATAAATTTACATTAACATCACAACAAGTTATGGATGCTGTGAAAAATTATTCAGGACTCCCTACAGAAGTTTCTCAGTGGGCGTTAAGCAGTATATAATAATGATATAGTTGCATCATATACAGTCAACCTATTGTGTTTCATAAAATAACACATATAACAAGTAATTGGTAAGTCTCCTTTAGCAAAGTCTTTGTAGAACAAGTTATATAGATATAAGATATTAGAATATTTTTTATCGCACTTAAATAGAAAGGATAATACACATATACACCATATCACTATCACACATATATTACACATACATGTAGTATAAAAAACAATAGTTAATTTTTTAGAAACATTTTTTTTATGTATTAAACTTAAATATTGAACTACTTTTAAATAATAATTGCTATAAAAATGAAATATTATACGAAAAAAATTTGAAAAATACGCGGAATTTTATTTATACATCATGTAAATCTGAAAAAGGTGTGATATTCTAGTCTAACATTTCCAGAATACTTACAAATCCTTCTATTCATACATATGTATTCAGTATTAAAGTTTTAAAAATCAATTTAATATTACTTGGAATAGAAGATCGAGAAGAATATTACATGATATACAAGCATAAATTGTAAATATCCTTATGCGTCAGCACAATATCTGAAAAGGAAAAAGGAATGATATTTTGTAAATATATATTGAATGTGGTCTTCAGGGATAATTCCTGCCAATATAAACGAAATAAAGTAATCTGGTGTAATTGTCTTCGATATATGAAATTACGAAGGCACAAATATTTATGGAAATATTTTATTTCCTATAATAATGAGCATTAATATAGGTATCGAGAATAATATGTGAGCATTATAGATATTGTAGATAGTATCTTAATGGATGATTAGTTAAAGTTATTCAACTGAAAAAAACATCCGTGCCATAGACTACATGAAATTCAGTTTGCCTGTGATTTTTTTGTTTATCATATTCATTATCTCTGTATCGTGTGTTGCGTGTGTGTGTTTATGTATAATAATTTATTTGCGTATGAATGTGTAAGAACTTAAAAATATTTATTAAGGAATATGTGTCTTCCGCACATATTTTTCGGATGTATTGGAGATGAATGCGACGAAATTATAAAGTACATACGTGTATATGTTTTTACATTTGTAATAAATTTACATCCGATAAGTATCGATACATACATTTTGTGTTGTACGAGTTCTTTCCTTTTATCTTTTAATCCACCCAAGCAAAGTGCGGCTTTGGCTCCGTAGATATTGCGGAGTCTGCAATTGTTCTGATTTGAGAGCTGGTTATCAATTTTTTTGGTTGCGGCTGTTGTTTTTCAGACTTTATATTCTTCTCCAATTTTTTGCTCTTATGCTGAATGAGATACGAATCATGACCTGCATCAAAGAAATGAGTAATGTACTCGTAATAAATACTATATTATTATAGCATTTTGCTATAGAGATTTAAGATAATTTTGCCTTACCAGGATTTATGCCTACTGGAGGTACACTTTTTAATTGCTGCTCCATAGTAAATGGTCGAAGTGCCGACATGGCACGACTCACACCTATCTGTACAAACATATCTCGCGTAAGTTAGATACTTGTATAATAAAAAATTAAAAGATTAAAATATAGACAACAGAAAGTATCAATAAAATTTGTACCTTTGAATGACGTATTCTATGTTCTACAAGATCTGCTCCAAGAACTTCTTCATAAACCGACATTCTAATCGGTATTATTTTGTCTATTAGCTGTAAAAAAAAAGTGTCTTTCACATCTAGTTCTTTTCAAAGAATGAAATTATATATGATATACCCAAAGCAGTATGATAGAGGTGCTAAAACTCCAAGCTGATAAACAAAGCGCAGCTAAACTTTGTATTCCTAATAGATACCAGCCGCCTCCTATAAAAATTTATTATATAAAATAATTTAATAAAATTTATATATAAATGGTAATTTAATAAATAATATAATAAATTGATATAAATAATATATGATAATTTGGAACAATATGTATGAAATATGTATAAAAGCATCATTGTATGCAAACCTTTGAACAAACCCTTCCTTCCACTTGTAGTATCCAGGGGATATGGATTATCAGCAAATAAGCCAATGGCGATAACTCCCCAGATACCAGTTACACCTATATATATTTTAAACAGATGCGATTGATTTATTTTGTGACAAGTATAAGAGTTATGAAATTATATTAAAAGTTCGATGAGATTAAACACACCGTGAGTGGCGGCAGCTCCAACAGGATCATCTATGTGCATTTTATCAAATACTGGCATTGCAATACACGTAATAAAAGCACCTATCATTCCAACTATTATCGCTTCCCAGGCTTTATACAAGAAACATCCACCTATCGTAAAGTTACAATGAAAAATTAAAATTAACTCATCTTTTCGAATATTTCTATATCAATCAAACATTTACCAGTAATCGCCACTAGTGCACCAAGGATACCATTTATCTGACTGAGGATATCGATTCCATTCGGATTAGTCAAGCTGAATCCTAAACCAATTAGACCACCACCCATACTGCCCATCATCGTAGAAACGGCTGCTCGAGCTGCATACTGCCATCGTTCGCCGGTTACCCCGTATGTACTGCCACTGTTGAACGCTAACCAGCCCCACCTACGTCAATTTGTAGTCACTTTATGTATTTTGCAATGCATTATACATGTTTCGATGTGTAATAATCTGATTGTTTTACCATAATACGAATAATCCCATAATCGCATTAACAGGACATCCGAGCGGCAGAGGATCGATGCCGTTGTCATATCTACCTACTCTGGGACCGAGCATGATAGCGCAAGCGAGTGCTGTATGAAGAAAAATAAATTGTATATTAATGATTTTATCACTTTACTGTTAATCAAATACTTGATTAAATACATGTTTGTGATTATACCTGAAATACCACCAACAAGATGTACTGGCCCTGAGCCAGCAATGTCGACAACTCCCATGTTATTCAGAAAGCCATGATCGCCCCATACCCATCCTGCTGGCACGCAGTATACGATAGTATTTAGAAAGGAGAAAAGACAGTATGCTTTAAAATTGCATCTAAAAATGTAAAATAAAATGTATATAAATATTTAAAAAATGCAAAATGTACATTGTACAATATAAACAGTTTTTGAAATTTATTTAATAAATACCGTTCAGCCATAGCACCACTAACAATAGTCGTGGAAGTAGTGGCAAAGCTTAATTGAAATAGAAATGCTGCGCAGATGGAACCCATGTATTCATCCTCGATAGGAGGATCTATGAATAGACCTCCCACGCCAATAAAAGGATTGTTAGGCTTATCTAAACCAAAACTGATTCCGAATCCGAAAATCCAATATGTTAGACCACCGAGGACTATATCGACTACATTCTTCATCATAATATTCACTTCATTTTTCAAAGAGACGCAACCAGATTCTAGCATTCCAAATCCTATGGATAGCATATAAAATTATTAATATTTGGATATAATAAAAATGCGACAAAAATAATTATAAAAAACAATTTATAAGTTTTATAATAAATAAAAGTTTTTTTTCGAAAACTTATTTTTGCTAAATACCTGTTTGCATTGTAAAAATCATAAAAGAACTCGTGACAATCCAGTTGCTGTCTTCTTGAGTAAGATTATATAATTGGCTAACATATCTATCAACAGTAATGTTTGTATCATTTTTTTCATAACTTGCCATTTCTACGATAAATTGTTCAAACTGTTTCTTCGTTGTTAGGAAGTGGACTACTGATTTCGCTTCGTTCTTCAGGTATACTTTGAGCGTAAAGTGTGGACTTCGCGGGACAAACAAATTAAAAATTCAGAATGTTCGGACAAAACAAGATTTGGTATTGATATATTGATCATTTCTGTCAGCAACTGATCAAACAGGTTCAATAAAAGGAAATGGTATATTAGATTGAGAAAAAGTTAATAAGAAAATAAAAAAATTAATTGGCGTTTTCATCGCGTTTTAATTTTTTTTATTGGCTTTACATTTTCTAGCCATTACAGAAAATTTTTCTTCTCACTTGCAATGTCTAATAATTTCTTTTCATCCTTCCCACGATCAAAAAACATTAAAATCATGTACAATACAATAACACTAACCTAGATTGATGAAAATATAATATCACGTATAGATTCCTATTATACTTAAAATTTATAATGGTATGATGGCTACTATTATTTCAGAGAACATTATGATTGTAATGTGCAATTAAACACAATATGTGACAGCAAGTAGTGGTGATATTCGACAATACAAACACTTTTTTTAATTTCTTTTCTCTCCTTTTTTCGGCTAGGCTATACATTACACATGATCACGTAATTTTGCAAATTAAGTAGTTATTTTTAAATCATAAAAGAAACTAAGCCCTTTCAGATGGTAGAATGAAACCGACAAGAAGCGTCTTTATCATTTCACAAGACCATTATGTAGTCTTTTGGAGGAAGCAAATGTGCAGTGTCAAGACATAAAATTTCACGCAAAATATTAATAGATGTTATTTTGTAGTTGTTTTTGAAAGCGTCTATGAGGACTACATTGATAGATGGTAGATTTTGGTTGTGGAATCCTTTGTCGGTTTGGCAATTTGCTCATCCCAGGAAGTTTAATGACCATACACATTTTCATCGCTGTATGCTATGTATAGGAAGAAATCCTCTTCATGATGTTCCTGATTAAAAAGATTTGAATAAGATTAGTAACCAACGATTATAATCAAGATATCTTATTTAATATACATTGTATATATAAAGCTTGTTTCTAGTTACCGCATAAAGAGAACCCATAGTAGCACTTGTTGGAGGAATGATGTTGTTGACAAAGAAGAACAGAGCATCTTCGGGACGTAAATGAATTCTTTTACGGATTAAAAAGTAAAATTGACCGACAGTTAAGTCAGAAGGTACCAAGTACTTCTGCTTGTCCAGGTCACTAATCTTTGCCTTAGGTGCTTTCTCAACTATTACCTATAACATTTATTATCATAAGTATTTTTAAAAATAGAAAGATATAAATTATACAGTTGATAATATTGTAGAAAAATATAAAACTTAATTAGCTCCATGAGTTGCAATCAAACAAATCAATTTTCATAAATCTATTTCTGTTAAAGTTGTCATTTGTTTGTTGTAAATAGAATTTTAATATTCGCTAACAAAATTTTTAACTAGGCTTAATTTATGATTCATTATCTGGATCAAAAAAATTTCAAATATGTATTTATTATAAATCTTGTGTCCATTGTTATTAAATAACAAGATCCAGATTCGAATTCTGTAGCATTGACTTTAATGAATGTGCATATTTCACGGAACAATAAAAATTTCGTATATATTAATACTTTTATGAACATGTTGTGATCGGTGATTCATACACACAAGTGATAAACACACAAGTAAACTTTTTTTTTTCAATGTATGATTATGATCATGAGTGTTGGAGAGAGAGAGAGAGAAAGAAAGAAAAAGAAAGAGGTTAGATATTTATAGAATTTTGATAAAAATATATTTTGATCATGAATTAATTAATAATGCAAACGATTCCATAGAGACAGTTTAAAATATTATAAATAATTATGAAAAATTAATAAACAAAACTCTTATTCTATAACATATGTGTCGAGCAATAAAAATGTATAATTCTCCACTTGTGCATATGAAAATAAATTTATTTCGTGGATTTTTAATTTCTTAATTTACTTGTCAAGATTGCAGATTGAAATTTATTATAAAAAAGGCAATATTTTACATTATATACAATTTAAATTTTGAAATGAAAAATCTCGACGACTCGTACTGCGTCGAAAAATAATCAAAATTTACTTGGTCATGTTGTGTTGCGCGATCTTGAAGTAGCAAAAGCGAACGTAAAATTAATGGAAAATGATGCTTAATAAAGATAGAAGCTTTACGCGCCTATAAATCTAACAATACGAGGAAACTTTAGCTCAATCTAGCAGCGAGGTACAAAAATCGAGGAAAACGTAATCGACACACACAATGCTCTTTCTTTCGCAGAGTCTACTCTAAAATTTATTCTAAAATGGAGTTAGAAGTATGTCTCCCCGACGACGTGTCTATTTAATACGAGAGCGACCTTATCCGGTTCGAGATCGAAATAAACAGTCTCGAAGTAAATAATTTCGAGGTTCAGGCGAGAGACGGCAACAAATTTGGAGAGGGTTGAAAAAAACCTCGATTATATACATATGCAAAACCAGGATCGATACGCGTGGAGGGGAGGAGACACGAAAATAGCGTGAATCGCGTAATTTCGCGACGTTCTTGAAAAAGAGGAAAAAATCCCCGAAGTTGACACCTCGTCGACGCGGAGCAAAACGGGGGAATCGACGATGACGCAGAGATTAAACGCGACCTTGAGCTCCCTCCGCATCCAGGAAACGCACGTTGCGAAAACACTCGTCCAACTTTGGCGTGTCATCTCTCTCTCTCTCTCTCTCTCTCTTTCTCGCGTCATACATATATAATTTTGCGAAATAACGCGAAACCGCAGATGCCAATCGCTTCCTGTCATTCGATCCTCGTCGTAATTTTCAAGACGCATTTCTTAAGACGCAGAAAAGGCCAGGCCTGTCTATCGTCCTACTCACGGGCACTCGATCCGGATATTTCCGTCGTATCTTCTCGCCCTCGGCCTTCCTCTTCTCGAACGGATGCTCCTCTTTGTATTGGAACTTCATTGTCCCCCGTTCACGCGAGGAACTCGCGACACAACGGGATATGTCACTCGCCTCCTCGGGCTCTTGTTGTTCGCAGCGCACGCTCTCTCTTTCTCTCTACCCTGATAAATTACGCTGACTCGACGACGCGGAGAGACTCCCGAGGACACACACGGATTCTCCGCGCACTTCTGTCTGTCACAACACGGCCGCGCTCGCTCGCGAGTGCGCATGCGCGCTCCGCCGAGAGAAAATAGATCTCCCCTTCCTCGCGAGTTCTGGCGCGAGTTTGATATATCGGACCCTGCGCGACCTTATTATTATGTCGAAAAATTCCTCGCGGCTCATTCCCACGGAATTTTCGAGAATTCCGAACCAAATCACGAAGTACGGGAAGAACAATTGCACGGAAAAGTGGGAACGTTACAACGCATCGACACTTCGAGACTTTCGAGAGTTCGTGCTTCGAGACGAATGATACGTCGATAGTATCGATAGTATCGATACCGCGAAATTGCGATTCTCGAAAGTTTGAACGAACAACGGCAAGTAGGAAACGCGATGCGCTCGCACTCGGATCGTCCCGAAAGTGAGTGCGTAAATTTTCGCCGGTGCGAGGTTTAAGAGTGAATTGCGCGGAAGATTATTGTTGATACGAAGTGCGCGAGTGCCGGAACGTTAAGTGAACGCAGGGGATGGTGTATAATCGTTGTTATACTCCGATATTCATTATTTCGGAATCGACGACTCCCGGTCACCCAACCCGGGAGCTTCTTGCGAATAATTTTCGCGAGTGCGTGGTGTCTGAAAGTGAATTGTGCGGAGGATTATTGTCTATATAAAGTGCGCGAGTGCCGGATAGTGCATAATCGACGTTATACCCCGATATTCATCAATTTCGGAGTCGACGATTCTGCCTCCCCCCTCCCACCCCCCCCTGCCACACGGGACCATCTTCGAGGACTATATTTCACCAGGTTCTCGCTCGGCGAAAGTGTATGATTATCGTCGGGTATGTCTATTATTCTGCAATTAATTGTATTTTTTTCTAAATATGCGAGTAGTGGTGAACAGATAAATGGATACTCTGTGAATTTTCTTGGACAAAACATTTTGCTGTGCACTAACGCCCTCTCAGAGGCGAAACAGAAAGCTGTTAGTCAATTTTATATGGTAACAGAAGTACAGCACAGTACACACATTATTTTTTACAGAATTTTATATTCTTTTAAATTATAATTATTCAATAGTTAATATAGAAAAGTAACATTGCGTGTGTATTTATATCTAAATCGATATTGCATATTTATGGCACATTAAAATATTTTTATCTTATGTTTTACAAAAAACTTATACTATTCTTTGGAGTAATTTTTTATAAATATTAATATATTTAATATAAATATTAATTTATTTTATATAAATATAAATATTAATTTAATTTATAAATATTCTTCAAACTTTGTTTTAAAAGATTTACAATCGACAGAGATATATAATAGTATCAAACTTTACTAGAATACTAATTCAATAATTATAAAAGCTAAGGAAAATATCGACTAAATACATATATATATATATAAACGCATATCCAAGTATCATGTAGTATATAATTCAATATAAAAAACTTAACAAATATTTTCTATCAATAATATAGATATTTAAATAAGAATAAATGGATTTTATCATACTTTATTAAAAGAAATATGTACAGATACATCTGTATTATGAAATTGGAAAAGAATGATTTAATTATTCAGCATCCTCTTCATCATCGTCTTCCTGGCTGTTAATCTGGAAGTACCGTAATTCATACGTCTCTTTATCTTTTGATACTACTCGCAACCAATCACGCAACTTGTTTTTCTTCAAGTATTTCTTTGTCAAATACTTGAGGTACCTATAACAACAAAGTTTTCTAAGTCAGTGCAAATATCGTTCTTCCTGTAGTTTATATTAATTACGGAGTAATAACATTATTTAATATCTATAAGAAATATCTATATCTATAAAATTTTTTTACCATTAATCTAATTATAAAGAAACACGATATTACTCACCGTTTAGAGAAATCAACATCACTGTTGATAGACAACTTCATCTTATTACGCTCTAAAACGACACTATTGCCAAAGTTATTCGTTTTACCGCCAACCTTAATCTTGTCTTGTAGATACTTTTCCTGAAAACCATTACGATTTTAATTTCAATGCACAATATAATACTAAAATTTAAGCATTATAATTAAAAATAGATAATTATTTAAATTTTTTTTCTCAGTGTCACCGGATAGTGATACATGGACTATATTGCTCCAGATTTTATTAGTCTTCTTATTTTTTTAAATTTTCTATATGTAGAGTGGTTAGTAATTCACAATATAGGTTATGCATATTAATATATACATATATATATATATATATATATATATATATATTAAATTAACATTTTCAGAGAATATAGAAATTTTGTTGTCGGAAAAGAGAGAGAAATATGCCACTATTTCATATTACTTACAAAATTGCTAACATCCATGATATTGTCTTCCACGGGATGTGTGCAGTCGATGGTGAACTTTAAGGACACCTTTTTCTTCTGTCCCTTGCCCCGAAGGACCTGCTTTTTAGCCGGGCCTTTAGTTTTCTTCGCTGTCTGAAAATTCGTACATAAAATTCTTTTGGTATCATTGTTACACAGGACACGTGGAAAATTAATCCTGCGCGAACGGTACGTCAAAAAAATCCGACTCGATCGAATCAATCTCGAGGTAAAACGGAAATCCGATGTAAGACGATCGACAAGTCGAACGCGCTCTTTCTGTCCGCGATATTATTTCGAGGGAATTTAGTCATAATTAGAAATGATTGCTATATCTTCGCGAGAGCTAAACTTACCGGAGCCATATCTGTGTACGGTTGAAATATGAAAGAATCAGAAGAGAAGGAACTGGTCACTGAATGATATGATGGCGCTAAAATCGCTTACACTTACACTAGGAATGTATATATCGATATATATCGTATATATCGATATATATCGTATATATCGATATATACATTCCAAAATTGACATATATATTTAAACAAAAATGCAATTGTTTTAAATATTCGTGTTATATAAGAATAATCATTTTTTATTTAGTTCAATAAAAATAATGTAAAGTGGTAGTAGTAAAAATTACAAAGAAAGACCGCGGTATATTTATTATTGATTTTATTATTTTACGAAAAAATAATACATATATATATATATATATATATATATATATTACATAAAAATATATATTATATATTATTATAAATAATATAATATATATACGAATATATATTATAATATATAATACATAAATATTATATATATGTATATATAATAAATGTTCTTTTTATGAAACACAAAAAAGAGCACATGTGGGAGTATCTTTCACAATGTTATTTATTTAAGCCTAATATGCAATTTCTATATCGTATAATATTTCTATTATATAATAATAATTTGTTGTCTTCAGTGAGATATACAAGAAATATTGCAATTAATATAATTCCGTTATTCGTACACGCAATAATATATCAACAGCTAAATGTTAAAGCATTTTCCTACAGTGGCTATACTTACAAATCTATAGTTAAGTTCTTTATAATTAATTTAGTGTATAGACAGCTTATATCGAATCTAGAGATATTATGATTATTGAGTGAAAATATAATAGCAACGTAGTATATTTCATTTGATATAGAGGACACAATAATACAATTAATTTTTTTAATGACAGCAATTATTTTCTTAATTTTTGTCAGAGCGCGTTATCGACCGAAAATTTTATTTTTTTAAGCAAAAATAGTACGACGATGATGTGCATAAATATGAACATTGTGATACAAAAATAATAACTACATGCCAATTATTTAATGCGAAAAAGGTCACTCTTTTTTCTTCTTTGTTGAATAACATTGCTAAATTACACGTTAATATTTTTCAAAGATCTCAACTTTGAATTTAATTATCACACGAAGTAATCATCAATCATTACGTTGATGTTTGAAAATATGGGAGTCAATAATTATTTTTTTTTCTATAATTCGATTACTTATGCGATACTATAATACATTTATAAGCTAATTTTGTTGTCAGTTTAAAGGAACAAATTTTTCTAGAGATCTATATGAAATTGTCTTTAGTTATGATAAGTATACTTACAATTTTTTGAAAGTAACAATTTCTTATATAGAATATATGTATTTCTAACGAAAAGTAAAATAGATATAATATATAAAGTAGTATTAATAACAATTAAACTGTGCAAAGGAGAAGTTGTAGGTGTTTAGGGAATCACTCGCGTTTTCAATATCGCATTGAGTATAATTTTCGCAATCGCGGCGATCGATATAAAAAAAACCGCATTTGTAATTAACATCAATCGCGAATAGAGGCTAGTAAAATCGAAGAACTTGGCGCAAAAAGGAGTGAAACCGCGTTCCATACATGTAGAAAAAAAATCATATCCGAGACAATGTTTCGTAAATACACAGACATGAAAAAAATTACTTGCATGGAACATCCTGTACATGACGTGCACACTCGAACATTTTCACATTTTTTTCCATCAAGATTAAACTTGAATGGTACTCGTATCAATACTCTTTTTCACAATTGTTATATTATTGATTTTCTCTATTATAATTACTTCCACATTTCAAACTTTGATATTTAATATACGAATAATTTATTTATATGCGTACATATAGATTTAATTTTACATTGACCATTCGTAATAATGCATATATACATGTATATATGTTGATACACGTACTTGTGTATTTTCTCGTCAACGATATTTCGTTGCTTGTTGTTTTTTTTTTTTTTTTTTCATAGAGATCAGCTGACAACGAGCAGAATGGGATTTGAAGGGCCTCTTGTGCATTCTCATCGAAAATAAAATTTTCGCGAATTTCCTAATGACCTATATAGACTCTAAAATCTAGAATGTTTCTTTCTTCTCGGTCCGGTCGATACGTTGCTTCCATTTAAACGACTTAAAACTTTAAACGACTAGAAATCATGAGATTAATAAAATGCAATATAATTAAAATAGGTGAAAAACTATTTAAACCTATAAATACTACTCGAATAAAGTTGCGCACTATATAATTGCTGATAAAATATTGAAATTATTAATTATTCACATCTCCTCGATATAAGAAAATTAATTCAACATTAAAATAATCGCGGCCGATAGTTGAAGGGTTCCAAAGAAAAATATAACAAAAATGTCTACATTTTATAAAAACCAATTTCGAACCACGTGCAAAATGAATCTGCATAAATGATGAAGTTACCGGCTTCTTTCATCGAACCCTTCATCATGTGCCGACGATAATCCGAATGAATTGAAGCAAATAGCCAAGTAGCAAGCGTACGTCATTTTTGACATTTGATGATGTCAGTTTGCTACTTGGGTACATATATATATATATATATATATATATATATGTAGACCAGTTATTTTCCGCGGATGAAGACGGTTGCGTCAAGGTCGATCCCTATCAGCGTATTCCTTTCTTTTTCTTCGTTCAAGTACACCCTTCGCTTAGGTTACATCGTTTACACGAGACTTCGTATACCGGCGTCCAGGTTGCCGACGAACGCGGCACCGGCGGTCTGCGGTGAACCGCTGCCCGGCGACTTTGCGTTAGGCGCTGCAGCTCCAGCATCCGGTGCAGGTGCACCGGGTGCTGGTCCCGGTTGCATACCCGGTGGCATCATACCTGGCGGATAGCCATAAGCAGGCGGAGTCGGCGGCGTTTCCGGCATGAATTTCACTGAAACGTTCAAGCGTTAATATATTAGTCTCTAATATTGATAAAGCGATATCAGGGGTTGATAACATAAAATGACAGCGGAAGGAGAAACTTTTGATGATTATTACTATATATTACTTCTACACACAGCCATTTCCCCCCTGAAAAATGATTTATATTCTTGAGAGATGTATCATATACATATATCAATCCTTGGATGAATATATGTTATGATATATATATATATATATATATATATATATATATATATATATATTTGCCATCTATTATATTAATATTAACAACAAGTAAAGCTGGGCTATTGATTATTAAATTCTAGTAAAATATATTAATGGATTAATAAAAACGCATATTTTGGAATAGAAATTCTTTCACGTTAGTAAGAAAAAAGTTCTCACTATCGTGAATATATTAAATATATATCTCGTAAAAAATTTCCGTTTTAATTAGATGGTATAACAATTTCGACGAAAAGAAAGTACACACAAAACACGGAAAAATTATAAGTATAATATATTATAATAGGAATAAAGAAAGTTGCAATTGAACTGAATGACGAAAAAATTTTGATTTCTCGGTCAGAATCGTTCTGTGAATCACACAGGATCAATTTTTTTTATCTATGGCATAAAAATAATATTGTATTTGGTATCTTTTATTCCCACACTTTTTTATAACGTTTAACACACAGAAACACATAATTTGGACAAATGAAAAATGTACACAGGATCTACAACGCTAGAACGCAGAAGTTGTATTGATATTTTCATTTTCTTTCTTTTTAACAGCTGTGTTTTATATTACAGAGTGTTCTTTCTTCTTTCCCTAATTCTCCCTCTTTCTCTCCTCTTTTTCTTTCTTTCCTTTTTTCTCTTTTTTTCTCTTTCCTCTCGAAATAATTTCATTCCGTTAGATAATAGTGTATAGGTATTGTCGCGTTTTACTTTAAATCTTGACACTCCCGGCCATTTATACACTAACGATAAATTGGAACAGTTATATGAACAAACAGCGAATCAAATAATCTCGAAGCGACGGTAACTGGACATACATACACATACATACACACACACATACACACACAAACACACCCACAGCATTCACACACATACATCACTGATGTGTCTTCTATTTTCGGCACGATCACAGAAAACCTAAATTTATATAGGTACAATATATAATTCATCTTGCCAACGATATTCAATCGCAATGTAATGATTTTATGGAATAATAAAAAAAGTTATAAATTGAATATGAGAGATGAAATATATTGGTAAAAGCATACTCTACATCAGTTGTCACATATGAGAGAAGAGAAATCATGAGCGAACGTAAATAACATTCTGAAGGATAAAAGTTATAAAAAATTCAAACATAAGAAATCTAAAGATACGTTTTTGCCATATCTTTTTAATCTACATATTATATAATTTCTTTTAGAAAAACTAGAGATCATAAATACTAAAATTGTTCTATTAATAATCGATAATAGATTTAACAATTTAGAACGCATAAATATTTTTTAATTATAAAGAAAAGTCGGTATATATATATATATATATATATATATATATATATATATATATACATATTTACCAAAAGAATTAATAATTGAGAAGATATACACATATATATAATATGGAAAATAATTAAAAAAAAATAAATGCATAATACATATATAACAATATTTAAAAATCTAATATACAATTTCGCGTGCGCGCATAAAATGTACTAAAAAATCATTTAATTGTCAGATTAAAGAAATTATAGATGGAAGAAAAATTTAAAAAAATTAAATAAAATTTTTATGAAAAATCACAGGGGTAAATGAGTATATCGACATATAAAAGCAAGTTTATTATTCTTACCTCCTGCTTGGATTTAACTGAAACTAGCTCTAGAATGATCCTCTTCCTGGAAGGCGCGTTATATTCGATCGTTAATTGATCTTTAAAAATATAATTGTGTTTTTACCGGCCATGATCGAATGAAGTTTTTCTTCTCGGAAAAATAGTGTCTTCTTTATATTCACGCGTGCAGCATTAATGATGCATAATAATAAACAAAAGAAACTGAAATACCCGATTCATTCATTGCCAAATATTAATTCGTAGAAATGCCGATGTGTGTTTATACAGTATGAGAATTTTCACGATCGAAGTAATCCGGTGATTTAAAAGTATAGCAAAAAAACTATCATTAATTCTCTTCTTCATTACTTCCTTGATAACTTCAATTCAACTACGCAGTGTATTTTTTATTCGATACTGTACAATGTTCAAAGCGCAGCATCATGATCGCATATTCGCCATTATTAATTAAGAATACGTCGACGGTTAAGATATGACGTACAGCTATGTGTTTATAAGTTTGTGAACATAGAATGATCGTTTAATCATTATATAACTCGGGTTGTTTGTGTGCGGCCACTTAGCCCGACAACTTGGAAGAATTTCTCATTCGTCGATCGGTCTTTCGCTTTTTTATAATTTGATGTTCACACTCTAGCAACTCGTGGTCCCCAATTTTTATTCTCGTCATCAATTAATTAAATAATTAGCGTTAAATAGCAAATGTCCGCGCTAATTAAAATAATTTGGAAAGAAATAAGAAGCAGAGAGATAACTTTCATTTTATATATACATATATATATATATATATATATATATATATATATTTCTGCCAATTAACGCTAACGATATGAACGATAATTAGATTATTCGATAATTGCGGAAGATTGATATTTTCGAGATTATTATAATGCCTCTTTTTTTTTCCTAAAATAAACGAAAACACAAAATCGACTCGATATATCCTGCCGATCGACATAATGAAAAGCTCTTCTCTTTCTTCCGGTAAACTTGATCGCGTTTTTTCGGAAGTTACGGCGAAACCGCGAGAAACTCGCGGACATCGCACGTCGGGACGGGATCGGAAGAAGGAATAATTGCGGAGGATTACGATCTCTCGGAAAGATGATCGCTTATCGTCTCTCGAAATTATTGCTTAAATCAAGCAGTAGCAGCAGCACCGAAACTAGGAAAGATCGAACGGAAGAAAATAGGGAACCGGGGAAGATCGAACGACGATCTTGAATTCGTCGACGAATGATCGATGTGTCGCGTACGATATATCATCGTCATGAATGTACGTCTTATCTCGCGGATAAACAATAAAAAGATAATCGAGGGTTTGGAGCCTAAACCCCTAGTATCCTCTTTCGAATCAGAGAACAATATCCGCTTTTTTTCGGCGTTATTGCATCCGCGAAGCATGAAAATCGCCTCCTCATTGTCACCAAGATGATCATTAGTGTGTGTTTATTATTATTATTATTATTATTATTTTATTATTATTATTATTATTAATATTATCATTATTATCATCATCGTAATCATCATTATTATTAACATGTATACATAACATCTTGTAGATAATTTTTCTTTAAGCCTTAAAACATTACCTATAGCTGCTGGTATATACTCCTTTATATACGAGGCGTTCCTCTCTTCCACACTCCCTCTTCGTCTATTTTCATTCTTCTATTCCCTCTTCTCTGCTACATTTTCTTTCATTATTATTTTTTTTTTAAATTCTCTGTACACTGATTGTGTGCTCGAAAACATTCATCACCGTCTTCGACGAAGGCAGGCGACGATCGCAATATTTTCCTCTCCATCCCATCCACCATCTCTCTTCACCCGTTTGTTCTTCGTATAATTCGCGAAAAGCGCAAGATGCAAAAGATAAAGGAACAAAGGACGCGTGTGATTTTCTTCGATATAATCAGAGCGGATTGATCATACATAATTCGATAAATGGCGCGTGAGGGACAAATGACATATTATTTACAGTTTACGTGATTTACATATACGTGTCTATAAAGTAAATGTTTCGATATACATCGTGAACGCTTACTCGTTCATGTGTGCGCGAACATGCACTACAGCAACTGCCTTCGCCGGAGAGGTTTTATGTGGTGATTTTTTTTTATTTTTTACGAACACCCTCTGTCTCTTTTTCTCTTTCTATACATACATATATATATCTCCTATATATTTATATATTATATGTCTCGCTGCTGCAACGAATTTTTTCCTCTTTCTTTCGCAAACATTTCGTGCTTGTTTTTACACAATAATCGTCCCTTTTTGTCTTAATATTTTTTTATCTCTTTCCATTTTTCTCGGACAGTTCTGATTAACAAAGATGGATGAAGGAAAGCGTGATGAACGTATTTGGTCGATCAATCAACCATATTTAACCGCGAACTAGTTCCGCTGCGATAATATCGCTCGTCGAGTAAAATTTCCGTGATCACTTTTAAAGGATGCATAGCTCAATTTTGCATTTGCCGAGAGATAAATCAACATCTTTCGTATATATAATGCATTATTACAAAATAATATCAAAACCACAATAATAACGAAATTGCTACAATTACGAAATAGTAAAATTTGATAATAATGCAAATCCTGACAGGATTTAAATGATCGTGCGCGACCTTCGTCCATAATGCAAGATACACAATCGGTTCGATATAGATTCTTCTGCTCGATCAAAGAAAGAAAAAATGAAGACAAAGAGTAACAGGAAGAAGTTTCATCGCGACAGTTCTCTTCGTCGTTCCCGCTCGGTTTAACGTTCTCCGCTTTTGATCATCCTTCCTCCTCTCCCGCGATGAATTCCAAGGCCGACGATCGATCGATCGATTTTCGCGCGTAATCGATCCGTCGTTACGTCGCGAAGAACTTCGGCAGAGCTTGTCAACGGCTCATCACAATTTCCGTTCTCACGAGATCATATTATTCACCCTATCTATATCTTTTCGTGTCTAAAAAAACTATCTTCTCTTCTCGATCACCCTCTTCAACCGCCGAACGCTAATTCTTCCTTTTCTTCTTCTTTTATATCTCCTCTCCTCCTTTCTTTTTGTTGTTGTTGTGGTTGTTGCTGTTGCGTTATTTTACTTTAGCTCTCACTCTCGCGCGCTCAATTTTGCGTATTGCTGCCGCCGGTGACGCTCGCTGAAAACAATAACAAGATTTGTTCTCCTCCATTGGGTCAGGGACGGCGATGGTTCAGCCATGCCGTGTTGCTCTTAATCTCCTTCTCTTCGGATTTTAATCTGTGTTTTTCTGCTCTTTTTTATTTCTTCTTCTTTGTCTTTACTTCGCACCTTTTCGCATGCAAAAACTTGCGATCGAATCATGCTTGTCGTAGACAAATGTTTTTAAATTTAGTTAAAAGGATACTTGTATATAATTGAAAAATTATCTTTGCAATAAAACATTTTTTACATTAACTGGAAAAAGTTTCATAATTATCAAGAATAATTGATGTACGTATAATTTATATGTTATATATACAATTGTCTACGACAAAGCGTTTTGTAAACTAAGATCATTCGCAGTTTGAAGCCACATGACAGCCCGTTAGCCATAAATATATGCATAAGGACGATTTGCATGCAAGTAGGTAAAGAAACATAGATGCAATGTATACACGGGTCGCACACCCATTTATCAATTTTTTTTGCAAAAATAATTAACAATAGCATTACTTTTGCCAGAAGTTCCGTTCAAAGGATCTTTTTTTAATATATGTATAATAGCTATGTAAGCCCATGGAAAATGTCGTCGCAATTTATAGGAAATTCTGGCTAAATTTTTGGAAATTTGCATTAAAAGCTTTCATCACTTTGCATAATGTATAAGCCATGCAATACTATCGAGATATTGGTTTTTTAATCGAGGGAGAAATAATCGAGAATAAATCGATATAGAACATGCTCCATAATAAGAGGTCAAGCACGAAGCGCGAAGATCGTCCCAGAAACATTTATACCGTTGAGTTATATCTATATTAAAATGCATTATTAGAATATTTATTTCCTGAGGATACGGTGTATGAGTTTCACGCTGTACTATAAGTTGAAAAATATGTTATTTGAAGAAAGTAAAACGAAGAATGTAAAGAGATAGAGAGAAACATGCAGAATGGAATATGCATAAATGTATCGTTTTATTATTAATATATATAATATATATAATTGATTAATTTATTAATATATCATATCTAAAAATAAAAGTTATAAAATTAAATATATATATATATATATATATATATATATATATATATATATATATATATATATAGATTTGAATCATATTAGAATCATTATACCTATACAATATAACTTTATGATGTAATTATAAAAAAGACATAAAAATGTATTTTCTATATAATATAATACATATTATTTTAAACAAAATTACATACAACTTTTTTTGTATGTAAAGATGAATAAGTAAAAAAAAAAAATAAGTAAGTGCTTAAAGAAGATTGAAATTGCATTTCGGCGGAAGAATAGAGAGAAAAAGATAGATAAGTCATATATCGGGTGCAACAATAAAATCATAGCTTACCGTACTGGAGAGTAGAATAGGATTAAATAAAAACTTTTGAGAGAGACCTTTTTTGTTGTAGTTGTTGTAGTTGTAGTTGTTTGATAATTCTTACTGTTGTCGATATTGTGGCTGTTGTTGATGTTGTCGTTTGTCGTTGTAGTGTTTTCATTTCTTGTGTTTTCATTTCTTGGTGGTATTTTGTATCGGTTCTTTATTTCTGTCGCAGAGCCGCGAATCACAATTTTTGAAGCTTCACGTTCATTAGGTCGTTTCACGTTATTTACACACTTTTTCGTGTTTTCTTTTTCTTTGTTATAATTGTGACCACCAGAAAATTGAAAATCACTGCCTGGGACTAACTTCAGAAAGAGGATACCACCGAAAGTACAGACAGACACATAACAACGATTACAGTCGTAACACAGACACACAACAGGGTAAGGTATGATTGGTATCTCGGAAAAGTGTGTCTTCCTCGTTAAAACGCGAATATTTCATTCATTGGTGTTTTTTAAAGAAATCGATGACTCGTTTCAATATAATATTAACTGCATATGTACAGAATACATATTTAAATTAAACCAACAATAAATCACTGATAGTTATCTCAGGTTGAAATTATAGATTTATAATAGCGAGTTTCTCGTCTCTGTGTAGATTTTAAAGAGACGGAGTGAAAATATGGGATAAAATAGAAGAGATTCCTAGTAGAAAAATATATAATAACTTTTACAAATTGCTTAGACTTCACGTTGACTTGTACGTTGTGTTGTGATAAGAAAAAGATCGTGAAAAAGTGGATGTTGTCGAAAATTTATGAAGATGCGCGGTATATTACCACGATATTTTTAACTGGAGAGCACTTCCCAATTAATAAGGTCGGTAGTTTATAAATATGCAACGACTCAGAGTAGTTGAGGAGAGCGGGAACAACAACGATTCTTATATAGAAAATACACGTAGCAACAGATAAATCAGCAAGTACCTATCACACAGGCAAACACAATATAACATCGACTAGAAGTGCCAGTTTTATAAATACACAAGTGTATCTATACAGAATTTCTCACAAAAAAGTTTGATAACAATAATAAAATATAATAATATAATGATAATATTGTTATAACATTGTGTTATATTTTATTATCACATTTTATTATCATTTATTAATGTTATTTATATTATATTTTAAGTAATAATAATTTTATTATATAAATTGGAATATTATTATTAAACAAACCATCTGTTTAATTCTTTATAAAACTGGCGATACTTGACATACGTGACATTATCAAAATTAAGAAATATTCTGAAAGCTCTGGGTGAGTGGAGTTTCAGTGTCGGATGATAAACAACGAGAACGAAATCGGAAAGTCGTACAGATTCAGGGGGTGTACATTTTCTACGACAAGTAAAAAAGAGGTACGAGAAACGAGGTGAGAAACAACAATGATACGCAATGTCGCAATTGTTTTGCTTTCTACCTTCAGACTCACTCACACACAAATCTCTTCCACCAATCAGCGTTTACATGAAGTTCGCTAGACGGAAAAAGAGAAATACATACATTTCACACATGTTAGATGATGAATGAACAAAAGGAAGATAGAGTGACATCATTTTTTTTTTTTTAGATAGCTCACACCGTGTAGCGATGTTTTTCTCGCTCATTTTATATCCCCCGCATGATTTAAAAACTCATTTTTGTATTATAAAAATAATATTTTCATTTTTACCGAAATAGAACTTTAATAGACTTGAGAATTGTTGAATTCAGAAATAGAAAGGAAACGTTCGCGATTAATATGATGGTTTTTAAAAAAAATCCATGAAAAAATGGATTGAGATCAAGTCGACGTAATTCAAGCAAAGCACGATAGACAATTTGTTTCGGCATATTTCTTCGAGAAATCTCGAGAGATCCTCTAAGAGGATTTCTCAAAGGCTATGCAAACTCGCGCGGACAACACTTTGCTCGTCACATCGCGTCGTTTTTTTTCGCATCGTGCAAACACACGTTTGTAGATGTCTCCTTAGCACAAAGGATATAGATCGACAGAGAGACATTAATTAAGAACGACTGATTCAGATGCGAAACACGAATGAAGATCGTAATACTTGAAGAAGTTAGTCTAACTACGGTAGAAGATTCAGGTATTTGTTCGTATCGTGAAAAATTTTTTAAATTATTTGAAAATAATTTCTAATAATATAATCTATCTAAGTAATATTCAGTTACTTAAATCGCGACGAATAGTCGACACTTCCACCATATCAGAGTAAACGCGCGTTAAAGAGAATAGTACTGAATTAGTCGCTTGAAATCGGGACGAGATATACATCGACGAGATGGCACAGAACATTTAAACAGTTACAGTGGCAGTGTTGACAGCCGTTAAACGTCAGTGCGTTAGTGAGACACTTACCGACAATAATGGCCAGTACGATGAGTCCGATGACACCCATGATGATCATCATCTATTAAGAAAAAAAGAGACAGTCATTATTAAATTTAAAAAAAATTCAAGCATCGTGATAATATTTCTCGATTTCTAGAACGTAATGCGCACCTTTAGATTCTGTAGCCAAAACTTTCTCTTCAATTTTCCTGCTTGCTGTTCAAATTGTGACGCTCCTTGTTGAAGTGCATCTGCAAAAATTAATTATACGAACGTATGACATTGCAAATTATTATTTTAGAACATTTTTTGATGTGTAATTTCTTTAAAGAGAAATAAAAATTCTATTCGTACACGAATAATTCGAAGCACGAAATATACATTTGCGCAATAAATATATACGGATTGCGTGAGAAAAGATCGACCGGCCACATAACGTAGCATCGATTCGAGTGTGTCACAGTAATCGATATCAACGTATAGTCAGACGCGCAGGGTCGAACTACTTTGCTATGAATGGAAGATGTAGCCTTCACGCGGATATACCTTCTGTTTGAATAAAAGATAAAAACATATAATGAACATGAATAATATAACATCATAACTCATATACTACGCGTGTAAAATAAATTAAAATGAAATGCGTAAATCCATAGTTCATTTGTACGTTATAAAACCTTATATTTTCCGGTTCTTATTTAATATCTTTTATGTACAAAGAGCAATGTACATTATTTCATTCTCTTTTAAAATCTTCATTAATCTCTCAACGTGTGATAAATTATATCTGGCATGAATGAGTGTATTTGTAGATATACAGAAACGGTAAATAATGAAGTGACGTGTATAATAATTAATGAGTATATAACGCGCTAGGGTAATAAACACATACAAATAACAAAACATAAAATGTAATATAATCACAAAATAAATTATTCGGCGCAATTTTAGGCTCCGATTTCAAAAATTCATTGAATTCAATGAAACTTCTGGCAATCAGGAGCGACGAGGATCGCTATTGCTTCCCTTTCTCTCTCTCTCGCGAAATTCTTTTATTATCGCAGATATCTCACCTGCTCGATCGTCGAGCTCGGAGAGCTTTTGATCGCGTTCGAGGACTTTCTCGACGTTCGTCTTCATGATGTCGACGACCTCGTCGACTTGCGCTTGCGTCGCCTGCAGCCGCTTCTGCGAGGCGATCTGCTGGGGCGTCCTGGGGCCGCCGACGATGCCATCGGTGCCCGCTCCTGCACCTGCAGCCGCATCCGGTGCTAAACCGCCCTCCGTAGCCCTAGGGAAAAAAGCACGGTTTCTCAAAAATGATGATTGCTATACACTATTGCTTATTATATGTATAGTGTAATTAATATGTATATATTAATATTATATATATTAATATATTATATACTAAATAAATAGTATTATATATTGTGTATATAAATATTAATTAAATATTTAATACATAAATATTAATATTAATACTCGAGTTATTACAAACAAACGCGTCACTTTTATGTAAATGTATTAATTGTAGTTTGCGAGAAAATACTATATATAGTAATACAAAGATGTTAATATATAATTGTTTCAATCAAATCTAATAATTCGAAAAAAATAATAATAAAGTAAAATAGAATAATAATATCTTAAATACAAATATTATTTCCAAAGTTGAATGTGTAAGATGCGCGTTAAAAAGTACAGCTATCGTATAAAATGCTATTGAGAAATCATATATTTATTAAATGCACAATATTTTTCAATGCATTTTGTACAAGCCGTGAGATTTATTTGCATTTTTCAGAACGCGCAACGTGCGTGTTTTCGTCCGACGGTTTTAAAAACATGAAATAAACACGTAATAGATATGTATAGGGTCCCGGGACACGCGAGCCAGGAATTATAGTATCATCATTGCACCATGGTGCTGGATGCTGCGTGAGATTTTCCCCATATCGAGCTGCGGGTGGAAACTTGTGTGAAAGGGCAAAGTTCGTGACACGATTTCGCCATTCACGCCGTTTAATGGCAAAAACTCGATGCGTATTACCTACGCATTTTCCGCCTACTGCTTTCTAAGAAGGATATAATGACGACCATGGTAAACGTGAACATCTGGGTGGAGGCGCATCGGGTGCGTCATTAAAAGACGGTGACTTTCTCGAGATAGCGGATAGCGAGTGAAAGGTCATTGATAAGGTCGGCTACTTGTGTGTAGCCTCTGGAGATTGTAATTTATAGCACGTGCACACAAATATTCAAACAATTGCAATTACCTGTTGTGAGTCAATATATATGTGAGACCTCAGCTATAATCACGGATAAATTCATAAAAAGAGAATTTAATTGTACATATTTTTCATTAAGCATGTCCTAAAATTATTCGTGAAATATAGGAGAATGTATTTACACATCGCACAATTTTTTTCAAATAATTTCATACAATTTTATAAAGCACACTTTGTAACATTTTTAAATGCAAAATTAAATTATAGTATTTTTTCTGTAAAATGAAATTGTGTCTCAAAAAGAATTGGATATGCGCAAATAATCTCTTTTCTCACTGTATATATGGAAATGTGCTGCATATAGGGATTTGGAAACTATATGTTATATAGATATTCGTGTAACATAGTTGTGCCGCATATCTTATTTTTACAGGATTTCCGACTTTGAATCATCTGACCTTTTGCACAGAGCGAGACCTTTTCAGGAACTGCTGCGAGTACAATGTCAATTTAATTACCCAACAACTTATGCGCGTACTGACTGAGATAATTTAGTTTTCCGTTTCTTTCTCAACGTAGCATATTCTGCATTGTAATCTCCGTGTATTCGTTAAATATATATTCTTCCAGTTAATCATGCAATTCTCAACGAGAATAAAAATTGCATTTTGCACAATATTAACAATGCGAATAATAATGGCAACAGTCATTAGCGCTTAATAGTAAAACCTATTAATTAGATACTTTATTAGAAAAAATTGCGTGTGATTACGACAAAATATTCGATTTATATATTACATAGGAAATTAATTTCCGTTATGGAAAAAAAGGTTTCTTAATTATCGGATTTTGTAGAATTGGCGATAATCTGATGATTCGAGAAACTCGCTGGTTGTAGAGCAAATTAAAAAGCGGTCGGCGATGGGTTTTATTTTTGGCCAGATGCGATCGAACGACCGAACTGGCAACAGACGATCGATCGACTATTCGAATAACGCCGGCGGAATAGTTAAACATAGAGAAGTGTCGTACGTGCCTATTCTCTGTATTATTTTCATTGAGATGTCGGACGCAAACATCGACGGAATATTCGGCCGTGTCTGGCATTCATCGTGATATTTCGATGACAATTACAGTTGATGCATTTTACATCGACAATATAATCACTCAACTATCATATTGGAGTAATTATAATACTTAAATAATTAACTAAAAGATAAAAAGATATACGTCATTTTTTGTAATATTTCTATTGAAATTATTAATGTAACTGAACTGTTCGACATTTATTGAAGAATGATAATTTTTTTGTTTATGCAATTTGAAAATTTCTACTTATTATTGTAACAGTTGCTTCAATAATAATTATTTAACATTAAATTGATTTGTTTGGAAAAAACAGGAATAAGCTTCTTGATTTATCAAAATGTTTTTCCGCTGTCTCTATTCTTTATTTTATTACAATATATTTTATATATAGATACTTGAAAGCTATTTGTCGAATTATTTTCCGACTGCTGCAGTTGTGTGCATCGCGCGTAAAAATATAAGAATTATTCACCCTATGACGTAAAATAGGACACATAATGGAATTAAATACATCGATCGTGCGGATACTGCGTCTTTATCCTTCGGTTATTGGATTAATAGAGATGACGATGAACGATTCATAATTACGGGATTCGCGTAAAAATATTATATTTAAAATCTTTATTTCTCATTTATAGCGATTGATTTAAAAGGTCTCATCAAGTACATATCGTTTAGGACAAAATAACGTTGTTATCTCTAAATAAATTAGAATATTAACGATATATAGTCCAGCACAATTAATTGACTTTTATCGTAGCGAATTAATACATCAAATTACTTATTCTAAAATGATCGATTTAATTTTGTATACAATTAATAACTTGAATATCTCTCATTTACACAATTTCTAAATAATTTTAAAAATAATGCTTGTTCAAAGAGAAAACAATAACTTCTCATGAAATTATCTCTAGAAACTTTCAAGTAAATTGCGAGTGATATATCGCGGTAGTTAGACTGCTGCGCCTTAAAGATTCCGTCTTTGATCGATGCACAAACAATCCGCCAAATGGTTCATTGTTCGCCATACGCGTCACAACGTTACGTACGAACCTTTCCGTCCAGCAAAGCCGTAGAACATTGCCGTAAATGTGCTCATCATTGATTATCTAAATATAGAAACTGCGAGCTGACATGTAGTAGCAGTGCCGCGCGTTTCGCGCGATTGATCTCAACTATATATGTGTATATATATAATATATATTATATTAGATTCTTAGACGATCTTGCATCAAACGCGCAAAATGCGTTAAAAAAAATGTCTACTGAATCGCGACAAAGAAGCGGAGAATTCTTTGCACGGACAGATAACAGGCATGATAACGCTTTCTAATCTCTGTTGCAACCCGTCGCGAATGCGAAACAATCCGAAATTATCATGTGTCCTTCAAAAAGATCGAGCCACCCTCCACTCTCTGCTTCCCTCTCTCTCTCTCTCTTTCTTGCGTTTGTCGGCAATGTGTGGGTGCCGTATCGATGGACAATGCTTGAATCATCCTACGTCTCCCCATCGAGAGATTGTTCAAGATCGTGAAATACTCGAGCACGTAATAACGATACAATATTTACAAATATGTTATCTCGATTGATCGAACGAATATAATATCTATAATATCTTGAGCTAGAGTGGAGATAAAAATAACAAGGAAATGTGCGAAGAATTGAGGAAAGTTAGAGAAATTAAAATTAGTTTTCAAAATTATAATTAACGTATAATAGTAATAAATAACGTTAAAGTATATACTAATTAGTATAACACAATAAATGTTAAAAAATTTCGAAACGCGAAAGAAATTTAATTAATATATGTAGAGGTGAGAAAAATTGTTCATGTGACATGTCAATATTTTTCCACGATCGACTTTTGCTTTCCGAATAAAAAAATGCATTACATTGAATGAAATATGGATGTGTTATCGCGCACAATTGACCTCAAATTAATATCAAACTATGCACCGAAGATTAAGATCGAGAAAATGCTCAAATGAGAATTAAAATTTGACGAATCAAAGGACAAAGAAATATTAGTTCCTTTCGTACTTATAGGTCAAATTCTAATCTCTCTGTCTCTTTAATCCTCGATTTTTAAATCCGACGCGGACTTGAAAAATTGAAAGGGTCACAGGACGCCTCTCGAATTATGTCTCTCTCGACGAAATCGAGACCGCGTATATATATAACGATGAGGCTTCTCGAAGCTCCGTTGCACTCTCTATCGGAAATTCTGTCGTGTAGCCGCGGATGGACGGGTCGTGCGAGGAGGATCGATTGGCGGCGACAAGAGCCCTCGGCAATTGCGTCTTAAAACGCATCTTACAAAACGCGGTGGCGATATATTTCTCACCCTCCCCACGAGAATCTTGCGCGATATACTTCGGCGGTTTTGCGCACTCATACATCCGCGAAAAGTCATCGATCGCCGCTCCCCGCCGATGCCTTTCGCGTGTAAATCGCGATGAGCGATTTAGAGCACGAAGTATAGAGCATATAGTCCCTCCATAATCGCTCATTGATCTACTTTATACACGTTGAACGCGTTACAGTTTACGGAAAGGCGATATGCGGCCGTTTACGCAAGTGCTTTCGTGATTTTCGTTAACCAGAAGAAATAAATATATTCACTCTCGATGTAGCTCGACGAAACAATCGCCATTTGTATTATCGGTCGAACGCGAGAGGCAGAAACTGTAGGGAACACACGATACCGTCTTCCTAATTCCGAAACTTATATATATATGACGACCTGGTCTGTCAGGAAACTATCGTTAATATATACGTCCATACTTCGACACCATCCTGATTAATATCATATTCCATATCTGCAACTCTCGATTACGTATCCTTAGGTAAATATTTCACTCGTCCGTCTGGAAGTAGAATCCGAGAGTTGCGTTTCGCGATTACTGAACATTTGTCACGTCACGACGAGGCGCGGACGATCGGGTGTACGTTTGACATATCACATTCGACATTCTCCGGGAATTCTCCTTGGCTCGGCTCCGGTTGAGATCGGTTGAGACGGCGTCGAGACATTTCCACGCGCGTATATTATCACGTGTACTCACATGCTCGTAGTAGTCGATCGCCTCGGGCTCTCTCTGTTCCGGCAATCCTCGTCGGTTAATCGGTCGGACTCTCGGCGTCAACCCCCGGCGCGTAACTTTTCGCGAGCGACTGCCACAGCGAGACTAGATGGCCGCCGCGGTATTGATAAAATTTCCAGCGACACGCCGCCGCGCCACGATATCGCCGGCGCGCGCGCTTCGGCGATATATCTCGATATCGTCTACCCTCGAACTCTCCCTGTCGCCTATGCTGTCAGGAATCGTAAATCCGCGACGCCGATTACATACGCTCGCGATCGGCGAGGAAAAATCGCGAGGGAATCGGCGATCGCGCGCCGATCGTTTGACAGCTGGGAGGGGACACGTGGCAAATGACAGCTGGATTCGCGGCTGGAGACGCGGCGTTTGAAAGCGCGAGGATCGATCTCTCGAGAAGCGACAGGGTCGACGGACGGTTCTCCAACCCTCTTCGACCGCGCACGCGCGACCGATTTTAGTCAATACGACGGTCCCGATGCCGTTTCGCAACCCCCATGCGCGAACACACCCTACGCCGCCGCCAGGAACGTATGTATGGATCTCCTTCCCTTCGTTTCGCTTCGATATATATATCCGAGGAAAATTGACCGACAAGATTTGCGAAGGTGCAGATTTTAGGAAAAATTTATTAATCATATTTTAGTCTGACATTATAGGTTTCCACCGCGGAATTGCATCTCTAAAGGATGTAATGATGCAGTCATTTCGATGATTCTCTATCGAAACAAATTGACATACTTATTACTTTTTTTTATTCTAGAATCATTGTCAGCACGAGCATCCACCCCTTGGAATTAATAAAAATTAAGAATTTGCTTTTCTTTTGAATAAACACTGGAATTTATTTGCGTATTTAATATCAAATAATGAAAACGATAAAATAGCAAGATAAGTAAAATTTTAAAAATTATTAAGAAGGATCAAAAAATAAAAAGAAATTTAATTATGTTCCCTCATGGATAAAAATCTGCGGACGGATAAAGTAAACAAATTTCACACCGGTTTTCAGATTTTCTACGATATAATAATATGTCATATTTTATACAAATTGACCATTACTTAAAATATAAATTTAACCTAACCACAGAAAAATGATAAATATTAATTACAATGATACGTGTCGAAATAATTAAATTTCAAATGTTCCCGCATCCAAGACGAATAAATGTCGGGTAGAAAAATAGGAGGGTGTATCGTGATTTGATCGCGCTTTCGATACATCGCGAAATCGCGCATTTGGCGTACGTTCCTGGCGACGCGGTGCAAATACGCGCACGTGCGCAAATCCGCAAGATGTTTTATTTATGCCCTCGTCTCTCTTGCGCGATTTTCTTCGTGAGTCACGTCGGTGTCGGTGAATGACGGCTCGCGGCCAAAATGCTTCTGCGATATTGCTCGTACGCTCGATTATGGCAGCTCCTAGCGGTAAGTGCGATCGTAGCTTTTTTTACGACAATAGCTTTTTTGTATATACTGTCTGCGTCATCATCGTGAAATAATCTTTTCGCGCGAGCTCGTTTAACTTTATTTTCCGGTCGACAAAGATGGCCGTTTGATGAAACGTCATTGTAATTGTCATTTCGCAAAATTGAAACTCCGAGGCGACATTCAACTATAATATTCGATTTAATTACTCACAAAATTTGTCACAAAATTCTATTTGATAATTTTTTTTCTATGCTTATTTAATTCTCGTTTATGCAAATGTGCACGATTGTATTATACCGAAAAATTCTTCCATTGACTTAAAATATAACAATAGCTAGGGGAAATAAAGACTATGAAATATTCATGTAACAAATATTGCGGAATATTGAAACTATAATTTTTTAATAACAATAATTTGCTTAATAAGCTTTATTATATTTTATGCCTAATTAAATACAGTGATCGAAATTTCCATAGTTCCACGTTAATATTACAAAAGATATATTACGTGGAATCATAGAAATTTCGAGCACTGTATTTATATTTATGCTTAAATTTAATAATAATTAATTCTATCATCTATATATTGAATATAATTTAATTATTTTAGTTACGTTTATGTATTTTAATTTTTATTTGGTATTATTAAATTAATTATCGAAATGTGGATAAATGATTTTAGTAGACTATCGCTTTTATCGACATAGATATTTGAATCATTGTTAGATGGCGCGAAGAAGCAGTATTTTGACAAACTGTTATTCATCGTGACAGCGTACCACATTTTACGACTAATAAGTTATTATAAGCTGTATACACTGTGTGGTCGTGTGAAAAGAAACGATTCTCTATTCAACCGTACATTTTACTATTCCATCTTTGGTAAGCTCGTTTTTTTAAATACCCGTGACGTCATAATTATCGCCATCTTCAGCCTCTGTCATTTTCACTGTTGTCTCTGTAAATTGTAGTCGTCATCGCAGTAATTTGTGAAGTATTCGTTGCGTCTGTAGATCTTGTCGATTATTCTTGATTTATTCTTGTATTTGATATCTTTAGGTAAGTGAGAAACAAGTGTGTATACAATATTGAAATTATCGTAGTATCGCCTTAGGTATTTTACTGATGACTAAACTATGGTTTTATTTTCTATAATTGTATATGTTTCGTTTTTTCATCTATATATATACACATATAAAAATTTCTTTGTGCAAGAATTTATTAGTGAAAGAGCGATAAATATTTGGCAGATCAGATGTGTAAATAAAGATTGTTTCAGAAACATATGCATGTATAATTTTCGAGGTTATGGGCGTGTGCCCATTATTTTTCAATAACATAATTTCTTCACAAATTATTGGATAAAATATAAAAGTATATTTTACATTAGTTTATATAGTCCAAAATAATCTACATCGTAATAAACTGACAAATATTTGTAGGTTGAGGATGAGAGGCTAATCGCAAAACATATTTTTGTTCCAGGATTATGGAAGGTGGCGGTGCAGGAGAAGGAGAAATGGGTGGCCCGCGCAACACTCAGCAAGCGGGTGCAAGCAAAAAGTTGCAGCAAACACAAGCAACAGTGGACGAAGTTGTAGGTATAATGAAGGTTAACGTGGAGAAAGTGCTGGAGCGAGATCAGAAGCTCTCAGAACTTGAGAATCGTGCTGATGCTCTGCAGCAAGGTGCAACACAGTTTGAACAGCACGCAGGAAAACTGAAGCGAAAATACTGGTGGAAGAATCTCAAAATGATGATTATCATTGGTATTATCTGTGTTGTCATCTTGATCATCATCATTGGTAAGTACATGTACGATATTGGTGAGTACAACACGTTTATTGATCTGATGATCTTTTAACTATATATTCTTTTTCAATTTTTGCGATAGCTTCGGTTGTACCAAGTTCGTCTTCGGACAGCTCTGATAATTCTCCAAAATGATAGCATTGTACCAAAGGGTGGACTGTGTTGTTCCGATCAACCATCCTCTCTCTTAGGATAAGTTATACATTCGGTGATTTGTAGGGGGACTGTAAAGCGCTAGATGAAACGTAATTGTGAACTATATGTTTATGTAATGTTGTGTCATGTTGTCTACACATATATGTAAAATTGGGATCAAAGAGCATATTTTTGAGATTTAATATTATATCGAAACGTACGCACAATTACTAAACTAATAACAATCAGTATTAACATAAGAGTGTGGCCTTATCTTTTTTAAACAAATTTAAACAACATCTCTGGTGTTTTTACAACGTTAATCTTGTTACAACGATGCTTATTATAAATTTATTGATATAGAATATATATAATGTTTGTACTCTTTTCGACCGAGTCTGTCAATATCGATACTCTTCCAGACTTCTCCATCCGTTCCATCCCCTATATACAGTAAAATTGAATCTGATTCAAGTGATAATTTTTCATAAAATGATTATATTCTACATAATACATAAATTTTCTTCGGAAACAGCACTACGTATTGGATTCATTAGAAATATTAAATATGAGTCATCTCTCATTACACAGCGTCGTAAAAACGAGCGTACTAGTAAACAACAATACTAATAAAAGTCGCGTATTTTATCGCACATTTTTATTCGAATTCGTCCCCTCTCGAAATCTGTTCGATTAAATATGCAGAAAATTCCAATTATTCATAAATATTTATATCTCGACGCGTTCTTCCGCTTGACAGTCCAAAGTAACATCAATTTCAATTCGGCAAAAATCGTGTCTAGATATATTCTATTCGATAAGCCGATCATTCGTTAAAATCGAAAAATCAAGGTTGATTTCGAGGAAAAAAGTTAATGAAGGAAGCTGACGTTTACTTACTCGAAGCAGTGTCGTTGTTGAGTGTAAAAAAAAAAAATTATAATGCAGGCACGCGATAAGTAGTATGCATAGATAAATAGAAAATCTTTAATGAATACCTTGTAAGTAGCATAATTCATATTGAATATGAGAAAACATTTCATTATTTTTAACAACATAATATAAATTCTACAGAACTTGAATGTTATTACACATACGCTCTATTTTTATGCGAATGTATATTTAAAATACAAAAGAAACTACACTGCACTGAAAAAAAAATTAAATTAATAAATATTTATTTCAATACTGCCTAATAAATTTGAAACAAATAAATATTTCTTTGTTTTGAAAAGGATTTTCTTATAGGTATCAAATATTTTTCACATCAAATTAATATTATTAGTTTCAAATAAATGATTTATTTGGCAGTATTGAAATAAATATTCGAATTCAATAAATTTATTTCAGTCTATCATTTTATAATTTTTACTTTAATTGTTGATAAATTAATTAAAAACCTAAGCCAATTTGTGCGAGTATAAGCACGACAAGAAGAGATATTCCATTGTTACACGATTGCTCTAGGTACATAATTAAACTCGAGACATAATTAAACTTGATTAATCTCAATGCTTCGTCGTGCATCTGGTGTAACCGCGAAATATTAGGTCTGTCTCTTCACGCGTTTGTATTCGCGTGGATTTTCACGTTTTTTTAATAAATATCTTATTAATTATTGTAAAAATTACAAAACGGTAGAGGACTTTCTTTTTCAATTTTATTCTCTCTACTTGCACACGAGAGCGATTATTGCCAGACACTCTGTGTATTATTATAAAAATGAAGGTAGAAGAGCAAATAATATTTTTTTTTAACAACGTGATATCATTAATGAGAAAATACATTAAGCAGATAATATATTATTTTGGATGTCATTAAGATCCAATTTTTTTATATATACATATTTATATTTATACATCATATATATTTGTTGGAAGTAATGCAGTTGATATTATATATAGGAATAATTTTGCAACACAGTGCAGAATGAAGTACGATCGATCGTTATCAGACATTGACGCGCTTTTTTTATTCATCTTGCCACACTAAAGATGAAGTCAAATTATTTCTCCGATGACTAATTAATACCGTTCTATTCATGTGTCATAATTTAGCTTGTATCGCGTGCGAGCGAAATGACTAATGGAAAAAGGTCGTCGTCCACATCTTGAGTTATTAAACGGATTTGTCGAAAATTATCGCGTTCAATCGAGTTATTTGTTTTTTGCTCCATGAGGAAAAAACGATTCACGAGGGAAATGTTAATTCTAACGCGCATTTCCTCCATCGCGAGTCATCGCGTATATAATCGCGTACTCTCAATGACAGAGCCTTTCGTTATCGGTCGATGTTATCAATCATCGTGCCGACTTGGAAAACAGCACCAGACACTATTAGACATAAATTCGTTCTCGTAAGACGTTCATCGTAAAATTTATTTTTCCCCGAAATTAATTTTTAACGCGAAAACACACATTAGATCACGGAGTTTGCACAGCAATAAAAGACTTATCGTTCTTCCTCGACATAGAAATCCGCGCTGGCACCACCACATGCTCTCTCGAAACTTCGCCGCGATGAAGACCTAAAATCGCCTCGGTACAGATCTCGCGTCATCGCGATGTTATGAGATGTCGAAGAATCGTGAGGAGGAGTGACGCCGCCGACGACGTGTAGGATTTAAAAATTTCTTGCGAACACGGTGACTGAAATCTCGACGCCACCTTCATTCATACACCTATCAGTCGGCTCACGACCGTCCAGCCGGACAGTCAGAGGCGCTCGCGCGCTCTCGCCGCGTCTCGGAACCGAAACGATATCCGCGCCGGATTCGTCTCTCGACTCTCGACCCGATAATCCCTGACAGAGAAAAGTCCCGGTTCGACTCGTCCAGGTGTAAAACGTTCTTTCTGCGGGCACTTACTCACTAAACCGGTATTCCCGCCGTTTTTCCCGGACTTGCGTCTTCCAAGATTAAGCTCCGATCTAGTAAGACATTCTCGGACGTTTATCTAAAAGTGTTCGGATTTTTTTATATGGTATAAAATAATTTGTTTATATAGTACACAATTTTTTATACATATAGTATAAAATGATTGTTATAATGTAAAGTTCGTGATATCTTCTATACGTGAATTCGATCGATTTCGATAGAGCTTTCGGAGTGAGAAACTCGTGATCGATAAGTCGCGCACTATTATCGCAACGACCGTTATTTGATTTGCAAAACATGTTCGATGTCAATATTTACTAGTTGAAAAAATGTTGCTTCGCGCGACATTTTCAACAGTCGTGTCTAGCAACCGATCGAGGGACGCAGTCTCTCCGATTTCGTTTTGGACCGGCGCAATTTTTATCGTAATTTTTATTGTTGCCGGGCCATCGTCGCGCGACTGTCGATCGTCGTACAAGCCGGTGTTTGCACAGTGACTGGACGATATTCTCAACTTTACTTTATCTCGACTGCGTTTTTGCGCGCGCGATTTCGACTTGACGCGACTTTTCTTCGCAAAAGCGCGCCGATTTAAATCGCGAGTCTCGACGAGAATCGATGGTCTTCGTCGCGGTTCGGCAACAGCTGTGCGAGTAGATATAGTGCTTATATATGTATATTTAATAAAGAAATACGTAAATCAAATGCAAGGTCACACATTTCTTGAGTGCGGTTTTATCGGCGCGATAAATTCGGAGCTGAGTCGCAAAGAAATCGATAGCGCAGATCGAAGCAGATACACGCGTTATTTTTTTTGCAACCAATTCTTAGAGTGTTCCGAGTATAACCGTCTTTTCGTTTGTCAGAGATTTACATAATTCGAGCGAGGAGAATTTTTCTCGATACACGTGCTGAGTTTAATTTAGTTTTAATTCAATTCCTGTGTCGCATATTATGTATCGAATTTTTGAACTTCGCACCGTGACGCTCATTTTTATTAATTCCACAAATCGGGATTCCGAAAATTTCGTGACGTTGATTCTACAAAACGCATACATATATTATCGATGAATTGTCGCTGTCGCGAGGGAAGAGAACGAGCGGAAGAGGAAGATCAAACGCCTTCGGAGATCGATCGTGGAGCAGAACGTTAAATACCCAGTCTGGATTTATCTACGATTCCTCTGCTTATCCCCAGCTTCTTCTTCCCATCATCCCTTCCTACTTGCAAGCTGACGGAAATTTTCTCGGAGACTTTCCGCGGCGAGTAGACAATTTTGTGACTTTATCGTTCTCGTCCGAAGGGATAGGAAGTCAAGATGACGTCGCAGATGGAAAGCGAGGAATATGGACTGGGATATCAGAACACTCTGGTGAGTAATCTCGCTTGAATTTTTCATTATTGCGAATTGATATCGATGCGAAATTATTGCGAGCTAATCAATATACGATGACTTTGATTGCGAATCATTTTTATTTTGTAATATTTACTGGCTGAGATTTCACGTTAAAAAAACAAATTGATTAAATTTGAATAAGTATTTATTTCAATACTGCCAAATCGTTTATTTGCAACTAATAATATTGATTTGATGTGAAAAATATTTATTTGTTTCAAATATATGATTTATTAGGCAGTGTTGAAATAACTATTTATTTTAATTTAATAATTTTTTTAGTGTATAAATAGCCAAAAACTTGCATAGAATAGTGAAGAAAATTGGAAAAGTAATTTTTTTCAAAAGAATTTTGATAACATATATTAATGAACTTGATTGCTCTTTGTGTTGATTCTAATGAAAAACATTTTTAAAGTGATATTTGATAAAAGTGTCAGAAATTTATTCAGAATATTTTACATGTGACTTTAAAATAAGAAAGTTAAATGATCGATAGTTTTATGAGCACATAGTAACAACATTTCGTCTTCTTTTTAAGACGTTTCGCTTTTTTCTTGTCCTCAAACTTTCTTCGTACTAACAAGACGCGTAATAAAAAGATATAACTCTAACTCTTTAACACCTCTTCGAGCTTGTCTCGAAAATCGCGAGTGCGATATTCCGACTTTTTAGTACGGTCATTAAAATTCGTTTCACCGATCTTTACGATCGTTGCAGAGTATACGCAAATCACCGTTTGAGAAATAAAATATTGATGAGAAATTCGATAACTGAACCGAAGAAATTGGCGACTTGATTTTTCGCCGGAACGCGTTTCTGGCAGACACTTTCGTTTACGAATCGAATAAAAGCCTCGACACTTGGCAAAGCAGCTTCATTGTTTTTGAATTGACTCAAAATATATCTATACATATATCGTTGCAATATTTTTATTGCTGAGAGAGAGGATAGGGAAGGAAGAGAACGGCGACTCGCGCCAAAAAAGACGTGCAGCAAGGGTTGAAAACTTATATCTTCGTTTATCCTTGACCGAAATATTGTTGGTAGTCATAAATAGTCGTATTGCAACCCGCTTGTGCTGCAGATCCGGATAATTTAAAATTATTTTAAACAATTCTTTGCTTATGCACAGACGATATTTTTACTTTAAAAGTAAATAGATAATATGCTAAAGAAATACACTTATAAGTGTATGTGTTTTAAATGTATGATCATATTTAGAAAGATGGTTTTAGTCGTATTTATACACGATAATAATATTAATTTTCAGTATTTTTACGGAAAATTGAAACAATGAAAACATTTTTATGATTAAATCCGACTGGATGTAATTGAATTTTTCGATTAATTGTAAAAGACTGCCAAGTTTTTCCAGCTATGCATATACTGAAAAAAACGTATTGAATTCAAATATTTTATTTTAATACTGCCTTATAATTATAAATCATTTATTTGAATAATATTTATTTAATGTGAACACATATTTATTCGATATAAGAAAATCCTCTTTAAAACAGATACATATTTATGTATCTGTTTTAAAGAGGAAAATGAATGATTTATATTTATAAGACAGTATTGAAATAAATATTTATTAATTTAATAATTTTTTTTCGGTGTAACATAGCTTTTAGATGCTTCTCCCTACTTCTATCTGCTCTCTTTTCTATTTTGCAACGCTAGAGAATTCGTGAGATAACAATGTCTGCCAAGTCTGCCCGGGATTTTCAGATTTTCCGCGTGCTTTCGAATGAGAGTACAATGCATCGTGACCTCGAATAGACTATCGCTATGCGAAGCACCCTGTGCAATCGCGTAATTCTAATCGCCATTCGTCATCTGACATACACGTCGGTGTATGTCACGTGCGAAATTTTTTGCATATGTTTTTTGCATATGCAAATTTTTTACGCTCCTCGCGAATCTGCCACCTCAGCCGCGTATCTTCACCTGTAGATGCTCGCGTTTTCTTTCCCCGTTGACTTTTTTATATTTAGAAATTTTGGAAATTATAAAAAGAAAGTTTTACCGATAAAGAACAACAATGATAAAGGGAATTTTGTGATTTGAATCTTTCAAAAAATTATAAAATTTTAATGTACTTTAAATATATTCATAAAAAAAGAATATAAAGATACTACATTAAATTGTTGTTTTTTTAGAGAAAAATTTAATTATATTAATTTAACTATATATATATATATATATATATATATATATATATATATATATATATTATAACGATGCGTTTAAAGAAATATTATATCTCCCGTGAGATTATCTTCTTATTTTGTTTAATATAATGTGTTATCTAGATTATTTTTAGAAAAGAACCATCAAAGTATATTATAAAATTCACAACAAAATATTTTTTTAGAGACGAGAAATAAAATTTTGCAAAATACTAAAATTCTTTCTTGAAGTTGCTTTTGCTTTTTATTAAGTTTATTCTGATTTTTCTTTCGATATGTATAATTTACCGCGACGTTTCTCTATATTTAAAATCACGTGATCTTGACATATTATGCACGTGATCGCCACTTGAGCAATTAAAAGTTGTTTATTTAATTAAAATTCGACATCTATAATTTATGGCTCATGATGAGTCTCGCGATAATCGTTATGTGTGTTTACAATTAAACGTTATTCAGAGATATCAATTATTAAAGTACACTATAAATCCTTATATTTTTATATAGGTACACTTCACGTTAAAATATTTATTCCCGCTCGCGTAATTTATTTATCTGCCAAATGATGTTACAAGCATTGTGACTCGCGTAATACTTTTGATAACAATACGGTAATTTGCACGATTATTTCATAATTAGTGTTATAATAATCGGCAATTAAATGAACAATTATTTGTTATTTGTGTCTTAATTATGTTTTCTTTTTTGCAATATTATATATACATTATTTTAATTTTTTCCAATTAAAAGTGAATATATTTGATTTTATTTTGTAAGATTGTAATTTTATGAGACATTATTGGTGCGATAATTGTAGAATTGTCATTCGTTGGGTAACTCGTAACTATATGTTTATAAAATTAAATATTTATGATTTATGATGTAATCTTGTAAATGTGCCGTCATATATGAATCATTGGTAAATCTCGATTTGATTTTAACATGAGATATGCATAATGCATATGTTATGGTCGATAATTTCAAGTATTTTCATGGAAAATGTGACTTGTAATTACTCTTTTTACAAAATTGTCTCAGGATTTTTTAGTAAAATAATGAGTCTAGTATATTGTATAAACAGAAGTAAAAAAATATTACACATACAGGACATAAATGTCTTATTAAATAATATTATAACAAAAATATAAAAAAATGATAATAGATTTATATATTATTAATATAATTTGTGTTATATATTATTATTGTATACACACAAAATGTTTTATAATAAAAATAAATCGATGATGTTTATCTAATTTATTTGTAATACGAATTATGTAAGTAAATTTTTCAATGACATCAATCAAATATTGATAAAAATGATTGATATTTTGAGATGCAATAGTAACAGTAAATTGATTAACAAAAAGTACTTTTTAACAATGTCAAATACTTTGCATACACGTATTAAAAACATATATATATAACCAACCAATATATTAAGAATAAATCTATTTTCTTCATATTTTTGTTATTTTTGATAATAAAGTATTTATAAATTTATGTGTACATATAAAGTTTATATTAGTTATTTTTTTCTTATTTCTACTTCTAGCTAAACATACAGTTTGATAAAAAAAACTTCGGGAGGGATACTCTATAACATTCTCACAATTAAATATTTCCTAATCAATGATTAAGTTTATACATATATTGCATTTTTATGTGATGTGCAATTATATAATATCAATGCGCAATTATTCAAATTCGCATTATCGATTGTATACTAATTGTTCTAATCTCTTCATCGATTAGATCTCTATAATTAAAGTCTGAAGTGCAGGATTGCATTCTTCTCCCTACTCTAATTCGCTAATATTATGTAACATCGAGCTCATTTATTACCTGCATCGATCGGCGATCGCTCATTAATATTCCCGCGTAACATTTTATAAACGAGGTAAATCCCGAGTTCGAATGAAATAGTAAGTCAATTATATTTTAATGCGCGATTAGAGTTTCGCGATAGCACGTCCTTGCTGCGTCAATGCCGATCGTTTACGAAAACCATACGAGACCTGAAATCGTTTCTCGAAACGATAACGGCTTCGTTGAAAGAAGAGATCGCCGTTTGTTATCGCGCAGAAAGTTTTGCAACGATAATAAAATTTATGGAGAATTTACCCGTCCTTGTGCTATGTGTCATTATGTCGGAATTAAGACATTGTGCTTTTTATTATCTCGCTCAAATACTCTACGTCAGAAAAACGTAACTGTCGATTAATTTCGCGATAGTGCGTTATATTATGGAGTTTGAGCACGCAGTATTGAGAATGCTAAATCGCATATTCTTTGTAATGAGTTTGGATGTGTCCACAATTATAATAAAAGAATAAGATTATTTTTATGTAGTGTGTAATAGAATTATAAAATAAATCAATGCTCTCAATTTTTATTATTATTATCTCTCTCGAGAAAGGACAGATTTTTATATCATCATTTTGAAATTTTAGATAAAACAAATTTAAAAAAGCCTTATATTTTTTACCTCGAATTATTTTGCTCATTCGTATTTACTATATTTACGAAATTTTGTAATAGTTTATAGTTTGCAATTTTTCTTTTTTTTTCAAATTTTTGGATTGCGACACATTGCGATTAAAATCTGAAAAAGTTGTGCGAATTTTGTTATCTTTTAATTGTGTTATATTACAATAAAACAGTGATTTTGTAAAAAAGTAAGAAAGAGAAAAATACAATAAATATTAATTATGTATTCAAGTGACGAGGAGGAAAATGAAAAAAAATGAAATTGAAAGAAATGTACTCTGCTTACTTTGCTTTATTTCCGACAAAAACAAAAGATTTTTGATACTGCATAAAAGTGACAGCTATAATCTGGTAAATCTAGTCTTGAAAACAAGAACATTATCATGCTTTAGTCGATTGTAAATGTGGAAAGTAAACGCGCATTCGCTCGTCAACATCGAATAATTATTTATCAAACACTGGAATTTTCACAAATAAAACGCCCATTATTTTTATTTATTTTCTCAGACATAAAATGAATATAGAAATAAAGTATAGAATAAACAGGTTTAACTAAACTCGAAGAGAAAAAAATACGCGTATAATAATTCTGGAAATAAGATATTCTGTAATAAGACGATTAAGGAAGTCCGGAAACTTCTTGTCAGAGATATAATCATCTCTTTTATCGCGTACGGAATTAAGTTTCTTTTACTCACCGAATCGCTCCATCCGTTCACAGCTAACTCCTGTCACGAACTAAAATTTCTTTGGCCTATTCTTCAGCTTTGCCCCCACTCCTATTTGTTTCCCTTTTTTTCAAAACATTGTGCCGATCGACACAAAAATAAACCTATCTTTCACGCACGCAGCTTCATTTCCACTCGCCTCTATTTTCTTTCTTCTAAAATACTATTTCAAGTTACACGTAGTCTGTTTTTATTCCGAGGAATGGAACTGAGAAACTAAATAGACGGAAACATCTCGGTTATTTTACATTTGTGAGATCGAAAGGCTCGGAATTTTTCGCTGCCTCTAGAAGAATTTTAAGCGATTATTCGATGTGCGAAAAATATAACGATTACCGCCGGACATTACTTAATTTAGCATATCGTATGCAGTGTCTCAAGGTTTTTCCTTCTTTTAGGAAATGTGTATGCGTATGTATATGTGCGCGGGAAATCGTGCGTTTTTTGCAAATGAATAATTGCAAAAAATCGCTTTGCATGACTTGCCATTGAACTTATTTTCTTCTTATGTCAGATATTATATAAATCGGCGATCTGTGCATAATCAGATCGCATGCACGATCAACGTAGGTGGATCGTATCAATTTTGTGTGCATCTCGCGAATACATAGTATGGTCTCTTTATATAATCAAAAACATCGCGCTGCTTTTTTTCCTCTCGTTCGTTGAATAGGTAATTTATATTTTATTCGCGGTAATTTTTATTCGATTTTTATATATTGCAATCTATTCTATTTAAAGTCAGGAATACTTATATAATTAACGGATTAATCTCGTGCGGAACAAATATTGAAGATCCGACTGTGATATTTTAGTAACGAGTTCACAGTGTTCAAATGTCAAAACATACACGTGTTTGCCATATGAATCTAGCACGTTATTCTAATTATACTAACAGTTAATTATTATTACCGCAATTTTTATTAGCGAAAGAAGCAAGAAATATGTTATCCTTTCTTCTAATCTATCAATATTAGCATCGTCCTGTGAAATATTTGCAGAGTATTCGCGCAAATTTCTCTCTAATTCTGTATGAAAAATACGTAATAATACATTACATACATGTACATAGTCGTTTAATCGTTTAGTGAATAATAAATGTTTTCCTTGATTTTTATTAATATCAAGATTATCTATTTTACAATACAGAAACACAGAAAGAAGTTTCTGTACATAAACAATATAAAAATTATAATTGTGACAAGGACACTTAATTTTTTTCTTATTTTCTTAATTAATTCTCATTCTAAAATCTCATTCTTAATTAAATTTTTTTAAGACATTTTAAAATCGATAACTCTAATTTTAATAACGTTCAAAGCTCCCGCCAAAAAACGCGTTACAGTTTCTCGAATGTTTCGCAAGGCGACGTCAATGTCGTCGATGATGTGATGAACGAACTCAGCATGTGAGGTGTGGTTATAAACGTCTCATTTATATGAAAGCACGTATACAGAATCACAAGTTCTTTCTGGGAGAAAACTGGTTGGAAATAATTGAAATATGCGAAATTAAATTTGCGGACAAAAGTGAATTAGTTCAAGTGAAGATCAGATCGTCATCGATTCGTTCGGACACTCAAGTCTCTGCAATCGCTGATCCACAACATCTCGACCAACTTACAGCGCCAATCACGTGATTTCACTGATGCGAGAAAGCGCTTAGTTCAAATTGAGATAGAGGAATTTACATTGAATCGATCGGAGAAAACATGAGACAGATGTAGATAAGGATTTTTCACTCATTGCAACATAGAAAAAAAAATAAAGCTCGTTCCATCTCTTATTCTCAGCCTTGTTCTCATCTCGGAAGACAAATTTGAACATCTCGAAGAGGAATTTGAAAAACGAAACTAATCGCGAATATCTCTGACCTCGAGTCACCGAATGATAAGCGACGAGAATCTGGAGCTAGATACGATTGTGTCGAGGCAACGAATAAACATTTGTAATTTATGCAGCTAGTCACGTTCGATAAGGTGAACCGAGAGAGATAAAGTTGTTTGACCGATCGTGATCATTGAAAAATTATCGCAGACAATATGTTGATCGTGGTTCGTAGAGTGATGTTCAGTCGCTTCTGCGGACTTCTAAGCGTGTCGTCGCGCGCGTGCATCGTTAAAGGAAAAATGTCCACCGGATACCAGGATCATGATCAGAAGGTCGTTCCCAAGGATGAAGTTATCAGATTTATCCAGGATTGCATGCGCAAGGCCGGCACCACCGTCGAAGACGCACACGCCGTCGCTCATCATTTAATGACGGCGGACTATAGAGGTCACTTTAGCCACGGAATGAATCGGATGCAGATGTATGTAAAGGATATCGAGAACAGGTTCACCGATCCTACTGCCCGGCCGCAGATCGTCACTGATTTTCAGGTTCGAATGGATCTCTCGAGTTAAGAACTGGTGGAACTTGGAGTTATCGCGAAGAGAGAAAAATATTTGACTTAAATTTAAATTCTTCAATGCTTAAATATTTAAGGATATTTTTGCGTTCATCTCGAAATTAATTAACAATAATATGTCGGTTCCTGTACTTTGTACTCTTATCAATTGGTTACGGAGAGAATGTGTCAATAACGTAAATATCTTTCGAGCACCGAAACATAATTAAGAAAGATTTACATACGTGGTACCATAAAAAATTGTGTTTATATTGCACGATAATTATGGCGCATGTTCGTTATACGGCTTGGCCTTCGTATCTTAACAACCGATGACCCGATAAGATACGCGTTCCCCTGATTAATAGGATTTGCTTTCTTCGTCAATAAACGTGTTTGTCGCTCACTCGTAAACCTTACATATGTTTTCCTTATCGTGTTTTCGATCGGTTATAAATATTAAGCGTCTACAATTGCATAGAATATCATTATGTGCCTTATTTTCGTGCTCTCTATGCACTCTATGTCGATTCAGCAAAATTACTTGCGTTGAAACGAAGTTACACATTTTTCGAAGAATAATTCCGACGATAAAAAATATGAATGCTAATTAGTGCATCGTTGTCATTATTTTTAAAAATAATATTTATTGTTGCAAAAATGTCCGACATTATTTTTCTCACCGAAAATACAATTATACGATAATTTGACGATCGGCAATAATAAAGCGCTCCAGCGCTAATTAGCGCGACTCTAATTACAATTCGAAATGGTATCTTTATTCGCGAAAATTACAGCGGTTATCAAAAATACTCGCGTTCGCGTGTCTATTTTATTCAGTCATCCAGCTTATCTAACGCAATATAATTGCATCTCGATTTTATTAGAAGCGTGAGAATTTTATTTTTGTCGAGGAAATTTATTTTGAACGAAAAAAATGCGAAAGAATTAGAGAGGGTCAAGTTCCACCAGATTTCAGGATCATACAGATTTGATGAAAGCTTTCTACACATTGCGACTTCCATAGGCAATAGCTCTCGTGGACGGGAAAAATGGGCTGGGCCAAGTGGTCGGCAAATATTGCATGGAGCTCGCCGTGGAGAAGGCCAAGAAATTCGGCATCGGCATGGTGGCGGCACGCAACTCCAATCACTTCGGCATCTGCGGCTATTACACCATGATGGCGATGGAGCAAGGCCTGATCGGTTTCAACTGCACCAACACGAGTCCGATAATGGCACCGACGCGCGGCATGAAAGCCGGATTAGGGACGAATCCGTTGTCCTTGGGCATGTCCACGGGCGACGGCGATGAATTCCTTCTCGACATGGCGACCACCGCCGTTGCCCTGGGTAAGATCGAGTTGGCCATTCGGAAGGGCGATGACATCCCCGAGGGCTGGGCCCTCGGATCTGACGGGAAAGTGACTCGCGACGCCGAGGAGGCTTACAAAGCTTCCATGCTGATGCCTCTCGGCGGCGCAGAATGCAGTTCCGGGTACAAGGGTTACGGTCTGAGCCTGATGGTCGAGATACTTTGCGGAATCCTAACCGGGAGTCACTTCGGACCCAACATTCGCGCTTGGAAGACCAACGATAGAATCGCTGATCTCGGACAATGTTTTATGGCTATTAATCCGGAAGCGTTCGCGTGCGGATCGAAGGAAAGATTGTCGACCTTGCTCAAACAGCTGAGAGATTTGCCCGTCGCTGGAGAAAAGCCTGTCCTGATCGCCGGTGACCCCGAAAGATGTCATATGGAAATGGTTGACAGAGAGGGTGGGATCACGTATCATCCGAATCAGTTGAAGGACTCGGCAGAATTCGCTAAGCATATGGGCGTGCAGCCGATGAAACTTGTTTCTAAATCCGTTTGACATCATTTATTATATTATATATTTCATTTATAAACGAAAAGATCGATAAACTAAACTATTTTTTATGTCCCGTTGTTAGTTCGATTTTTCTAACATGGAATACGTAAGATAATTGAAAGTTAATTAAAGCCAATTTGTAGTCAGTGAACAATCATTAAATCATCATTTATATACACATATATATAATATTTTATTTTATTTGTTAGACATATTTTTATTTATATGTTCTATAAAATAAAAATTGACTTCTTTAAATATCTGAAAGGACACATAACGAAACTATTGATGTAAGATTTATGTAAAGCTGACATTTATTTCAATTACTGAATGATACGAATCATGTTTATTGCAAGGTAAAGCAGTTTGCGTGTGTAATTCGATGATTTGATGAAGGCTACGATGTTCACTACGATGACATAACTAATGTTGCGATTTGATCGCCGGTCGATGACGATGACGACCTTGGACTTGCTCGCTCGTTCTCGATTACAGTTGTTACGTCTTTGCGAGTGGGTGTTACAGATAATATAAGACTTGGCGGATTATTGAAAGCAAATAAGTCGCAAAACATTGAAGATTACAAATTCATAAATTGATTACACTTTCTTCTAGCGTATATAAATATGTTTAAAAAGTGTATTTTAAGTGCGTACATTATAAGAAAATATGTTATAAAACATGAATATATTTTTATATAAAATAGCTTTATGTGAATTACAATTTTATTCTTATAGCATATATTTTGATACATATATTTTGTCTAATATGTGTATATTTTATATATGTATATACACATACTTTATAATGATGAATATTGGAAATATATAATGTATAAAATATAATGTATATGACACTATATTTTTTTATTAATATATATGTGTAACCGCAGTATGTATATTATTACTGTATATACTTAATTTTAAAATTTATATAGCATTTTTGTAATACATATAAAGACAAGTATACATAATTATATTAAGCAAGACAGTCGTGCAGACGCGACGTCAGACCTGAGTTCTCGTTATCAATCCTTGTCGAGAACAAGTGGAACAGATTAAAAATGCTGACGTTTGTCATTAATTTGTCAGAGTCGAAAGTTAATACGGATGAGCAGAAAAATTAATTTCGCCTAAGGCTTACCTCGTTTAAAATTAGTAATTTATTTTATTGTAATAATTTTTTTTATTGCAAAAATTTTAATAAGACCTTATCTAATGTGAAACATCTAACATTATAGAGGCAGATTTCTCTTTAAGAGTTCATTGGCAGACTTAATATTTCATCCTGTCAAACGATTGAATACCGATTATCTTGTGCGAATGTGCTTTGCATTTAAATTCTGAATAGAAATTATTACATTTTTTCATTGTAAGATAAATTTAAAAAATTATGCTATTTTACACAGTATGTTAAATTAATCAATTTTTTTACTATAATTATTTCCAAGAAAGAATGTTTCAAATTCACAAATTCACATAACGTATCTCGTTTTTATATGTTTATTTGAATATAAGAATATCTTCGTTAATATTAAATGCATCGCGATGTTTGCATTGTTGTCACATATATTTTGATTAGTAATAAATAATTGCAGAGACTCTTATAACATATAATACTCGTATAATGTTAACACTCATATAATACTATTCATGTAACAGTGTTGTACATCATGGTGCACGTGCGATGCAATTAGAGTTTCTCGCGACGAAGGCCGGTTACAATTATCACCATTGACTTCTTTTCCAAAAGAAGAGTCTACGTAAGCAACTGTGAAGAAAAGAATCATATTCTTAGAAAAGACAATTTTACGGAGGATCGATTTTCGAAGTATATAGTACGCGCTAATCGATTGTCGACAGGTGTGAATCTGTTGCTTTTATTACAAATTTTACAGTCGATTTATTTAACGTATTATATTGATCATATTATGCAACGACATTTTTTATTAAAAAAAAACGCACGTTTAATTCATTTTTAAAATATACGATTATTTGTACATTTTATCTAAATATGGATATTTCGTTACGAAATGAGTATAACTATACCGATGCAGCTTCGCGTATTTTTTTCTGTCCGATGAAGTCAACAGATATACAGGGGGTTCAAAAGTTATCGGCACACAACATACACACGCGCTTTGTTTGTCGTCGCATTATCGAGTAGACAGGATTGACACGATGTTTCCATCGCGCTTTATTCGTATATGCGATAATATGCGGCTCATCACATGATCGAAGGGCTGAGAGCAACGAAAGACTGAAATGAAAAATATGTTGTTGCACATGAAATCGTTATCACAATTAACGAAAGAGTCAAAGATCGAATATATTACGAGCTTGATTTCAAATTTGCATAACTCTGGTCGAACCCTCCAGATGATGGACGTATTAAACTGTCTGCTAATGGAGAATGATGATGCGTGACTCATTAATGTGTCGTCGGTTAATGGCATCATAGTGGACGTTAATTAGACTTATCTCCTTAGTTGAATCTCCGCCTGAAAGCTTGATAATCGAGCTATAGTCTCACATCAACATATCTTACATCTAGTTTCTCAGGGAGATAAATCTATGAACTTCTTCTTTGTGAAAAAAATTATACTAAAAGATTGTTAGAATTTACACACTGAAAAAATGCCTAAATTAATAAATATTTATTTCAATACTACTTAACAAATCATTGACTTGAAACAAATAAATATTTATTTGTTTTAAAAGAATTTTCTTATATCAAATAAATATTATTAGTTTCAAATAAATGATTTATTTGGCAGTATTGAAATAAATACTTATTCAAATTCAATAAATTTTTTTCGCTACATTTTATATATAATTATATAAATTAATATACAGAAGAATAGTCTGTGTTTAAACATTAATTAATCGAATTTAAATCAATTATGACAGAAAGAAGTGATTTTATATCATCACATTATACATTTTTTTGAGAATTAATTTTTTTTGTATAATAATCTATTATTATAATAATTAATATAATATTTGAGAGCACACAACGAATTATAAATTACATGTAAAAAATGTAATATCTGTCAAAGGTAGAATACGATCGTAGAATTAATGCGAGACTTAATGTCCCATCGCGGCTAAACAGGAAGGAAGACCCAATGATTGAACGAACGATCCTGTCCAAAATACAGTCGTCTGCAGTGTTGATGCAATGCAATGCGAGCACGATAATTCATTGCCGCGCTTCATGTGACTCGCATTAACTAATTCACTACGATCTAACACCCAGGGGGTCATGGAACCCATGGGACATCCGTGGCATTCTGGGACTTGCATTCCCATGACGACGTAACGTACATGTATATATAATATATATCGCAATTTATATTTAACAAGGCAGTTAGATTGTTTAAAAAATCAGTTCTATCTGTTTTTAAATATCTTCTATTTTTATGTAGTTTTTTCCTAAGAATATATTTTTTCACGTATCTAGAGCAAAGATTTTATTATGTGTGTGTGAGACTGGAAATTATGAAAATATTATTAAAATGCGATTTTATAGTATTTAACGCACTCAGGGTTAGTATCTTTTGCAGTTACAACTTAAAATTTATTATATTATTACATGATATTGCATAACAGTACATAAACATCTATTCTGTACAGAGGGAAGATGGTAGAGAATTTGCACGATCAAAATACATTGAATAAAAAAATTTGTTAACTTGACTAAACCTTTCAATTAAATTATTATTTTGTTAATTAAACATATATGTATATTAGCATTTAAATCAAATATACATTTTGCTATATAGATTTAATATATTATATTTAATTTAAATATTTTTATATATTCAATTAACAAAATAATATTTAGTCGAAAGGTTTAGTGAAGTTAACACATTTTTTCTTATCATTAGTTACATTAGTTATTACGAGAAGCTCAAAAAATAATGACATAAGAATATGTATTACTTGTTACTTGATATTCGTTTGCGAGAATGCAAAACGCACGTCGTTTTATTCGGAGATTATCGAGATATCAGTTTTGTTCTCGGAAGGAATTGATCTCAGTTGCAAGTTCGCACTGACATGAATCAACTTTTGACGGATCTTTATCGCGATTAATTGTCGCGATTGCCGGGCTTCGTTGCTCGATATTTATTATCAGCAATCGCGATCCGCGAAAACACGTCTTTTTTGCGCGATCTCTTCGCAAATCGCATCACAACGATGTCCGGTTCTGCTGCAGTTGGTGCACAGTTTCGCGAAATATTTACATCGCGTGTACAAACAAATGTATTAGCATGACCGGGATATGCAAAACGAGAAGAAAATAGGAATTTTCGCGTGATCGAATAAGTTGGCTTAAACTGGTATATCTTCTAACGTCCTCCGACTTAATGATGTAGTCAAAAGTGCTTAATTACTAGATAAACCGTTCGTCGCTAAAAATATGTCATATATGTATATATACGAGTCTACTTTGTACTAGGAGAGTCTTTGTGTTTCTCACTTTCGGGATACTCGTAGCTCGTCGTACAACTTGTTTTCAATGGACTAATAATTATTCTAAGAGAAAATTCAGGTAATATTTTAATTAATATTAATTAATCATCGAATGACGCCACTTCTCTTCTTTCGCTATCGCATCTTCAGTGCACGATCTAATTGCTTCGTATTTTTTAATTTCTCCTCGATATCTATATTTGAACGCTTGAAAATAAATGCGAGAATACATTTCGCGAGTTATGTTATTAAGCCGTGACGAAAGTGCCGTATTGGAAGTTAAATGATCGCGCAGCGTTAATTTGCTGACGCAAATTTGCGCTACTCGGCGGGGCTTTTGAGCGCAGCATAATAGATATATACGCACGGCGGATTATCTCCTCGGCAATGTTCAATATAGAAACAAAAAGATCAAACAAACGATTTGTACGGTCAACAATTAGAGACCCTTCTGCTTACGCGCATGCCGCTGGATCTGCTCTTGTTTAATTATCCGCATGCCGCCTTCGAAAATTACTTGACACTTAGCCACCGTGCGAGGAGGTACGTAACGAGATCTCTTCTTTAATTAATATCACACGAGTACGTTATTTTTTTTAGACAGATAGAGCAAAAGAACGATTTAATGTTCATTGCGAAACCATTTTTTTTTCAATTGGCCATATGAAATTTTTAGTGCTTTTATTAAGGTGTAGAGCAAAAGAACGATTTAATGTTCATTGCGAAACTATTTTTTTTCAATTGGCCGTATGAAATTTTTAGTGCTTTTATTAAGGTGTTATTGTGAACGTGAAAGAATTAACAAAATGTCTAAATACACGCATCGGGAGTTAAAAGAAATAAATATATTGCTTAAAAATAATACTTCGGGAGAAGTCATCGATCGGAGTGGACGGTCGGCGCTGGTTAAGACGACCATCCATCAAATTACGTGTAATTTTGGTCAATGATAACTCATGACTTTGAAGGCAGCTTCCTACGAGCCCTTGTCGAGGGAAGTAGCCAATTGCCGTGCACGGCTTTCGTACAGTCGCTACTAGAAATGCCGTCAATAAGATTTCCTCGACGCTGTCACTGCGCCGACACTTTGATCAAATGAATCACTGTGCGCTTTTTGCTGCAATTCATAGTTGAAGAATTTGTAGTAAATTTCACAGATATCACATGTCCCAATCGATTCACAGAATTTTTTGTGTTAAACATAATATGGAGACGTGAATACTGTGT